CCATCATTCTTCTTTTTCTCTGGGCCCCCCAATTGTTGAGTCCCACCCAACACACTCAGCACCACTAAATGGAAAGCAATGTATGGAGTATGCCTCAGCGGTAATTACGCGTGTAGTACAGTACTTGAGTACCTAACTACTAAACTTGTTGCTTCTGGGTCCCAAAAACTCGGGGGAGCGGCTTGTCAACCGTGTCAGTTGCTACTCCATATCTCGTCTCTCTTTTCTCTCTGCCGGACTGCAGTATCTACAGACATACTCGTAGATGCAAAATACCACCTGCCCGAGATAGGCATTTGCTCGTCCACAGTAAGCAGTGCCAGTGCTACTGCAGTATCTGATAGCTCTGTAGGCCCAAAAGGAGATGCATGTACATGTGTGTAGTCTAGTGTATTCCGTATAAATGCAGCAACGGCACTCCGCAGCATCTGCCTAAAGCGGCTTTCACGAATGCATCTCCATCCAAGCAAGATCGCCCGCATCTCAAAACCAAGGCAAAGCAGAGACAAAGGAAAAAAAAAAACTTCCAAACACCCACCCCCAACCATTACCATCCATTAATTTTTTTTTTTTCGGGGCCCGCCGAAAGCCAAGTGGATCCCGAGGTCTTCCCATTCCAGCCAATCGGACTCCATACAAAGCGCCGGAATGGGAGGTCCTCCCTCCGGACTTTGCGGTTTCCGTGGCTCCCGCTATTTTACTTTCGGAGGGTTTTTTCCCTTCTGTCTTCGCCTTTGCCCAAACCGGATGGGAGGCTTCACGGATAGATCTCGAGGTTCTGCTTTAGTCGGTTAAAAGCGGAATGGCACACTGCTAGCTGGATTCAGGCACCGATAACCCTCCCATTACATCAGAGATAAAGCTCAAGGGGAGCAGCTTGGTGCTGCCGCGCTACCAGCCGAGAGACTGCCCATCGCCCGTCTGTAGAGTGCAGTAATACGACATAGAGGAGTAGAGCAGAGCATAGAACGAGAATGAACAGGAGAGCATTTAATGCCGTACTGTTCATACCTACCTACTACCTACACGCACCCATACCGTGTCTACCGTATGGTAGATCCGAACGCCATCCGAATCTTCGGGCTTACAGAGGCACATACAACTAAATACTTCGCATACGCCCCGTCCCGGGCCGAACCTCTTTCGGCATTCCGATCCCCATCTACGTGACCTTCGCCGAATGCAGCGCCTTAGCACTCCGTATTAGTAGTGGTAAATGCTAGGAGGGAGGAGTAGCAATATTGGTGTTTCAAACAGTAGGTGGTAATACTAGGTGGTACATGCAGGTAGGAGTAGGAAAGGTAATACTACTTCAGGCGATAGTGGCATTTAAAATTCCGAATCAGTGACATTGTCCTCACAAATGCACACTAAATGGCCAGCCAAAAAAGGGAGGGTGAAACAATGTATCAATTTTTTTTGGGCTATACTATCTTTAATATCTAAAGAGGTATTCTCCAAGTCCGGCTTCACCTCTTTCAAACTTCCCATCTCATCCCCCTTTCTCTCGGGAAAAAAAACAAATGAAAAAGCAATCTATAGAAATTTATGTTTAGTCTTCGCCGAGCGCAGCCCGTGCCATCTCTTCATAACTTCCATGTGTGTGCGTGTAGTGTAGTCAAGTGTGTAATACCAAGAACAAGACCCTCATTCCCTTTTTAGTAGTAAGGGAATGAAAAGTCGAGGTATAAGTGTTGTAAAAAATAGATAAAAAAAGAAATTCAAGTGAGAGGACAAGGCATATTAGCAACCAACCGTGCGTTTCAATCAAACAAAATTAACAAAGCCCATAATCATTCATCAACACCTCGTTCGCCTCTGTGACGCCATCTGTCACAGCGATCAAAATGCACCAGTTCCCAAAATACAGACAAGCAATTGAACGCAAAGCGAGAACGAGAAAATGGATAAAAATTGGCGCAATAAAAAGAGTAATAAAAAGAAGAAGAAAAATATCAAGGAAAGTGATATCTAGGAGAGCGGTACGGCTGTGCAGTCTCGTCGGTGCTGGAGCTCATCGTACTCAATAAGTCTCTCCCAAGTCGCCCAGTTTCCTGAATCCAGTCGTGCTGGTGCGGCCCGATCGAATGGAGACGCCTCCGCCGCTGATGCTGCCGTTGCTCACACTAATTCTCCGACTTCCGCTCTGCCGTCTCAAGCTGGGACCGGGTATCGCACTGCCTGGCGCGGGAATTCCACTTCCAGGTGTAGGAATACCGCTCACAGGTAGCGGCGGTGGGATGCCACTGATGCTTGTCCCTAGGTCGTATCTGGTGGAGAAGGTACCTCGCCTACTAGGCGTGCGATACACGGGCTCAAAGTCTTCTCCTAGAAAATCGATTCCACTCCTGCTACCACTAATACTGCCAGAGTGTCCGCGACCAGAGGAGCTGAAGGAGGATGCCGGCCGGCCAACCGGCGTCCGCACCCCTGAAATGGAGCTTCGTGACGTTGGTCGCTGTGGGGCCGCCACGCCGTTGCGAGACACCGGCCTGGTATATGATGCTAGGCTGGATGAATGGCTGGATCGTGAGACCGGCCGGCTCACTTCTGAACCCTTGTCGCTAAGCTGGGTGTTGAAGGAGAGTCGGTTCACGCCAGATGTACTAATCCTGGGCGTGTGGCTCGTCTTGGATGGCGAAGCATAACTGCTAGTGGGCGTCAAGTCGTCCCCGGTCAACGAAGAAGATATCGATATCGACGACTGAGTGGTAGCGCGCCTGCGTGAGCGAACTGTAGGAGTCGACACGTTGGAGGTTGCAGCGGCCAGAGCAGGCCGAGAGGGGGGGCGAGGCGGAGTGCTGCCACCGTTGGGAGCGGGGAGCTTGGATCGTACTGAGTGTACTCTGGCCTCGAGTCGCTGCATCTGGGCCGTGAGCAGACGGATATGTGAGAGGGAGTTGGATGCAGGAATCTTGTAGTTGCTGTTGCGGGACGACACGTTTGACCTGTTGGCTGATGCGCGGAGAGGCGCGCCGCCGCCGCCGTTGCTGTTGCTGCTGATTGACTGGCGGCCACTTGTGACAGCTCGCGTGCCCGTCGCAAGAGCCGGTGTGCTTCCACGGGGCCTCGAGCCGGCATCCACAGACGGCATTCGGGTCCGGCGCAGCGTCGCAGGGGCCGGCGTCCGGATCCGTGATGGCGCCCTCGGGTGCGAAGAGACGTCTGACATTGGGGGTGATGGTGGATCCAGCAGCTCGGGAGTCGGCGCGCCCAGAGATTTGGTAATCTCAGGGGGGGTTGTAATAAGAGGCGAGCTCGCAGCCGAGTCGACGGATATATCCGTTGCGGCCTTGTCGAATGTGGGGGAGCCGAGGAGCGATATGTCGGACGAGATAGTCGAATGACGGGATTCGTACTTCTTGACCTTGTCTTGCATCAGCTCAGCTTCAATCTTGAGCTCCGAAAGCTCCTCTCGCAGCCGCTGTGATTCGATGCGGAGAGCCTCTCGCTCCTGCTCGCCCATCTTGATCTCCTCCTCCATCAGGACCCCTCTCTCAACCGCCTGGTTGAACTTGGACTCCATATCCTCGAGCGAGGAGGTGGTGTTTCGCGCCTGGCGTTCGAAATCATCGTTGGCAACCTCGGAGTCTCTCAGTTTTAGCGCTAAAGTGCGGTTTGTGTCTCGTAGTGATGTAATCTCCTTTTCTAATGAGGCTTGCGCAGCGGCAGTCTCTGCTTTGGAGTCTTTGTATTTTCTCTGTGCCGAAAAAAAAAATAGGGGATTAGCCGTTGTACCTGAGACATAAAACTGAAGCAGTCGCAATTGGAGAGGGGGGCTGGGTAGAGAGCTAGAACGCCCCCCTCCAAAATCGAATGATAGTTTTGGATCAGGAAAAAAAAAGAAGCGCATCTCAGCTTACCTTCCACTCTTCCACCTCGAATCTGAGGCTATCAGCTTTCTCTTTCAGGACTCTCTCCTGCTTCTCTGCTCGTTCAATATCCTTCTCCAGCTCCTGCTCCAATTCTCGGCTGGATTCCCGGAACTCGGCGAGCTCTGACTCGAGAAGTTCGTATTGCGCCTTGTACCAAGACAAGGCATCTTCGGCACCGGTAGCCTCGCTGGGAGGCGAAGAAGGCGGCTCAGCCATGGCGGATCAAAGCTATGATTTGGGTGTTGTTGTGTCTTCTCTTGGTTCGGTTTTCTCTCTCGCTGAGAAGGGCGGTGTGGTCATGGAATGCTGTGCGACGTAGCTGGGGAAAACAAAAGAAAAATCGGTAAAGAATGAATCGTTATGAGGCTCAGAGTCGCGAAAAGATCTCGTCGGAGCGCTCGCAATCGTTTAATGTATAGATGTTGAGACAAAGGAGAACTTGGCAAAGTGGTGGTTTATCGTGGATCGTCAAAGAGCGTAATCGTCGGAAAGCCGGCGAGCCAAACTGAGCCCGAGCTAGCAGCAAAACAGCAAGAGAGGGAGAGACAGAGAGAGACTAAGAGCGAAATGCAAAAAGAGAGTAGAGATGTCGTCTAAAAATCAAATTGGTTTGATCGCAGGATCGAGCGAGATCGAGGATCGGATCGTGGATCGCGGCGATGCGAAGGCCCGTTGACGAAGCCGTGTTTCGCTGACTGCCTTCACCGGGGGTCAGTAATGGCTGTTTCAGCACCTGCTGCCGCCCCCCATGGACGCTAAAACCATGCGCTCACCGATATATTGGAGGGGGATTTCCCAAGGCGCCCAAAAATCGAGCCGTTTCGCTGCGCTCCCCCTGTGATGCGCGAGCAGGAAGGAAGCCAGAACCAGGAGCCGCGATGAGCGAGTCAAATTTCGCGAGGTTGCGGCGTCGCTGTTCTGGCGGCGAAGTCGAGGAGCGGCGAGGATCCAGCAGCGCAGAGTTCGTCGTCCAGGTCCGACCTTTTTTCTCTTTTTTTTTTTCGTTTTGGTTCCTGCTTCTGCACGGCCTCGGACAAAGAAAACCTTACCTTGAGCCGTCACAGAGTAGAAGCCCGCAAAAGCCTGGATCTGGCGGTTGCAAGTTGCATGTTTTGGCCCGTGACAATGTTGATGCGACACTCTCCTTTGGGCTGCATCAGAAATGGCGAGCGCTATGCTGTTTGCGGCCTAGGCGGGCCTGGCAGCCATGGGCAACACGGGCTGGCGGCTGTGACCACTGCTGGGTCGGGCGCTGTAATGTGGCATCGCACAGGGCCATGGCAGCGAGCACAGCGGGATGATCCCCCTGTGGGTCACGTGGCGCACCGCCACCTGCCACCAAGAACCGCTGCAGGTCAGCGCTGGCGGCGTCATGGGCTCCGTTATCTCGGGGTGCATTCTGGAGAGCAGCAGCAGCGCCGTGCCCTGAACGCAGGACGACAAGACCTGGGAGCGAAAATAGTGGGCTTCGCTCCTTTTGCCAGCGCATCCACGCTTGCTATGCATGCAGCCGCCGGGCCACGAGACGCAGCAGCTCGACTCGCGCAGCGTCTGATTGGAGCGGCGCATGCATAGAAATGCACAGAAATGCAGGCAATTATTGGCATGTCGGGAATGATGCTCGGGTGCATTCTCCGTGCGTCAGATCGTCTCTGGGGATCCATAGCGACGTGCGTAGGGGCCGTGGTTTGTGGCTCATACAGCAGGCCGGAATGCGTGGGCAGAATTGAGGCCCGATTATTATCACCCATATTGCTTCAGCTGACAGCAGCCCGTGACTTGCAAAATGCCGGCAGCCACGCGCTATTCTATGGTGAGGATTTTGATTTGTTGGCAGCCTTTACAATAAATCAGATTGAAATCGCCTCACCAGTAGCATAAGCCCAAGAGAAAAGCACCTCATTCTTGTCTTGGTCTAGGGTAACGTCTACAGGAGTTAATGCCTCGACTGCTTCGGATACAATCCATGCCATTATCTTCATAGTACACTACGCAGCACTACTACTTGCAAAATCCATAATCACACATATTCATTATTCCAATCTCGTTCTATTTTATACTAAGCTAACTGAACAAAAGCCATTAAACTGTCACTTCCATCCCTTCGGGTACTAATCGCAGGGTGTACAACTGCCCAAGGTAGGGATATCGTCTACTGTAATAGCCTCATGTCTAACCTGCTTGGGTGCCCAAGCGAAATATACTAAAGTTACCACCCATTTTACATACTAGGTAGGTCCCTTGTCATAAAAATCATTGTCATTTGAAGCCCAACGCGTGCACCCTGCTTCAAGTGGCCAAGTATCTTCTCTTCTAAGCATTTGCCCGTCGAGCCCTGACCTTTGTCTTTTTAGTGCTCGACGTCCTTGACCCAAAGTTATGCAGTCGCTCTCCAATCAGATACGCCTCATCCCGGACGCTCGCGGTCCACCGGTTCATCACTTTAATAAATCCAACGGCATGCTTGGCGAGTATGGCGGCACACGCCGCAATAGGATATGATTGCCTGTAAATCACCGTCGCTGTCACAGCAGCGGCGGCGTCTTCTGAACCTGAGCCTCCAGCAAGGCTAGTGTGCTTGATGATAAATCTAGCCACCGTTGGCGGCCCGTAGATGGCCACACAAGATATGAGGAGGCCTGGGATGACAAACCCTCGTGTGAGGAGGCGCACGTTGGGCCGTAGCCACCATCTACGGCGTATAATGTTTCGGACTGCCGCTGAGGCCCGGCTATCTGGGAATAGCGATGTGATCATCCGGCTCCCCAACTTCAGGTAGAGCAGGCCCAAAACCCAAGACTGGATAACACGAACCGTGTGGCGGTTGGCTCCCTCATCTTTCAAAGTCGAAACTGCCGTTGGAGGATGCATGTAGGTATGCAGAGGGATGGCCACGTATAGCTCCATCAGCGCAGAGGTAAGCAGGGGGAACACCACGAGCAGAACAGTGTATGCGTAAAAGAGCTTAGCCGTGTGGATAGCAATGCGTGCTATTCGCCCAGCAATCTCGCCCTCGAGCATATCGCGTTCTGCTTCGCGAACCCACTTTCCAATCTTCTTCCGTATGGTATGCTGGCGGGCTATGGCGTACGCAACAGAGCCGAGCAAGAAGACGCCGATGCTGAAAGCGTAGATGTCATTCGTTCTGATGTAGTCTGGTATCAGCTCTTTGAATATTTTTCTGCCAAGCACCAAGGGTATGATGGTGAACCCAACGCCGGTGACTGAGGCAAATAACCAGATTAGAAGAATAAATGTGAAAATTCTTGTGCGGAAATTTGGAGGTATATAGACCTGCAGGTACTGGTCTGATGAATATATGTCGTCGTCCGCACGGCCATCTTTGCGGCGGTTACGTTCGCTCACAGTTAGGAATACTTGCTGACCCTTCGGGATCTTGATGCGGTCAGACGCGGGGGCTCGGATAAACTTGCCATCCTTGACGAGCTGATGAGATTCGACAAGGCGGGCTTTCTTATGGCGATAAGCTTTCCGTTCGCTAGAACTCATGTGCGTAGTTGGCTTCAAGTCACCGCCCTCAAAGGTATCGCGCCACGTCTTTGGAACAATCGCATTCCCATCTTCTGCGAGCTCGAGGAGGTATCCCATATGGGGGATCCTGCCTGCTGGGGTTTCAGCTGGGAGATGCAGAACACCTTCTTCGTCGACCCTCCTCTCGCCAAAGAGAAAGTACGACAGCCTCAGAGCCCGTGCACATCTGCGGAACCACCACGTGTACATGGTATGCAGCGCATCGCTGGGCTTGAAGAACTTGACAGCAAGTGGCATGAGGAAGTTGTAGAAGAGCAAGTCGACTGGGAATTCCAATACCGGCTCGTTTGAGGAGTAGTGGATGGGAAGTGCGCTCGGCATTGCGAATGACAGACCCCACACGATGCCACCGAGACACACGATTACCAGAGCTCCGTATACGAAAGCAGAGAATAGGATCTTTCTAAGTTGCGTTGTAAGATTTCGCTCAAGTACGTCGCGCACCGGGTGGAACTCGGGATCATCAGGATCTCTAATGAAGTCTGTGTTATCAAGAACTATTAGAAATCATGTCTGCGATAGAATATAGAGGGAGGAATGTAATTAGAACTCACACAAAACGCCTGGCCGCATTATCTTTCGACACATGGAAACGAAGAGAGCAAAATGGAACATGTAGCCAGTGCCCACGAACCAGTGTACAAAAACCGATGTCATGGGATACTTGCAAGTAAAGATGATTCTGCTCGTAAATGTAGTATCTTCAAAGAGTGGCAGCAGGGCCGCATCCAGAAGTAGACCGCAGTAAAGAGGAAAGACGAGCATCTCGATACTAATGATGAGGATCACTTTCATGATTCCGCTGGCCTGCTGGAGAGATTCGATAACTCCAGTTTCCCACGCATGCACTATTGCGTTTCTCGAAAATGGGCTACCCTTCTTCAGATACAGAGCACCGACTAAGAACATGGTGGTGTAGCCAGCTAAGATGGCCCAAAATCTGTCCAGACTAGACCAATACGTCAATTGCGGATCTAGCGAGGGCCATTCTTCAGCCAGGCTCAGGTCAATAACCCATGAACTGGGCTTTGTAAGGAGAGACGCGACTCTGATGGCCGTCTCAGAGGTAGAGCTGAGCAGTGTCATTGTAGTAGCCATAACTTTGTCAAAGCCAACCGTATTCGCTGTAGTTAGGCTACTGCTAATGTTGGAAAACACGGACACGACATTGCCCTTGACAATGTTGAGCGCATCGTGGCTGACTGCGGAGAAGTTATGAATTTCTGTTGCTGACATGGGGAAGAAGTCTTTGAAGAGGAATGTGCAGATTCTGCTGGCAGCGCCAGTCCACAGCCCCCAGGACATTTTCCTGGCTGAGACGATATGGGCCTTGACCGAGCCGCCCATGACGGCCGCGAAGATGTCGACAAAATTCAACGCGCACCAGGAGCCCAACCCACCAACCAGGAATGTAGCGTCCTGCAGCAGTTTCGAGAGCTCGAATAGCAGGCGCACAACCCGCATGGGGCTTGCAAGAAGCCAGACAGAGACACGGCCAATGTTGTAGGGGATGAAGATGCAAGCAAAGATGGTGACAGACACGAGGACGGCACAGAAGATGGCATTCTGGAAAAGGCCTGCAATAGGTCCACGCATACCGATCAACTCCATAACTCCTTCAAAATCTTCCATGTCCTCGATTGCTTCAGGGTCCAAGGGTGCCGCATTGTCATCGGCAGCGATGCCTTCGCCATCGTCACCATTAGGCTCCGCTGGAACGTCGACCCATGGATCATCTCGGTCATTGTTGCCGGCGGCGGCCCCTTGCCCAGCAGCTCTCTCAACCGCTTCCTCGGCAGCAATGTCATCCAAAGCTGCTCGATGAGCGGCAACTATAAGAGCGCGAGGAACGACTGGAGGATCCAGGTCGTCCATGTTGCCCCACATGAAATCAGCAATCTTCTCAGCGAAGCCAGCCGCTGGAGCATCAGCGCCATTGACGGCTGCTTCCTCAGCAGCGCCGTTGGCATGAGGCGGCTGTGCTTCGATTTCGGCGTCCAAGCGCTGTTCTCTCTCATTCAGATTCGGGAGGGGTTGCTCAATCTCTCGTGGAGGGTAGCGTTGATATGTATCTCTATCTGGAAGGCGCCTATAGGCTTCTCTGCTCAAATGGCTGTCGTCCTCGTCATCGAAATCTCTAGGCTGTCCCGAGAACTCTTCCGAGGGCTCGCCATCAGACAAATCTTGTGTAAATTGTTCTTGAATAGCAGGGAGGGCCTGGGATGGTTCATCGGGCTTGTCATCTACGGGAAGCGCATCGAAAGACCAAGAGTTATTCGCCAGTGGGTTAGCCGAAAACTGCCCTTGAAGGCCATCTGACATTGAGCGTGGTCGTGAAGTAGCGCCAAAGAAGTCATCTTCAGGTGCATCTGAAGGCCCTGAGATGTCGAGATCTGCCTGCGTCGGAGACCATGGCTCCTTTCCTTTCCAGTTGGATGGAGACTGAAGCGTGTCATGGTCTGAATCGATCTCGTGCTCGGGATGTTCTTGGTCTACCTCTTCCATGGCAGGCTCATTCGTAACGATACGACTCGTATTTTCTATAGTAGAAGTAGATCGTCGAGTAAACTCAACCCAGTATTTAAGTTTTTCTTGTAGCCCTTCTTCTTCAATGATTCGCAGTGTGTCTTGCAAGTCGCCATTAGCGCGGCGATAAATTCGCAGATATTCATCGAGAGTGGTGGGCTCCTCTGCGGCATCGCCTTCATCAGCACCTTCGCGTGCATGAGAGTTCAGCTGATCGTTTTGTAAGGAGGTATTCGTGCTGGAAGTCGGGAAAGAGTCGTGGTCGGGCATCGAGTGGTTTGAAGAGTCTGGAGTCAATGCTTGCTCGCCAGCTGGCGCGAGTCGTCCTGCTGGCATCCGTTGCCAGTCTTGATCACCAACTTGATCGCTGTCTTCCAAAGTTTCATCGTCTGAGTCTGTTGGATGCAAATTTGCCGGCGGCAAGTTGTCTTGCTGAATAATCTCGCCAGGTTCAGGGACATCCTGAATGTCATTTTCAGGGGCGGCAAAGGCAGCCCGCATGTTGATTTCTGGCTGTTGCTGGACAACATAGTCTCTGACCAAGATGATGAGAATGAAAGAGATGATTACTAGAACCGTGATAATTTGCCCTTCCAGTACGGATACAATGGCGCGATTCAGGCTTGCGTTCCGAGTAAGGTTACCAAGAACGCCAACGTTGCTGAGGAGAGTCGTTGCAGCGGCGAATTGACTGGCGTTGTTTAACGCTGCAGATGAATTTGCTGCGTATCCCAGCTCGCCGTCAGAGGCTAATAATGGAGAGGTGAATGAGTTGAGTAAGAATCGTACAAAGTAATCTGAAACGTCTTTGCCCTCTAGCTGACCTACCACGGCTTCGACCTCAGCCGCAGAGGTGGTGGTGGCTGCAAGTAGGGGACTAGCAGGACATGTTCCAATGGCCAAAATGGAGGAGGGAATCGCCGACATGGTGCTGTTGGTTTCGTTGATCCGCGATATTATAGAACCACCCAAACCTTCATCACTAATCCAGAACATGAAGGACCAAACGGCCCTCATGAAGTAGGGAAGCCAAAACACCCATACACTAATGGCCACGGCTGCCCGCAGCCATACCAGCAGGTTGCGGAACATATATTTGGCCATGTGCTCGACAAAGATGTGTATGGGCAGCGACTGCGGCATGTCTGGAGCGTACAGCTTGGTGAATCGAAAGGGCGTTTTGCACAGCTCGCAGTACTTCTTCTGCGAGTGCGAGAGCCACTCCATCAAGCAATCCTGGTGGACGTACTTGATGCTGCCGCTGCATTTGCATGGGTAGAAGAGCGGCTCTACCGGCGTGCCTTCTCCACGACATATGCGGCATATCGCAGGTGCCGTATCGATTGCAGCGGTGTTGAGGCGATCGTCGTATCGATGCTGTTGGGCCGCGGGCCCGGTGTCCGAGGCGGCGTCCTCCATGATTGACGCAGCAGAGGTGCTGTGCTCTCTCTGGAGGCTGCGAGGAAGAGAAAAAAGAGGCGCCCACGATGGGGAAGTTATCGAAGGAGGGAGCTTGGAGAAACCATGGGCTTGAGCTGTTCGGGAAATGCTGTTGGGCGAGGCGTGTTGAAGAAAGACGGCCAGACAGCCTTGTGGCGGGTTGTGCCGTGCAAAGTCTCCGCCCCTCTATCAATGTTATCAAGCGGATCTCGCCCTTTGGCGGCAGAACAGGTCGAGCGTCTTTTGGGCCGGGAGCTGCCGGGCGTTCGCAAGCTATCAATGCTTTGGGCGAATCTGAGGGAAGAAGCGGGGAATTCCAGATGCAGGAGAATGGATGTATCGAAGAAGCGGGGAATTCCAGATGCAGGAGAATGGATGTATCGAAGAAGATGGATAAGTCTGAGTTACAGAAATTCTAGGATTCAGCGGAACACGGAGAAACGCCACGGCGAGCGTTGGTCGTCCGTGCGTGCGGGCGGGTGAGCGAGACGTACCGCAGGATTGCAGGTACTGGAGCGGTAGCGAGCAGCACACCCGTGGGTACTGGACGGCGACTTGGTGGCCGGAGAGAAGCCGCACGGCTGCGCTAGTATATATCAGGTCACGACGCCTGAAGACTGGGACGGATAGCAGGTACTCGTCATCTTTATTCAACATGCACTGTGACTTCAATGGCAGATAGCATTTAGAGATGTGAGGTAAGATGCTTTGTGCTATACAAAGTTATATTTTTCTTTCTGCCAAAGTAACGACATGGCAGCAATAGAAGGAAGTATGACTACCTACCTGTTAACCTCAATTGTATGGATTTATTATGCTCACCGTTTTCAGTCATTTGTACTGCGTTCTCTGTATTCGCCTATTGCTAGACTGACTGCCGTTAGGATATACTAGTGAGATAGATGATAGGGATTCACCCAGAGCAGATTGGGCGGGTTGTCATATCAATGATTTCTGCTATTTCTTCTCTTGTTTATCTTTGATTTAATTTGCACACATCATAACTTCGTGGTAATGCTTCATGCTGAGTCACCCAAAGGCTGGGTTCATTGCGTATCCAAGTTTGACGCCTCTTAGGGAAGATGCTCTGCATTAGTGCCCAAGCCATATATTCGGCTTCTGCGTAAACATGTACGGCTGTGAAGACTTAAGTTGGAGAAAGCACAAGCTGAGCATGGTTACGGCGGCGCTTATCCATTTCCTATAAAAAGCAGGCTCTTATGCATATCTTGCACAGCCCTTGCTCTGCACGCAGCGGCGTTGACGCGATGACGATATCGACTCCAATGTGGCAACATTGCCCACAACTCACATCTTACCAAAGGCACGAACCTTGACTCTACTATTGTCCATGGTACGCCAGTGTAAGGTACTCATAGTCCCTCTGGAATGCCAGCAACACCTCTTTTTTCACCGGATCGAGACGGCGCCTTGGCTGATGCTGTCCACCACTACTTTGGGACTACTTAGTACTAGTAGTAATATACGCACCTACGTCGGAGTACCCGTGTGCCGTTCAAAGGCATCAGCTATTGCTCTACGATTTCTAATAATGGACATGGTGCATAGCCATCTAGACCACCTTGACCACGTATCTTGTTCGGCTACACTCTCCCACACCCACCCTTCGTCTGATGCTGGCGGATCTACGGTCTAGTGGCCAGCCGGGGGTCCAATAATCGTGTTGTTTCATGTCTCCAGCCCATGCGAGGCTGCTTAATCGCTGATGTCGACGGCAGCCAAAAACAAGCTTCTGGCCAGCGCCGCCAACGACGAAACAGCGCCATGACGTGTGCTGGTGAAGCAATGCCCACGAGTATGCCGCGGTGCACGTGTAAGGGCTTTGGCAGAGATAGACGATCGCTTCTTGTTTGCGTGTTTGCTCCCATCTTTTGGTGTATGGTTGTGCAATGCGCCCGGGTTATATAAAGCGGCGCTGGCAGCATCTCGGCACCGCAGAGCCGTGTCTCCCAAGCTCCTGACACACGGGCTAATCTAACACTCCCTTGAGCAAGGCCCAAAAGCTGTTTCGAGTCAAGGCTTATGCTGAAACGCCGTGATCGTGTCCTCCGTCTAATATTGAATCCCTTCAGCAGCTCCAGCGCCAGCTCCAGGGGTGGGTCAGCGGAGGTCGATGCTGCCCCGCGGTAACGATGCGGTACTTCTACAGAGACATTTGGGGCGACAATACCTTGCCGCTACTTTACGGGGCGCCCCCATCCGACGAAATGCTACCTGCTAGGCTGCACCACCAATCCACTAGAAATATGGTAGGTACCTCCCGGTGTTTTTCAGCGCCTTCTAGTCTCTATTACGTTCTGAGCTGGCCTCTTTTTTTTTTCTTCTACACTCTTTTCTCACCTTTTGTTTATTATTCAACTTTGTCACCATTTCTTCCCCATTTTTGCCCTTCTTCTTTCCAACATCCACCTCGAACTGACCGCCACTCCTAGTACGACTTTGACCGAGCATACTTTTCTCTCATGGCCGAGTCCAGCGGCCTGAAGCCGGGCAACGGCTCCTCGCATGTGAATGGCAAGATGAATGGCCAGACGGTAGGCAACAAACGTCCTGCGCCACGACAACGCGGATTCCTGGGCTGGGTATTTGGCTCGATTGCTAGGTGAGTAATTGTATCGTGTTGATTTCCTTTCCGTCGGCCAATTGCTGCCTTTGCCGGGCGGAGTGATGCGCGCATCTTCTCTCTCTCTGCTCCAGGTGCATGCCGATGCGCGGGGAGATAGCGTGTGCTGATGTTTACATGCATAGACTTGCGACCTGGGCCGTTATCCTCACGCTTTTGTTCCGCTGCCCTTCCACGCTGGAGGAGTGCGGCGAAGATTCTCCCTACATCTGCAAGCCGTATTTCCAAGCCAAAGAGGCCATCGCCCCGTATACGCTGCCTTGTTACGAGCAATATGTTGAACCATACGTGGACTTTGCGTGGCCTTACTACAACACCGTCGATTCTCACATCCTAACGCCGGCGCGCGTCTATGTCGTGCAATATGGTGCGCCGTGGGTTGAAAAGGGCCAAGAACAAGTTTGGGCTCAATGGGAGAAGCACGGTCGGCCTCAAGTAGAGCAGGTCCGCGCTCTGTCCCAGAAGCAGTACGAGGAGTCCATTGCTCCGCATTTAGAGCGCGCAGGCGAATTTATCGGGCCCTACTACGCAGTCGGTCGTGATAACTCTCTCCAACTGTACCACGAGTTTGTCCTGCCAACATACGAGCTTCTACAGCCCTATGCCCAGCAAGGTTACCGTGCTGCTTCCAGCTTCACTACAGAGATGGCGCTGCCCGCTGCTCACTGGACTTGGGCGAAGACGAATGCCTTTCTCAACAAGGCAGTGTGGCCACAGGTCCGAATGGTTTATGTCGAAAACGTGGAGCCTCAGCTTGTTCGCATTGGCGAGCGCTTGGAAAGATATAAGAACCGGGCTAGGACCAAGGTGCTTCCCGAAGTGAGCTCTGCTACGTAAGTACTGGTTTGGGTTTTCATTGTCAATACCCCCTTGTCTAACATCACATAGAAAACGAAGGACAACTACCGAGCCTCCACGATCCTCCTTCAGTAAACCGGCCCCCCAAGCGACACAGTCTCAGAGCACAACGGCCTCCGAACGTGCTGCGCTCAGCTCGACCTCCAGCGCTGAGCAGCGGCAGTCGACAGAGTCATCGTACTGGATGCCCGTCCAGCCCCCTCCTCCTGGAGAAAACGAATCAGAGACAAGGAGAAAGGCTCGCGAGATGGTGACGCAAGACCTTGAGATGTGGCAGAATAAATTCGCTACCCAGGCTGATGAGGGTGCTGTCGATATGGAAGACCGAATTGACGAGCTTGCGAACCGTATGATCACTGAAGAGATTCCCTCTAGTGGGAAACCGCTTGTTGAGCAGCTCCAAACCACAGTGCAATCAGAGACGGATAGTCTGAAAGCAAAGATTTCCAGCATTGTCGCAGAGAGTGCCGGTGGATCGCTGGAAGACGCTGAAGAGAAAGTCATTGGCGCCATCAGATCTGCCGGCATAGCTATCAAGCAGGCTGCTCAAGACATTAGGACATGGCGAGAAGAATACGATACTGATCTGCAAGCCAGAGTTCTCAGAGCCGCTGATGTCCATTTCCAGATCCTTGACGAGACTAGAAATCTTGCACTGCAGCAACTTGGTATGAAGTGGGCTTGGACCGACGGGGTTAGCTACAAGGACTGGGCAAAGTATCATGAGCTGAAGGAGGTGCTCGCCGACTGGACTGAAGATCTGAAGCAACTCATCATCACTCATCCTACGCTGCTCGACGCACAGGATGCAGCGGCATTTGTTGAGGAGGATGGAATGACCATTGCCTCCACGGCTGCCAAAGAGCTAGCCCGCCTCAAGCGGGTCGCTCAGTGGAAGCTTATCGCACATGATGCTACGGACAATTTTGATTCTGAGGCGATGGAAAAAGCTGCTGAATTAGCACAGAACCCTCCGGTAGCTGAAGAATCAGTAGAGTCTGATGAGCAAGAGGAAGGAGATGTTGATGCTGCCGCTGATGAAAAAACCTCTGATAGCAATTCTTCTTCACCGCTTCTTGACACCGTCCGGGATACCGTCGTGGATACCACCCAGCAAGAGGTAACTGAGGAGACTACCGATGAGGCCACGCCTTTGGAATCCGAACCTGCCGTCAACGGTGCTTCCTTGGACGAGCAATCGTCTGACGTAGAGTCAAGCGAAGCTTCCGATGCTACTGAGGAAGCGAGCTCGAATCTTTTTGAACATGTTATGGAATTCACTGATATCCCCGCTGAAGATCAGGAACCACTTACCCACCAGACCGAGGAACTTCCGGTATTTGTCGACGAAGATATCAAAGAGCCCGAAATAGAGCCCGAAACGCCTCATGTTATTGTCGACCGAGCTGAAGATGAAGAATCCAGCCCCATTGTTCCGGGGGAGCCTCTGTTGACCCCCAACAACGCCGCATCTGGCACCGAACCTGTCGCCGAACCTGTCGCCGAACCCTCTACTGAAGAGGTGCTGGTAACCGAGCCTGAAATCCTGGAAGAGGACGAAACTTCAAGGCAACAAGAGAAAGCATCCCTGGATGATGATACCGCTTCCGTTAAGGCGACTTTCCTTGGTGCGGCCGCTCAGGTAGTTTCTGGACGACAACAACCCATTTTGGATTTGGACGAGGACGATGAAACTGATGATGATGATTTTCTATCTAGCGCGACTAAAGCCGCTGAGGCAGCCTATTCCAGCGCAATTTCTTTAGCATCTGGCCAGTATTCAAGTGCAGTATCGATTATTTCCGCGCAAATCCACGGTACTCCAACCCCAGCCGTTCAAAACCAGCTTCTTTCCTCGGTATCGGGTGCCTACGACCAAGCAATCGCTGCGGCCAGTTCCAAGCTGCAACAGGTTGTCGATGCTGCGTCTGCCGGAGTTTATGGTACGCCAACGACTACCCAGGCTGCCCCAACGTTGGTAGACTGGAGCAAAGTAGAGGAGATTGCTGCGGAGCGCCTGAATGAGGGTAAGCTCTGGGCTGAGCTTCGGTATCAAAGTGCTCTGATCGCCTTGGGATTAGCAACTGCAACACCTACTCCGACTGGTGCTTTCGACAAATATTACGAACAGGCCAAATACAACTATTACGCTGGGATTGGCGTTGCGCATGACCGCTACAACAACTTCATATCTGCCGCTTCGTCAGCATGGTCCTCAGTAACGGCCACACCAACTCCGACACCCAAGGCTTTTGCTGACTCTGCACTTTCAATGGCCTCTGCTGCGGGCAAGGCTGCTGAATCTGCCTATTCCAAGGCCACCGAGAATGTTGCCTCTGCGGTTGATGCTGTGGATGAATCTATAAACTCTTTGCACGATGCTGCGGCTGGACAGATTTACAACGCTGGAGTAGCCATTGGAGAGACATGGGGGACTATCGTTAGCCAGCTGAGCATTGAGGTGTATGGGCAACCAACACCAACGGCGATTGGATGGTATGATAGTCTTGTATCGGACGCGCACGCAGTTGTAGCGAGTGCTACTTCGGCCGTTGCTAAGGCTACTCAAACTGCATCAGCTGGCGCTGCAAACGAGTACGAATCTGTGAGCGAGCTTGTTTCGGAGTTGATTGTTGGCCGGGAGGCGCCTTTTACGGAGAGTGTACTATCTCGACTTCGTGCCGCATACGCTACGGCGACGGAGAACATGGCAAGCTTGGCGAGCGAGGCCAGTGCGGCTGCTGGATCAGTAGGCGAGAAGGTGGGAAGCATTGCGAGCAAGGCAACAGACGCAGCGAAGCATGGCAAAGATGAGTTGTAAGATGTTGGAGAGATGGGTGGCGCAGTGCTTGAACGATACCCACTATTGTTTCCTTTTTGTCTGGCCAAAATGTTGAAAGAGTGCATCGTCAAGGAGCTTGATTTGGCTGGGCGATGATTTTGGATGTCTTTTTTTTTTTATATGTAATTTCTATGGCATGAGCAACTGACAAGGTGGCTCTTTTCCTTTGTTATGCGTGGTACTAAACGAAAATGTTTGAGTATATGTGTTTATATATATATTTCCTAGGTCTCATATGAAGGAGAGGATATGGACTGTACATTATCAAAGTCCATACATTGTACGCTACTGGTATAGTTCGATATATAAAAGCCTTTCTTTTTAATAATCTGCTCTAAGCGGACACTTATAATGAAGTACCTAGTTGAATATGGGCAGAGATTCTGTGCCATTTCCGTTCCGCCAGTGATTTGATGTAGGCTTATTGACATGACTCGCAGATTCAGATTCAACAAGCCTTTTTTCTCTTTTTGAAAAGGAACAGGGTGGGCCATCTCCACCTGAGCCGAACCGCTTAAGCTGGATACGAATAGTGTTGTCTTGTACAGGCACTAAAGCAACGAAAAAGCATTCGTTACATGCGTTGGCCTCGTTTCTGCTTACTGGTGCGTCGGTGGAGCGATTCATGGCCCGTGAACATCGACTGGGATAGATTCCACTACAATATACGGGGCCGAGGTGATGTCATTTACGGATGGATCCTTTCAACCGAGGCTGCCTGGCGTCTCAGCTGTTTGGACAAGGGCAGAAAAGGCTGGGCAGTGGGCTGCTGGAGTAGTAGTGTGCATGAAGCAATTTACAGAGTAGCTGTCCGGGGCCAGCGAGGGGTGCTAAGGAACAAGGTAGAGCATAGAGTTGCGCCACTTGTTTAGCAAGTGTGGTGGCTTCAGTTGGCTGATCTGGGCATTCTAGATCGATCTCGAATCACCGGCTGCATGCCCGCCGCAAGGCATGATGTATCCCTTATGCAACCTCGTTTCTCACATGGGATGGCATGGCCTGTCAAAGCCGTGACCCCACGCCCGCTCCCCCAACTTTTCTCTCGAGATCAGCGAGAGGCTAGAGCGAGATTGCGTTAGCCTGCAGCCTGGCCAAACGGTTTTGCTGTTTTGAAAATTTCAAATTCTTGCATGGCCTGAAAACTCTGCCCGTTTGTCCAAGGAGACGAAGGGGAGTGACTTTCAACGGCAGTCTGCTATTTGAGTATGATTTTCTGTTATCTCGAAATGAGGTATTATATGAGAGTAGAATACTATATAAAAGCACACTTTTTCCATCCCCGGATTTGGCATTTATGTGGGGGACGTCAAAAAAATGGCTGCGAGCATAAACGGCCACCACAAGCCAGCCAAGGTCTAGAAACACGGGCGAAAGATAACAAACGCCCTTCGTGTCTCAAACGGCCGTCCAACCTTTGCCCAGTTTTTCCCAGTTTGGCTCACACGACCAGACCGCTTTCAGAAGCTAAGACGACGATGAGCTTTATTCCTCGATTGGCCCACTATATGGCAGAGAAGAGAGAGAGAGAGACCCGCAAACTAAAGTCGGCTCGGCTCCCCTCCCTCGGCCCAAATGAAATAAATAAATAAATACACATGTCTCTCGTAGAGGCTTCTTCTCTCTCATCTGCTTTTTTCTTATCGTTGACGTTTTGTACGACATAAAAATTTTTTTTGTCTCGCTTTTGTCTCGGTGCTTAACCAACGATTGCTGCCTCTGTCGATAAAAAAACGGGTTATTTGCTGAAGGACAACCGAAAGGAACAGTCGCGACGCATGGAATTCGTAGTCGAGTTCTTCTCTCTTCTTCTCAAGTCTATACGCTGAAGGAGTCGGAAGCTGTCATTTAAGCTGCTTCTATACTCCTTCTCCTGGGCGCATAGCTGTTTGCGCTCCTCCTTTTTTTTTTTTTTTTTTTTCACCCCAAGATCTTAGGTAGCGGTCTTGGAGCTATCACTTGTCTCGCAATTGCGTAAGATAGACGATAAGTTCGGCTGCCAATTGGCCGACCTATATACATATATTACACGAGCTGTGAATTGTCTGTAGTCGGTAAACAGACAAAAACTCATCACCATGGCTTCTTCCGGGATCCTCCCAGCGTATCCCAACCAGGAAAAGGAAAAAGCCGGGAATGGTGGTGAAATCAAGGGCGGAGGTGCTGTCACGGACCGTTCAGAATCTCTCGAGGATATCCGAGTTTCTTTGTCTTCCGGCGGTGACACGAATCGAGACACGACTCATCGACGGCTTAAAGCGAGGCATATCCAGCTCATTGGCATTGGAGGCACCATTGGCACCGTTCTTTATGTGCGTATAGTACAAATCTGCAATACTCCTTTCATTCACTTGCTCCTACATCGCATCATGTGCTTATATGGCATTCCATTATCTCATGTTATAGGTTCAAATTGGCCAAGGTCTTCTCAATGGCGGTCCCGGCAGTCTCTTCATCGCCTTCAGCTTCTGGTGCACCATCGTCCTCGCCGTAACGCTCTGCATGGCCGAAATGGTCACTTACCTGCCCATCTCCTCGCCATTTATTCGATTCGCCGGCCGCTACGTCGACGAGGCCTTTGGATTTGCGACTGGATGGAACTTCTTCATCTTCGAGGCCGCGCTGGTTCCCTTTGAAGTGACGGCCTGCAATTTTATTCTTCGTTTCTGGACCGATGCCATTCCTACGGCGGCGGTTATAGCCATTGTCATTGTTCTCTATGCTCTCATCAATGTGCTGGCGGTGAAATGGTACGGCGAGACGGAATTCTGGGCTGCCATTGGAAAGGTTCTCCTCATTGTGGGACTCATCTTTTTCACCTTTATAGTGATGCTGGGAGGAAACCCTCAGAAAGACCGTTTTGGATTCCGGTACTGGAATGAGCCGGGCTCTTTTGCGGAATTGTATTATGAAGGCAGCTTGGGACGCTGGCTGGGCTTCTTGCAGTGCCTCATTCAGGCAGCATTCACCATTGCCGGACCGGATTACGTCTCCATGGCCGCTGGTGAAGCTGAGAATCCTCGTGTGGTGATGCCACGAGCTTACAACGCCGTGTTTTACCGACTGACTGCTTTCTTCATCCTGGGATCTCTCTGCGTGGGCATTCTCGTTCCGTACAACGACAGTGAGCTTATTGCGGCTTTTGCAAGCTCCAAGCCAGGCGCCGCTGCTTCTCCCTATGTCGTTGCCATGAACCGCCTCGGAATCAAAGTTCTCCCACACATTGTCAATGCGGCTGTCTTGACTGCTGCTTTCTCTGCGGGCAACTCTTACGTCTACTGCGCTTCTCGTTCCTTGTACGGCCTTGCTCTGGAAGGAAAAGCACCGAGGTTTCTGACAACATGCACAAAGGCTGGTATCCCCGTCTACTGCGTTGGCTGCACCTTGCTTTTTGCGCTGCTTTCGTTCCTCCAGCTCTCATCCAACACGGCCGTTGTTTTGAACTGGTTTGTTTCTCTGGTGACGGCATCTCAACTTATCAACTTCTGCGCCGTGTGCGTGTCGTATCTTTGCTTCCACCGAGCGCTAAAGGCACAAGGCATCAGCCGTGACTCGCTGCCATACAAGGCGTGGTTTATGCCTTATGCCGCTTATTATGCGCTGGTGTGGACGTTTGTCATGGCCTTTGTGGGCGGATATACCGTTTTCTTGCCTCTGCCTGGCATGTGGAAAATTGCAGATTTCTTGTTCTCGTAAGTATTTCCGAAGTGACAAGCATGCTTTACAATCAATAAGCTAACATCTTTGAACTGATAGCTATGCAATGATTTTTGTATATCCAGTTTTATACCTTGGCTACAAATTCATCCGCAAGACAGAGATTCGTAAGCCAGAAGAAATTGACCTTTTCAAGGACTTGGATGAGATTGAGGAGTACCAGAGAAATTATATTCCTACTCCACCAAGGTATGCTCTTCCTATCCATTATGTAATAAAGACTAACATATCATGCCTTAGAAACGGGCTCGAAAAAATTCTCGACAAAATCTTTGGCTGATTCTGATACGCAGCAAAGAAGCTTCTTGGATCGAGGGTAAGAAATACTTGGTTGGTGATGGACTCAGTAATTTTTGTCTTTTGTCAATATCTGTATTCATCGTAGATGGACGTTTGAATCTACATATTTTCTCTATTTATCACTTAAGCTTTTTTTGTAGACTATTCCGCATGATATATCCCAAATGTAAACTCTTTCCACTAAAAGCTTGTCCCCTCATCTCTATTCTTGTAAGTCTCCCCATTCATAAACTTCTTTTCATGCTTAATGATTGCGTTCGGAATGCCAATGCCAATGCCGAAAAACACAAACAGCGCCCACTTCCATCGGAACGGGTTAAATGTCACGCAAAAGACGAACCACCAGACTAGTTCGAGATATGTGAAGAAGTCAAAAGCACCCATTGGGCTGAATTTTTTCAGCGTGCGCGTCATATCGATCCAGCGCTCCATCCACCATCGACTCGGCCGTGTCAAGGGGTCAAGCAGAAACATGAGAAGGATGCGAGTGTAGATGCCAATGTGCCAGTTACCAACCGTGCCAATTGCCTCCACAAACGTAGAGTTGATGGCGGAGATGGAGGGGTGTGCTGGAGGGAAAGTTTGCAAATACCAGTTTGGTGGTCCATATGGATCTTGGAAACAATCATCCGGAAGTATTGCTAGTGAAGGTCGCTTGAAACCAGTCGCCATGACGACCATGTCTGACTTGATGAGCTCCTCGTGGCCCGGACCGTCTTTTGGAACGCCGCGAGAACGACGATTGACCATGACGCCGTTCTTCTTGAATCCTTCAATGTCTCCGCGAACCCATTCTGCTTTGCCCTGACGAAGCTTGTCCATGACATCAGAGTTGACCATTGGCGTGCCCATAAAGATGCCCTTGTCATGAGTTGGCGCCAGATCCTCGAGATCTCGGTAAAAGAGCTTGCGGAGAAGGAATTCTGGTATGAAGGAGAGGAAAGTTTCTTGGCCAAAGATGTTGAGACTAAGCAAGGTGTCTACAATCATGTTCCGCGGAATGATCCATTTATCAGACCGAGAGAGAATTGAGACTTTGGCTGCGCCGGCAGAAAATGCAAATTCGAGCGCTTCCACGGCTGATGCTCCTCCGCCAATAATAGCGACATGTTTACCCTTTGCATCCTTTCTATAATCGCAAATGTTAGCTCGTTGAAGATGCAAATATTTTATGAATAAACGCACCCAGTAAGTTCGCTAGAGTGATAGATTTCACCCTTGAACTTTTCCATGCCAGGGATGTGTGGCATTTTGGGATCGCCGCAGGTTCCAATCGCCGCAATCAAGCCGTCAAACCGACCAAGAGACGGGTCATTGTTGATGATCCATCGCGTCTGCTCGTCCTGTTTGAGGCCCTTGACCTTGACGCCAAATTTGGTCTTTTCGTCCAGGCCGTAGCGCTTCCATACTTGCTCGATTTGCTCTACGATTTCCTTGCGGGTGGGATAGCCGCGCTCCCATTTGACAGAGGGATGGAAGCGGTACATGATGGAGTGGATCTGGAGACCGGATGTTTCATTAACCCTCTATAACATGAGTTAGCAAGTCATTTTCTCTCTCTTCTATTTTTGTTACAAGATGGTGGCTTACACTCCAAATTCCACCGAGTCGTTCCCTTGGCCCCGCCTCAAAAATCGTCACGTCAAAGCCATGGCCAACACAGTGAGCCGCCGCCGAAACGCCAGTCAGTCCAGCACCGATGATGGCAATTTTTGGACGCTTCAACTCGGTGTTTTGAGGGGGTGCATTGGGAGCAATGGCCGTGTTAATGACCCATTGCAGCAGCTGGTAGAGGAAGAGGAGTGGGTGGAAGAGCGGATTCGCGACGCCCGAGTCTCGAGGCATGGTTGCGGCTCATACAGCAAAGTCTCTGAAGAAGAAGAAAACACGAGTGAGAGTGAGATTGACAGAAAACAGACTTTTATAACGCTTCTTCTTCCATCCTTCCAACTCAACCCGCCTTGCGAACCCTTCGTTATTCTGACGTCACAGTTTCAAAGCCGGCTCGTTCTCCACTTGGATGAACTCATCGATGCCGAATCTGGAAACGATTTTATCGTGAGATGCTTCCCCCTGCTTTGGCATGTGATTGCGAGCTAGCAGCACGAATCCCTGAAACAAACGCCAGAAATGAGATTCATAACGGCCAAACTTTGCACTTTTCATACTTTTCAGGCTTTTCAAACTCAATTCCGTCAACTCATTTCTTTGTCGCGTACAAGTTTCACATACCAGCACCATGGAGAATCCAGGTAATTTGCTAAACCCCATTTCCATTTTTTTGTCAATTCTCATCGTGATCTCTAACAATAATTCAATTCTAGCTCAAGAAATCGCCTCTGTCATTGACACTCTCACCAAAGGCTCGCCGCAGCAGCAAGAAGACACGCTCAACACTTACTTTCTCCCCAACGCATCCTTCATCCACCCATTCTGTCGCGTTCCGTCCTTCTCACAGGGCTCTATTCCGCTGGCCAGGGATCTCGATTCGCGTTGGCTCATCCTCGGTATATACCGCTGGTATCGCACGCTGAGTCCGCGCATTGATCTCACAGTAGACTCGGCTGGTACGTTGCCTGAATCTACAGCTGCAGAAACTGAATAGCGGTGTACCAAAAATGAGCGCATCTTGATCGCTAACCTGGAGTCTCAGTATTCGATCAGCGCAACAGGACGTTGTTCGTCACTATCCGGCAGAACTTTTCAATATGGTTTATTCCCTTCCATAGCTCTTCCGTCAAGCTCGTCTCGGTCTTGCAGCTCGCGCAAAGATCCTCATCAGAGCCTGGACAGCTGCCTGCGAAAAATGGCACAGACGGTCGATCGTCGTCTGCGCTCTCCGGCCCAGGACAAGAGAGGCTGAGATATTACATCACCAGCCAAGAGGATCTGTATCAAACAAACGACTTCGTCGCGTTTGTATTGCCGTTTTTGGGACCTCTGCTGGTGTTTTTGTGGCAGCTTTACAGCACCGGCCTTTCTGTAATTGGATCTCTTTTGTTTCTGCCAGTGTATTACTTTTTGAACGGCAGCGGCGTGAAGGCCAGAAGAGAGGCATAGGCAAACTTGGAATATTTTCTTTTTTTCTTATTTACTAGGTTGTATAGGGTGGATCTGTCTAGATAGTATTTTCTATATTGCACACAGTCTTTTGTTTTCTATCTCTCCACGTCTTGTTATTTTTTTGCCATCATATCATCTCTCCTATCGCATCAGACAGCTCTAAACAGAGCCGTGGAGCCAGTGCTCTCACTTGGAACACGCAGAGCTGAGAATCGAGGCATGTTTATCCATTAGTAGGGTTCGTTGCGAAGGCTTCCTAATGTAATGTTTGCTGGATGTGATGGCGCAGTGGGCCCGAAGCCGGCGCTGATCAGTCGACTTGTGTGAGCAAGATTGAACGGTACGCTGCCTACGAATCACAGGTTTTGGACTGACATGTCGACGACTCACTGGGCATCCAGCCAACGCCTATGACTGGGTCCGTATTAGTCGTTAAATCGACCTGCTCTCGAGAGCGCTGGTAATGGGCTGGCGCGTCTTGATATACTTTACCACTGTAATAATTGACATGCTACAAGGCTCAATTCCGGATTTGGCGAGTCAATGTAAGCTCCGCTCGTTATCCAATAGACTGCAGCAGATCTGTATGAAAGATTTTTTTGCTTCTTGAAAATATCTCTGTTAAATATCCCGAATGAATGGCTTTTCTAACACAGCAGACTTAGGAAGTCTGTTTTCGGTAATAAATGGCTAATTGAGCCTTAGGTAAGTTATAGTTAAGTTATAAATGGCTTATAATTTACTATCGATTATGTTTCTTTATCTTTTACTCCGGCGAGATTAACAACATATATATACAGTAGATGGAAAAGAGGTATGTTAACTGTTCAATTTCTCCTTTAAAATATTTATTTAAGTAATAAAGTTAATATCTCTTCTCCTAACTTAATACTTAAATCTAATGCAGTTTCTCCATATTTATTTTGCAGCCCCATGTTCAAGCAGTAACTTGATTATAAGCTCTGAATGTTGGCGTACAGCTGAATGTAATGGAGTATCAAAAAATTCGTTTTTAGCAGATACATCGGCTCCGTTCTCTAACAGCAGCTGAACAATCTCTACCTTACTCCGACCATTTGTCGAGTGTATAGCATCGAATAGCGGTGAAACTCCTTCTCTAAGGTTTGCTTTATGCTCTATCAGGAGACGTACCACTTCTATGTGTCCGTATTCAGCAGCCATAGAAATAGGAGTCCTCTTGCTGCGGTTAATTGCATTGATGTTGGCCCCATTGTTGAGTAAAAACCTGCATAGCGCTACACGACCACTGCCGGCTGCCACATGTAGCGCTGTCTTCTCGCGTTGGTTTCCTGCCGTAATATCAGCCCCTCTAGCCAGCAGTAACTGCATTGCTTTTTCATCGCCTGTCTCAGCTGCCTTGAGAACCTGTGAAGTCGCTAGCCAGGATTCAGAGTTGATCTCTCCGCCAAGATGATCCAAGAGGTGCCGCACTATGGCTTCATAACCACGCCAAGCTGCCAATTTCAGCGCAGTCTTCCCGGCTTTAGTTTTCATAGAGGCATCGGCTCCCTTTTCGAGAAGTAATCGCAACACAGCTTCGTCTCCCTCCTTGGCAGCGATATGCAGCGCAGTCTTCCCGTCTCTGTCCTGGGCATTAACCTCAGCTCCGCTCTCCAGGAGCAGGCGCACCACCGTTTTGTTTCCCCAGTGTGTGCTATAGTGAAGCGCTGTTTCGTTGTTATATTTATGCCTCTGAGAAACATCTGCCCCCTGCTTCAGCAACAGTTTAACGATATCGTCCCGCCCTTGATAATAAGGCCCCGCGATCCAGAGAGGGAATGCGCCGTTCGTGCCCGTGAAGTTTACATCAAAGCCTCTTTCTAAAAGCAGTTTTGCTACCTCTGCATTTCTACTCAGGGCGGCGAAAAAGAACAAAGAACCTCCACAAGCGGTGACTGAGATATCAGCGCCTCTCTCGATCATAAGCTCCACACTGGCCTTTTCCCCATGATGGACTGCAATGCATAGCGGTGTGAAACCATTTCTAGACTTTGCTTCCAAATCCGCACCTTTGTCTAACAGCAGTGTGATGGCTTCTACGTGGCCGTTCTCAGCTGCCCAGTGGAGCGGTGTTTCGTCCTGATCCGTCCGCAAATCAATTTCCGCGTTGTTTTTGAGCAAGACTTCCAGCACTTTGTCATGACCGTTTCGCGCGGCCATGTGCAGCGCTGTCGCTCCAGAAGTCGTCGTGAGTCCAAATCTCTCGGCCACTGCGTTGACGTCTGCGCCCTTGTCGATCAATAGCTGCACTATTGCCGCATGTCCTTTTTCTGCTGCCATATGAAGTGCCGTCCAGTCATATTCGTTTTCCGCTTCTATACTTTGGCCATCTTCTATCAATATAATCACTATCTCTTTCAACCCGAAGAATGACGCTAGGCAAAGGCCTGATATTGAAATCGGAAATGGATAGTTGCGACTCTCCTGCTCAGCCAATGCCTGAACAGAAGCCGCCAGACATGTGCGCTGCCGTACAAATTTCCTGAAGAGATCTTTGGTGACTTGTCCGAGCAAGCCATTGACATGGTCTCCCCAGTATTGAGCTGCGTAACGGAAAAGCGGGTAGCAAATATCGATATCCCAGCCGTGGCCCCCATTTTGGGTATATTGGTGGAATGTTAAGATACGGCCTTTTGCCCTCGCTTCTAGAAATTGCTCCAACTCCTTGCGTTCGAAAGATAGGTACACGAGACAAGTATCTGCGATGGTTATTTCTAGATGTAAAAATCGTTCAATGTCTTGCCGGTCCATTCTCCGTTTGAGATACTCCTTTGTAGTGTAGTGGATGAATGATACTGTATTGCTCTCAGCATGGCAAGTCACTATTCCAGCACATATGGAGACTATGACCTCTTCGTCGGGTAAAAAGGCCTCGTCCAACTCTGTTGCGTCCGGGTCAGCCTCAACTGCCAGGTTGACAGCCAAGCTGTGGCAAAGTTCCTGGAGAGTTAGAGGTCGGGCAGCATAGTAGAGCCAGGTCAGGATCTGTTTGGCCATAATGACATCGTCATCATCTTGATTTTGGATTCTCCTGATAACATTGTCATAAGCTGTGTCTAGTTCATTCAACCCTCCTGGAAGATTTTTCAAAGTAAACTCGACCGTTCCGAGAACGCTCTTCGTGGCTAACAAGTCAATATACATTCGAGCAAGCAGAAACCTACGGTGTTCATTAACGCAAATGTATTGTGGAAACGAATTTCTAGTTCAAGAGAACTTACATTCCATCTGCTTTTTGTGCAACCGTCTCAACAACAGCCTCTTGTAAGCTAGGCTTTCTTAGAATGTGGCGACTCAAGTTCTTCGAGCTTTTGATACGTGCTTGGAGATAGCCTTCGATGGCATGTCTGCTTGCATGAATCTCCAAGCGCTGATCTGCCGCAAAGTTTTTCGCAATGGCCGGCAAATCCCGAGAAGTGAACAGAAGCTGGGTTTTGAGTGGCAGTCCTTTAAGCTGATCCATAAATTCATCCCGGATATCGTCAATCTCGCGGTGAGGACACTCGTCGAGTCCGTCGACAACAATAAAGACTTCTGAGAAAGTCTCAATGACATCTCGGAGGTATGTGGAATATTCTCCAAGACTGAAATGAACAGTTTTTGTAGTGTAAGATTTATAAATCTCGAGAAGGCTGTCTGGAACCTTTGGGCTTTGCCGGAATAGCTGTTGCAAAAGGCTCGCAATGAAATTGCGAACCGTGAGTAGCGTATTGCTGTAGTCGCAGTATACATAGGCTATACCAGTACCAGGTTGTTTGACTTGCGTCTCTAGGTGGTTAATAATAGACGATCTGCTGTGTGCGTTAGATAATGGAGCGAATTTCGTGCAAGCTATGGCCATGTCCTACGATAAAACAGTCTTTCCGACGCCGGCTGGGTGTCCATTAGTATGGGACAACGAAACGTATCGGCGAGCACAATTACATACGCTGTCCTGGACACCACAATATTCTATCTGTTCTGGAGAGCCAGTTCTTGAATTCTTGAGTGCTTTGTAGCCACTCCCATGTCCCGTCCTGCCGGCTAGGCAATTCGAAGTTATCGTGCTGCCTTTTCTCAAATATGTCGAATATTGGAGAAAGCCACATGCAGAAATTTCGAAGATATTCATCTGCTTTCACATATAAATAAATATAATTTACGCCTTCAAATATTTGGTGACAACGTACCGCCATAGAGGGACTCTATTGTATCAATTTTGCGATCAATACCCGCCAGTGAATTTTGAATGTTTCCAATTCCCAGCTGCGTCTTATCTACTTCATTAGACAAATATTTTAGCTGACCGGACACGATGTCAAAATTTTGAATGGAGATGTTACTGTTTGACCATTAGACCTCAAGGAAACTGAAACTCTCAAACTGGATAGTACTTACAAATCAAGTATTGTCAGAGTCAAATGCAGCCTATCCTGTAAATCTCCAACAATTTCTTGCAGTTTGATCAATGTGCTTTTCTTAAACGGATATAGAGCTCTCCGAGCTTGTGAAAGTAATCTCTCGCCTACGGTATCGCTCAAAGATAACCTTCGGATCTTTTGAAGCTTTTTGTCCAAGTTGGTGATCCCACCTTCGCAGAGAGTAATACTATCATGGACTTTGACGATAATCTCTGATTCAGGGTCTTGCTTATCGACAGTTGACTTCACTAGTAGTAAAATCTTGGTGAGATCCTGTATAGAGTTGTATGTTGCCGTAACTTCACTCTCGGCATCTTTCCAAGAACTATAATACTCAAGCAGACCTTGGCAAAGCTCAATTCCAAAAGACACTATCCCAACAACCCCAGATGCAATTCCAAGTGCCTCAGCCATAGTATATATAAAAAAAAAAAAAAAAAAAAAAAAAAAAGAGTCAAATTGAAGATATTTTGATTCGCATGATGATTCTTACAAATAGAGTTTATAATATATAATGTATCAGAGAGGGGGGAAACAACATGAAAATGATAAAAGCAATGAAAACGTTAAAAGGATGTATAAAAATAGAAAGAGAAATAAAAGAGGGGAAAGTAAAAGAGGGGATGGCAAAAAGAGGGGAAAACGAAAGAAAGCAGGTGTCCTGCCGTGTGATTGGATGCCTTTCCTCGGATGATAGCTCGAATACGGAGCAGAGCCGCGCGCCTCGAATAGCGTCGTCGAGATCCTTAAGGATCAAGGCCCCAGGCCCTTCACCACGGGCATGGCTGTTTGCCTTATGGTCAGAATGTTAAGAAGAGTACGCCTCTGGCGCTTTAGAAAAATCGTCGTATCGGGTCCTAGTATGAGACTCGACTTAGCTACATGTCTAAAATCGTGCCTTTTCGTGTAAGATAATGAATGACATTTAGAGGGCACCATATATTGCCGAAATGATAAAATTCAACGTTAAATGTGTAGAACTTTCCTTGTACGATGATATATTTCCTATTTATCCATAAATTTCATCATAAGTGAAAGCAATTCCATTTTCATATATCCTATACGTCTCCTCCTCCCTCTCAACCGGTGCCATTGTTGGTCGTAAACGTTGCATCTCTACCCGCCGTGGACGTCGCTTCGTGCTCATTACTGCAAAGCTGATTGGCAGCCCAGACAGTATTTATGGCGGCACTACTTCGCCTGTAGTAACGATGATCCTAAGGTTTGGATGCACCCTGACCAGCACGGAAAGCGTCTTCGCAATATCAGCTAATTGGGCATCCGGGTCGGGAGCGGACCTGTCGAGGCGATCGATAACAATAACGATGGATCCTAGTAGAGCCACAATCGAGTGAAGCAGTTTGACAAGAGCATTAAAAGTGTCTGCCTTGCCAAAGTTCCTGATGTTGACAATGTCTGGCGCAGAAACGGTCAAGCTTGGTCTAGCATTTAGAAGCTGCGAGATGAGCTGTTTCAAGACCTGCTGTGGCGTCCATCTCACTCCTTTTGGACGGTCGCACATGGCAAATGTTATCGGCTGGCCCTGCGAGAGGCATATATCAATAAGATTGATAGAGAACTCAGTTACCCAGATTTGATGGCCATTGCTTTCAGTTCACACCCAAAAGATGGAATTCCGAGAGCTGTCACAGAGCCCACGCCATTCAGCAAGGTGCGGGAGAATGCCGTTATGACTCCAGTGGTCACGCATTTCAGTGAAGAAATGGAGTGATTGCCATTTACGTAATTCATCTTCAACGTCGTCAACATTATAATTCCAGGCGTCGAGGATCTCTGACGCGTAATAACGAGATTGTGCTTAACCACATAGGAAGACAAGGCAGTGATTAGCCAAATTTTGCTTGATTCTGATGATTCAAACTGCTTTAATAACTTACCAAGGCTCGTTGTTAGTAGTTGTCGTTTCAGCAGACGGATTTCTATCCACAAGTTGTCAGCTTAGGACTCTAGTAGTTTGAAGGAGGAATGTCTACCAGAATTTAGATGCTCAACGCTTTCCATGATATGTTTCCGCTCTGCGATATGCCCCGCTTCGCACAATGCTTTGAGCCTGGCTGCTACTGTCTTGACATTCTCAAGGTATGTAGAGAATTTATATTTTGAACGTGGCAGCATTGCGTCGGCTAGTTGTTCTATATCGATATCAGAACTTGGGAACCCATATATAAAGTGGACTCTACATTCCATGGCTGGCTTGCTGAAAAAGTTGTGAGAATAGTACATTGAAAGCCTCCATAGTAAATCCAGTGTGTGTATATAAAATTCAGTGAGTGCTTGCTTCATATCGTTTGTTGGAAACATGTCTTTGTAAATTTCCAGAATTAGAATGTCTTGAGACAGAGAGTTAATGAGGCCTTAGACTGAGTCAATTTTATCTTTCCTATCCGAAATGCCCTTTCGTGTGTTAGTGAATGCTACTTGCCGTTGCGTTGACGTTATTACAGCGGCATACTTTGAAAATAACCCACAGACAGGCATAGGGGATGGAATATTCCGGGCTCTGAGGAATAAATATGTCAACAATTGGCTTTATTTGCGTTGCAATTTTAATTAGCACATGAGCTGAAGTGTTTACTTTCTGCAGTAGCTCTGGCTTAGATGCTCGCTTTTTCTTTATATTCTCGTTCTCTTTGTTGATAAGGCTTTCCACCCATGAAGCGTCGTACAACCTTGGCTTCTTCAGCCGTATTGGCGCACTCTCGATTACGTTTGTGGCTACCATACTTGGCTGGCTATGCCACCAAGGCTGTGAAATTAAATCCTCATTAATCTCCTTGCACTTTTGCAGAGCTTTAGCGTAGATGATACTGAGCGCAGAGATCAGCAAATTATCATAGTCTGGTTACGCGTCAAATGGATACAGGTACTCACGCATCTTCCTCAGATCTAGGTTGGTACCATTTGCTCCAAGATGTTAAGCTTCCTGCCATATATACAAATCTACTACCTTACTTTGATATGAATATGCAATGCTGCTATGCAGTGAGATCGTGTAAATGGAATTTTAGTTAAACTTGGACTTTATTCAGTATCAAGGAAAAGAAATTAAGAGGAAAAAAAGCCTCGAAGGATCAGAAAGTTTCCAGCTTATGCCTTTAATTGCTTAGGATGCGTTTCTGCAGGATGGTAGCATCGGTATTGGACCCGCCTCGTCACAATCGACGCCCAATCAAGTATTATCTTATGCCCTTTGCCTCAGCTCCAGAATGTAGTAACCACGTAATCAAGTACGGTCGGTCGCAAACCTACGGAATATATCTCAGGTACCGTCTCTGGATCACCAAAACCGAGAAACAGCAGAGGCCATCGTCTTAGTCTCTTCATCACGATTGCGAAAAGATCAACTACTGAAAAATGGCTTCTCCACTGATGGAATATATGCCGCGGTCACAGCGACTAAAATCCCCAGGAGATGAACGTCTTCTTCTTCGTGCTTCCTCCCGTGAGAACAGTCACGAGGGTAGTCGAGATTCTTCTGTTCACCTAGAAAGCTCCAGAAAGAGGATTGCTGAGCGCACTACCATCGGCGGGATCAATATGATTGAGATACGGTCAAAGTACCTTCTCGATGCCATTAAAAAAGTTAATAAACATCCGCCGCTACAACCAACCAAAGATTATTTCACTGAGCAGGCGCCCTATCCTACACTCTTCCATCATATGGATGATGTTAAGAGAGAAATCGCTCAGATGAACAGTGAAGAAGCAGATGACCATCTAAAGATACTACATAGCGCCATCGACTATATAGATCCCATCTGGAACGAGCGACGTGAAGAAAATTTCACAAACGACTTGGTGAGCTATGGTATGATATGGAAATTATTTCGCCCTGGTGATCTTGTTCTCCGAAAGGATGACATTGGTAACCTGTGGCTCTTTGTTTTGATCAAGACTGCCTACTCTATGTTTCAGAGTAAGGAAGAAGAGAAGAAGAAAGTGATTTTCGAAACTTGGTACTTGACTTGGAAGAAGTTGATAGCTATCTTACCAGGAAGTACACTGTGTTTAGTTGCAGCGAATTTTCTGGTCAACGGCAGATCAAATCGCTTCCTGTTTATCCAATTCGGTATCAAAAAGACATAAGAGGAGAAAATATCGAAGGAAATTTTGCTAAAAGGGGCAGGAAATGGTGGGAGCTCATTGCTGCGTCACCGATCTGCCAACATCATTATGGGCTTGCATTTTTTCAAGACCTTATGCGCGGAAAAAGTGAAAAAATTCGGGTATGTTGTAGTGGTTCATATATCTAGTAGGGTAGGTTACTCTGTCGGACTTTGAAAGTTGATCAAAACCAGGCCGACGGCAGAGTAGTGATTGACAATAAATCGAATAGCCTCGAAGACATTGACGCCGTTCTCAGACCTGAAAGCAGCATGCGCGAGCGTGATCCCGAACGCGAATTTTACTTCCCCAGCAGAGACACGGGCAAAAAGATGTACTATCGCGATGTAGATGACCTTAGAGAGGCATATCAGTGGGACAGAATTCCTGCTTCCACAATATTAACGGATGAGCAGGCAATGCTTTTCCCAGCCGTTATAGGCTGCCATGACTTGAGAAGCAAAAAGAGATATACTGTTAGCGTCAACGATTTGCAGCCAGTCGAGTGGAACGAAGATGAAATGGATCATCTTGTATTGGAGGATAAGAAAAAAGCTATGCTCAAAGGGCTAGTGAGCTATCACTCCAATCGAAATTGTCGTAATGAAAAAGGAGACCTTATTGCGGGCAAGGGAGAAGGTCTTGTTATCCTCCTTCATGGACCACCAGGTGTTCGTTCTTCTTTTTTACAAATACGAACTGGAACACTGAACACTGATACTCCATATTAGGTTGGAAAAACGCTGACTGCAGAGTCAACCGCCAAAGCTGTAGGAAAACCTCTTATTGCAATGAGCATTGGCGAAATGGTATGGGATGAAGCACAACTCCAAGGACGGCTAAAATCTGAGTTTCAACGAGCCATAGAGTGGGGCGCAGTTCTCCTCCTGGATGAAGCTGATGTGGTACTCGAAGCTCGATCCTTTGAAGATGTACGAAGGAATGGCATTGTTTCCAGTTAAGTCACGGCACAAGCTTCATATATGGCCACTCTGACCAATCCATTGCTTGCTTTGTAGTCTTTCTCCGAGAGTTGGAGTATTACAAAGGAATCCTATTTCTCACCACGAACAGAGTTAGCACAATGGATACAGCGTTTCAATCTCGCATTCAAATTGACATTAGCTTCTAGACCATGACGCCAAAGATTCGAGCGCAGGTCTGGACTCAATTACTTACACTGAATGGTCGAGATGAGAGCCTTGGGTCGGAAGCGGTTAAAAGAATCCAGAAGAAATTAAGCGAATACAAATTGAATGGGAGACAAATTAGAAACGTTCTAAATGTTGCAGAAGGTCTTGCATTTCAGAAAGATGGCAAGCGAGGGAAGCTGAGATATGAACACGTTGAGGAAGCGGTGAAAGCAGCGGTCGAATTTCAGAACATGCTGGAGGAGTTAAAGTCGATGATGAAGGTGGTGATGACGATTCGATATTCTAGGTGGAGTACATGGACAATGATACTTGTTGTTCACTTGCGAGAGCGGTCTTTGATGGTATATCTCAAAAAATCGTTTCTTCGTATCATAACAGGGTATAACTGCAGTCACAACTTCGCGCATGCCTTAAACAAGAGCAACATCCTTTTCAATGTGTCTAAAAATTTCAACATGTGATCCCCCAAACGCCTTATAAATGCCTCGACTTTCCTTTTGCGTAGCCATCACGGCCAATTATACTTGAATTAGATTTCGCCTTCGAGGCCGTGTATGGTGGACATGGCGAAACTCGAAAAAGCACTCGAAACCGCCCCAAACGATGAATATAAATCTCCATATACTATTTCCAGTCAGCGACTATCCAGTTAATATCCACACTGTTTATAGGTGCACTTACACGACGGCAGTAAGCATCCACACCGCAATGGCCAGCATTTTGTTTTGTGAAAAGCCTTCTCTGCTTATAACATCGGGATCGCCCACCCCGCTGGTGATTTGCGGCGATGAATCGCTCTCGAGAGCGGCAAAGCCGTCGGCCTGGTATGTGTAGCGCGAAAAGATGATCATGACGATGCCGCCCAGCGATATGGCAAGAGAAAAGAGATCGTGGAGGAGGGCGCGCGCTGGCGATAGCGGGTTGAAGCCAAACGCGCGGTCGAGCTTAGCGACGACGATCCATGAGTCGTTGAGGATGGCGATGGCAGACTAGAAAGATGATGGATGTTGAGTTAGCTATAGCTGCTGCAGTGACAGCGATGACGATATGGCGATGGTGACGCCACCAAGCAGAGACTCACCCCCACGAGACCAGCGGCGACGGCGCCAGCCTTGTCGGACCATTGGTTGATGATAAAGGCCAGAATCACCAGCGTCGTCACGCCCGTCATCCAGGCCACCGCCCGGGCGATTATCTGGACGAGGCCATATGGACCGGGACAGTAGCGTCTTGTCATTTGAATATAGTGGCGGACTGGTGGGGACAAGAGAGGTTCAGGCGAGGTTTAGCGTCGTATCGAGGCCGAGAAGAGAGCAGCAGCACCCGCAGCTGGTAATACAAGGAATAGGCGAGATTGAAGAAAAGCGCTGAACAATGGGAGCTGAAAATAATGATTTAGTGGACAGGGCTGGCGCGCAGAGATGGCGATGACGAAGGCGAAGAAGAAGAGAGCTGAGGTCGGGTCCTCGTATAGCAAAAGAGCACAGCCAGCGCCGATCGTGGGCTGGCACCTGGCGCTACATGCAATTTACGGGCTGTCAGTGGCAGCCTCTGGAGTTGCACGTGAGACTCCAGCTCGCTTGATGCCGAAGTGGTGTTGCAGCGGCATGTATGTGTAGAGAGAGAGGATGGGCGTTTAATAGGCGCTGGGTTGGGGGAGTGCTGAAGAAGATGCTGATGCGAGCTGGGCGCGATGCTTGGGTGGTCTCAGGCTATGCGGGTATTGTGCGCAATTGTAGGTGGAGGAGAGGATAAGAAACAGAGAAGAGAGAGAAAGAAGAGAAGCACAGAAAGATGCACGGCAAAGAGGAACGACGATCGATGCCAATGCGTGGGCCAGTGTCAGATGCTATCCAGAGAAGCAAATGGTGGCTGGCGGCATTGTTTGAGGATACGAGCCAATTGCCCGGCGGTAAAAAAAAAAAAAAAAAACAGAAGAGCAGTGGTGAGAGGCCAGCAGCCATGATTCGACGAGGCCTCTCCAAGTCAGCTGGCATGATGGCTGCATCTCTCTCTCTCTCTCTCTCTCTCTCTTTTTTTTTTTTTTTTTTTTTTTTTCAGCTTTGGGGGCCGAAGCTAACATGGAGCTTGTGCTTGTGCTTGCTTGACCCATTTGCCATCCTTGAATCTAATCTGCTGCGTTGGTATAGCACATCTGCAACTGCTACTACATACTATAATGCCCCGGAATGCTGCAGTTATTCATCTGGAGTGACGGCCAAACACTGAACACTGATACACGGCACAAATCTCGATCCAGCGATGCGGAATGCCGTGAACCAGTGGTTCAGGGCCGATGCGAATTTCGCTTCTTGGTGGTTGAAATCCAGAGGCTGGGGGGGGGAGCTTGGACGACGCCAGGTACAAGCAATAGCCGCCGTGCCCTGCAGCAGGCCCGGGTACTGCTAGTCTAGCTTTTCGAGCCCAAGATGCGGTCCTCTCTCTCCACTGGCATTGGTCTTATTAGTGGAGGCGCGCTTTTGATGCAAGGGAGCTTTTGGCGTCTGGTACTGGTAATATTGAGCATATACAGGTACGGAACCAATGGTACGGAACAATTGAGACAAGCTTGCCGAATACGCTGCGGCATCGGGAGCGTTACCGGCATTGGGAGCGTTCAAACATTATTCAGTGTGAATCAGACGGTTTGGGCAGAAAGACGGTTGATTGTCGTCTTACATACTTGTATCTATACTGTACAGCGCCATCGCTGCCCCAACGTGGAGGAGATCGCCACGCCTCTCCGCATTTAGGGCGCCGGGCCGCTAGAGGCGGTCTCTAGTGGCTGCGACGTCTTGCGACTCCATGTCCAGTCGTTTGTTTCGTGCAAATACAAGCACTGCGTGTGGACACTGGCGGTGGGTGGGCGGTGGAGAGCTGGCGAGCCCCGCCACAGAAATCGCGCCTCAATCCTGTGCAGGGGAAATGAAAATGGAACGAGGCAACCGAACTGAGGCCTCGCACATCCACGTAGGAGGCTTCTTGGCTCTCGGAACGTTAATTCGTGCCTTATCACGAGATGCCTCGAGTGAGGTTGTGATGGCAAATTCGGCTATACACGAGTAACCAGACGCCAGACGCCACTCTGATGCACTGCGCAGTTCCGAGGTTGAGCTCTAATACACTACTATTACTACATGCTGACGAGCCTCTAGAGCCATCCACCTATCCACTGCATGTTTATCAAGCAGGCAATTATTTATAGCTTCCACCATGGCCGGGTGCAGTAGTATTAGTACCAGAAAAACCGTTGAGAAAGGCAGCAACCCAGGGATCCTCCACTCCGATACATGAAGCGTGCGTACACGATGCGTCACAAAAAGCACGCTGTTTGTTAACCAGGTTCCGCTGATTCCGTATGCTTTACTCACTCGATGCCCAATTGCACGCATGAATCATGAATCTCGGCACTTGAACAGATAAAAAAGCCTCTGAGCAGTTGATTTCCCATTCTTCTTCTTCTTCTTTTCCTCCAAACGACGCCAGAGTCTCGCTGTCTCAGCTCGTATCCAACTCTCTGTGAATAGATCAACCCAAATGTGAAACGCGTCCAGCGCCATCGCCCAAGCTAAAAACTAGGCACAGCCTGCTTTTCGAATCCACTGCATAGCTTAGAGCTAGCAAGCCCGAAAAAAAAAAACCTGAGCTAAATCAGCCCAGGCGGTCCCTTTCCCCTAATCTCTCGCTCCCTCGGGACTCTTTTCCTCTTTGCAGCTGTTGCGAAAGGCGGGAACCGGGCCGTTTGTTCGACGTAGCTTGAACTCACCCACCTAAGCACCGACAAACAAAGCCTGGAAATTCACCTCATCCAAGGCTTTACGAAAAACAATTAAAGGAAAAACAAAGGATAACGCCAAGAAGATACTTATTTTGTATCTTTTCGTCACTAAAACCGCCTGCTAGTCTTTTTATCTCTACACGCGTCTAATCTCAGCCATTGATTCGCGGACAAACCCTGGCTCCTTCTCACGCTTCCCCTCTCTGCCCACCCAACTCGAAAGATGGGCAACGCAGATATTGGCAGCCCGCACTCCTTTCGTAACCTCAAAGGGCCCGTGGAAATGAAATCCGACCCCGAGGCTGCGGCTCATTCGCGTGGGCAGCTCGTTTCTAAAAATGAGCGTCTGATTGCGATGCGGCTAAGCAAGCGAGGTGGAGGCAGCAGCCGCAGCATCAAGCAGCTGTTTCTCGACAACCAGGCCGGTATGTGGAATTTATATCAATTGGGCCGTGAATGTCCATTCTAACCTGGCAGCAGGCATCGTTTTCAATCTCGTGGCCCTTCTCTATCTCACCCAATTGCTGATTCCCAGAGCCCGGCCCTTCACAAGGCCCTTCTGGTCGCTCTCCCACTACAACCCCACTACTGGAAAGTATGCAGTGGGCTCCAATGACATCTACTACGTATTCTACTATCTGGTCCTCTTTACAGGATTGCGCGATGGCCTCATGAACGGCGTTTTGGGCCCCCTAGGACGGCGCTGGGGAATCTCCAAGGCCAAGGACGTTGAGCGGTTTGCCGAACAGACGTGGATGATTTGCTACTACTGCCTCTTCTGGCCTCTTGGTGTAGTATGTTTCTCTTCATCCATCTGACTTGACTCTTTCCTTCTTTTGCCTTCTTTTGCCTTCTTTTTTCAAGGCAACAGTCTTATTTCTCTTGCTAATCTGGCTCACAGTATATCTGGTACTCCTCTCCGTACTTTCTCAACATGGCCGAGCTCTGGACAGACTGGCCCAGCCGGGAGATTACAGGGACTATGAAGTTTTATTTTCTCGCGCAGCTGGCTTTCTGGATACAGCAAGTCTATGTCATCAACATTGAGAAGCAGCGAAAGGATTACTGGCAGATGCTGTCGCACCACGTCGTCACCATCGGACTGGTCGTAGCCTCATACGCCTACCATTTCACGCGCGTTGGCAACCTGATTCTCATCATCATGGACATTGTCGACATTGTCTTTCCAGTTGAGTCTCCTGCCCTTGTTCAAATCTTTTAACGACAAGCCTACTAACGGGTCTACAGCTTGCCAAGTGCGCCAAGTATCTGGGCTTCAACACCCTTTGCGACATTCTCTTTGGACTCTTCGTCGTCGTTTGGCTCGCCACCCGCCATGTGTTTTTCCTCATGGTAATCCGCAGCGTCTACTTTGATGTTCCTGCTATCGTGCCGAAAACCTGCTTCCAGGGCGGCATGAACAGCCTTCAGGGGCCTCTGCCCCAGCCTAGCGGGTGGTCTTGGCTGCTTGAGCCGTTCAAGGATCCAGAGGGCTTGATCTGCTTCAACCAGTCCATCTTTAACGGATTCTTCAGCTACCTCGTTGCGTTACAAGGGATCATGATGATCTGGTCTTATGCCATCCTCAAGGTTGTTGTAAAGGTGCTCAGCGGCCAGAACGCCGAAGACATTCGCAGTGACGATGAAGAAGAGGAACAAGTCAGCGAGCTTGAAGAAGAAGAAGAGGGAGACGAAGAGTCTGGGCTACTGGAAGAAGAGGCCGAGGTGGATGATGGCATCGTAAAGGCCTGGGAGCGCCGAAACCGAGTCTTGCCCAAGAGAGGCGGCAGCTCCAGCGGCTTGCATCTGCCCGGTCACAGTGATCGTAAGGAGTTTCTCAACCGGATTGGATGCGAGAAGCAGATCGATTGAGCTGGAGAGGAAAAAAGGAGAATGTTATCACTGGATGATTTATGTTATGTGCGACTGATTTAAAAAGTTTTGATTAACGAGCATGAAGCAAAATGACTTTGTTCTTCCAGCCACCGATAGACTCTGTTTAGATATGAGCCAAGGGGTTTGCGAACACATTGCGGGTCCTGGATCTGCTATCGAAAAAGATGCCATCTATGGTGCTATGAATTTCAACAAATATATCTTGGTTACTTGACCTTGCGAGAGAGTGTCGTGTGCTGCCAGTGCAAGAAGACAGTGGGCACACTTTCTACGGGGATAACGGACACCTGCAGCCCCCGAGAGTAATCTCAATTCAGGATTTTGAGTGTCTAATCTCCGGGCATGAATATTCCTACGAGAACTATTTTGTAATAGCAACGATAAGTGCAAAAACATGCTGATTCTTCTGTGCTCCTCCAGACGCCGTGAACCCGCGGGCTCCGTGTCTCAGGGGCCCAGAAAGAGGGTCCAGTCTGGAGCACGGAGAATTTAGCATGGATTGCGGCGTCGAGGCCTCGGAAGGATGCTTTAGCGTTTTCAGCCCTGGGAGTGCAAACGGGTCCCTTGCATATGGCTCCAGCAGCATCGGTTGATGCGTGCTCGTATATATGAGTTTTGGTGGAGAGAGTGCGCGAGGCTTGATATGTGGCTTTCGGCAGCTGATTCCGAGTGTGTGCAGTAGGGAAGCGCCACGCGCAAAAGATGCTTTGTCTAAGTTGAACTATTGATGCTGCAGGTACAAAAAGAAGGAGAGAAAATAAACAGAAAGTGAAAAAAAAATTGGGAAAGGAAAAAAATAAATAAAATAAAATCAGGAAAATGGCTCTTGAATTGGAACTTTCCGGGATGCAGGTCTTTCGTCTAATTCTCCGTGATGCTCTCAGCTGATCTGCCTGACTCTCAAGAAATCTGCTCTACCGGCTGCCGTTGACCACAGACGTCATCAGGCATTGAAAGTGTCGGCCCGGACGAGAAATGCCGACGGCACCGAGTCTCTCTCTTTTTTTTTTCTGGCCTTTATAAAACTGGTGCACACGACCAGTCAAAATCCGGGCGCTTGGTGGGCGAGATCCAGTAATTGCGGCGTTGCATCCACTCGGGCAGTTACTAAAGAGGTACATCCGGCGACGCCCGCCTTCTTGGCACCGTTTACATCATTCCACCAAGCCAAAGACCGCTGCCCAAGGCCTTTTCTGGCGTGCTTGGGGACGCTATTTCAGTCCCATCTGACAAGCTCTGGCTGGTAGCTTATAACAGCTTCCCAAGTACCCTCCAGGTCACTGCGCTATACCGCCCGCCCGCCGATTTAAAGCCTGTTGCTGGCCCACCCTCCATCAGCCTGCCGCTATTCCCACGGATATCTCGAACTTCTCTTCTTCGCGAACCTCGACTTCAGTTTCATCGCTCACCACCGCTCTTCACAGGCCTCCTCTCGCAGCAATGGCTGGGCACGACGCCGCCCCGCTGCTCAGCTCGTCACCGCCGCCGTCCCAGGCAAACGGCGCTGTCCGTCGGCGAAATCAGCAGCTTGCCGGCCCTACCGAGATATCCGCTGCCGCAAGCAACGGCCCCAACGGCGCGGCATCATCATCACGCCTCTCGGCAGACAAGAAGAGGCGACGAAAGGCTCGATCGCTGTTCCGCCGCTTCGCCCGCTTCTCCTTCAAGCACACCTGGGTTGCTCCCCTGATCCTGCTGGTGCTGTTTGGCGCCGCCTATGCCGTCAACCCAACCGACGCCAACCCCGTCAGCCGCTTCATCTTCCTCTCGTACGAGCAGCCAAACCCCAGCGCCCATCTCGACCCGACGCTGCCCGCGCACTATGGAAAGGGCCTCTGGGACGTGGCCTTTGTGGCCTTTTACACGATTGTGCTGTCCTTTACGCGCGAGCTGATGATGCAGGAGCTGCTGATCCCGCTGGGCCGCATCAACGGCATCAAGAGCAAGGGCAAGCAGCAGCGCTTCGCCGAGCAGATGTACACGGCCATCTATTTCAGCTGCATGGGGCCGACGGGCGTCTACGTCATGAGCCGCAGCCCCGTGTGGTACTTCAACACGGCCGGCATGTACGAGACGTTTCCGCACCGCTCGCATGAGGCCGTCTTCAAGTTCTACTACCTGTTCCAGGCGGCGTACTGGGCGCAGCAGGGCGTCGTCATGCTGCTGGGCTTTGAGAAGCCGCGCAAGGACTTTAAGGAGCTGGTGGCTCACCATATCGTGACGCTGGCGCTGATTGGCCTGAGCTACCGCTTCCACTTTACGCACATGGGCATTGCCGTGTACATTACCCACGATATCAGCGATGTCTTTCTGGCAGTATGTTTGCACATCACCTCTCCTTTACTCCTTTACTCTTCTGATACTGACAACCAATCTCTCATTTACAGCTGTCCAAATCGCTCCACTACATTGACAGCCCGCTCGTCGTCCCCGTCTACGTGACCAACATCTTTGTCTGGATCTACCTCCGCCACTACATCAACCTGCGCATCCTCTACTCCATCCTCACCGAATTCCGCACCGTGGGGCCCTACGAGCTCAACTGGGAGACGCAGCAGTACAAGTGCTGGATCTCCAACATCATCACCTTTGCGCTGCTCGCCTCGCTGCAGGCCCTCAATCTCTTCTGGCTCTACTGTCTCTTCCGCAGCATGTACAAGTTTGTCGTCTACAAGATCAAGAAGGACGACCGCTCTGAGTCGAGCGAGGAAGAAGAGAATGCACAGCCCGAGGCTGAGCCTCTACTGGAGGGCAATGGGCTTGCCAATAGCAATGTTAAGCCCGCTGCCGGCGCGAACGATTCTCTCTAGGGGAAATATTCAGCTCTTGTAAAGTTTTGAATATGTGCTCTGCGAGTATCGGTTACAAAAAGTCGAACCATATCTTTTCTTTTTTCTTTGGATTTTGATGAAGAGTCCGGCATGGCGAAAAATATCTATCTTCCCCTTTTTCTTCTTTTTTCTCTCTCTCTTCACACCCCTGCAATCTTTTTAAAATCTTTACACCTTTTTTTTTTTTACACCGAATTTAATCCATGGCGAATGATGATGACTACAGCAACGACTAAAAAAAAAAACAAGAATTTGGATCTCTCCAGTGTATAGTTTCTTGGAGTAACATTTCGTATATATATTACACACGACTTTACGCTAGTTCAGACGGCTAGCTTTTCGTCTTTCTTCTGGAAAACAATGCTTTTGGGTTTGATTGGATAATGTCTGTGGTGGAAAGGTCTGCCACATAGGATGCAGCTGGATGTGCCTATATCGACTATTTGATCGACTGTTATGTTATTTGCATACTACAAGTACTTACTATAATACTTAATATTAACAACTGTTGAAATGAATAAGAGCCTCATTGACGCTATGACCTGACTAATGGTTTATTATCATATGGATCACTTTTTTTCTATTCACGTCATTGCCACTGCTGATCCTGTTCAAATGTGCTTTTTGTATGATATATGGCTCATTTCGGCCAGAAAAGCTCAAAAAGATGCCGACTAACCGACCAACGCCCATGTATATGCACTATATACGCACGCATACAGATTAATATCTCTGCACAAACCAAACCCAAACCGAACCAAACCAAACCAACCAGATCATTATTCGTATCAGCTCATAATCCACCCTTGCCGGGCTATACACATTGACTCAGAATGAATACTCCTCTACGTGGAGATAAATGCCCTGCGCCCCAGTTCCCTTGTGCACCGCCCGCTCATCGCTCAGTCTGCTCACGCAGTTGCGCGTCGTGGCGACAATCTCTGGTCCTCCACAGACCACCACTGCGGTCTCGCCAAAGGCAACCTCGACAGGCTGGCGGATCAGCTGCTCAATGTCAGGGCGGGTAGTGTATTCGCGGACGATGGGGAGGCTGGAAGTGGATTTCTCCTGCTGCTCCTGTATCTCCTTCTTCTCATCGCTGCTGGATTTGTTGCCAGTGCAGCAGCAGGATGAGTCTTCGTGGGGTGATTTGACGGCTGTTTCTCCTTTGAGGTTGATGCCATCGTCGCCGCTGCTGCTGGCTGTGATGTGTGAAATGTTGGTCTCGTTACGTGAGAGGGGGAGGCCATCGCTGCCGAGGCCGGAGCTGGTGATGGCGACGTGGATGTTGACAATGACGCCCTTTGTGGAGAGAGCATTGCCTTCTTTTTGAGCCCGCTGCACATAGTATTCAATTTCCCTGTATGACCTTGCCACAAAGAGCACTTCAATTCTCTTCACGCAGCCAACAAAGTCGGCTTGGGCCGCGGCTTCTAGCAGAGGCAGTGTGAAACTCGCTCCGGTGGAAGCTCCGATGAGGACCATGGTTTCGTAAATATCCCATCGAGGAGGTGTGCCGTATGGGCCGGAGAGGAATCCCGTGAGCGAGGCCTCCGGGTTCTTGGAAGCATAGGTGTGGATGCGCTTTGAGAAGCCCTTGTGCTTGCGCAGGATGAGCTGCACGCTGTTGCAGCAGCAAGTCCCTTCAATCTTGCGGGCACAAGCAATGGTGTAAGGATGTGCTTCCAGGGGGCCCAGTCGTGGAATCCACAGATAGACATGCTGGCCGGGGGTCCAGTTGAAGTGTACGTCCTTGATGGTAACAACGGTGGTGGTATCGGCCACTGCTCGAGCCAAGATTTGGTGACCAACTCGTCTTCTGCCCTGGCAGGCTGATCCGCCGGCCTTGAATCTCAGATTCTGCCACAGGAGGAGAGCCCAGCGAGCGGCGCGATCGAAGACGAGGAACGAGACGGCCAGCCAGAACAGGAAGCGAGCGTTTGTGGGAATGTGAAGATATACAAGCACCAGCATCGCAACGGACGCGGCCACGTGCTGCAGGACCCAGACCTCGTACGCCAGTCTGCGGATGGGCACGAAACCAATCACCACATTCCACAGCAAGATGGCCCAGGCGCCCAGGCCGTATTTGACCATGGGCATGGTCTCCAATTCCAGATCGACAAAGTCTGCGAGCACCCACTCGGTCCAAAAGTGGAAACCATGCACCGTCGCCGTGACAAACATTGTGCGCGCAACCCATCGATGCAGCCAGTTGAGCCTCTCATGGCCCGTCCCAACCAAGAAGCCAATGACGTTGACCTTCATCGACAGCAGGAAGATCATGGGCAGCTGCGTGAGCGTGACCCATGCGTTGCGATAGCCGATGCGCTCCCAGAAGTTGACGTCGTGGACGACGGCATGCCAGGACATGAAGTAGGCAATGACGGACCAGTAGCAGAGCAGGATAAGGACGCGGCCCAGAGGCGGGGGAGTGAGCCAGGTGAAGTGGCGGATGTGCACGAAGTACTGCGGGAGGGAGATTTCGCGGATGATGGCGGTGATGGTGGCCCATGCTTGGGAGAGGAGGCCGTTGGGGCGGGTTGGATGCGGGTTTGACGAGGGATCGCGAGCGGCTTTGAGTCTTGGAGTTTAGAGTTAGCAAAGAAAGGATCAAGGCAGATTTTTTCAGAAGTTGTATGTATTCACCTCTTGATGGCGCCAATGTGGTTGATGCCGCGGATGGCCATGAGTGATGCCACAACGGTAGCTGTGATGTACCAGTAGGCGCGGGCGAAGCGATGGTTGATGTCGGAGCCCATGCCCGTCATGCCATCGCCGCTCATGTCCATGCCGCCCATATCCATGGTGAGGAGCGTGGGAGGACTGTTTCTGGAAGAGAGATGCAGTCGAGCGTGAAGCGTAGATGGTTCGATCGCAGGTATCAAAGCGAGAGAGGGACAGAGAGTGATGTATTAGCCGGCTAATGATTCACTGATGCATCTTTTCTTTTCCTCTGATTCGTTTTCTGAGAATCCAGATACGCAATCGTGGGAGGGGGGTCCTCTGCTCGTCGCTCGCTCTACTCTCGAGTCTTATTATGCTGCAGATTCGCCGAAGATGTGATACGTCTCGTGCCGGTATTCCGAGATGGTGAGAATGGCAGAGCGACAGACAACTCTAGCACGAGGTGATGAGCAGGTTTCGTCTGCGGCGGATCAATTAGTTGGCCGAACAAACTCTCTCGCGGAGGAGAAAAGAGACGTTGTGGGGTGGGAGGGAGATTCCAAGGCTCCTCTTGGTGGAGTGCGTTGTGTGTGGCATGTGTGACTAGGAGGAGAGAAGGCATGCTAGTAGGTAGTAGTAGTGTGTAGGTACCTGCTAAAGCTGCTGCTGAAATGGGCGGTTTAGTACCATCTACAGCGGCTGTTGTCTTGATTAAAACGCAACATTGAATGTCTCTAATTATGTGAATTACAGCGCCTGCATCCATTGGGCTGTACTTGGTGGAGGGAGAGTCTTGTGGCCGGTTTCGGTTTCAGAAGTCGAGGTGCCCACAACACAAACAAACAATGAGCAACTACAGTCTCTAAAACATCACAACATGTCTGTCTGTCTCTCCCTCCCTCCCTCCATGCAATACCATGTCTCTCTCTCTATACCTACAGCATCACGTCTAGCATCGTCAAAATCCCAAACCCCGGGCCTCGAGCATCAAACATCCAACATCTCAGCTCAAAACACCCCCCCAATACCAATACTTCAATATCCACCGCACCTTGAGAGCCACCATAAACTTGCTCAAATGCTCTCAGATGGGCAGCTTAGCGGTGTCTGATTAGCTGGTGCGCTGCTAGTCCCCGGCCTAGCCCCCCCGCCATTCGGAATCCGGAAATCAGCGCGGTGATTCTATTGGCGGACAGGCGTTTTGGAGCGCAATGTTGATTTGATGCTTAACCTAATTGCTCCTGGCGAGTCCCAGGCGCTTTGACCGTGGCCGGTGAACGGTTCGTTCGTTTGCATCGAATGCGACGCTGCGGGCGAGCATGCGCGGGTGCATTGAATCGTAAATGCTACCGTACTCCATCTATGGGTAGTCGAGTGCTACATACTGTAAGGTAGTAGCGAGCAGGATGTGCAAACAACGCCATGCCAGCAACGGCAGACGGTGATATGATATGATATGGGCAATAGCAGTAGTAGCAGTAGGTATTTGGACTTGACTCGATCATGCTGTAGCCCTCAACAAACATGGACTGGTTCTTCTTAATTTGCTCTCAATTATTGTGTTAGTCGCCGAGTACAAGCAAACTCTTCCCTCCGTACAACCCGACACCGTCTGCTCAAAGTCCCCATCTGCCGCTTTTTAGACCGAATTATCTTGCTCACACTATCCAGGCTACCGTTTCAATGCTGCTGCCCCCTTGCCCGTAGCACCATTTTCCGCTCCCCAAATGGGTTCTGTTTCAGCGGTGCCATGTCCCTTTTGGGGGAGCTGGTGGAGCGTGCTCTTGCTCTAGACAATGGACGGAGCTCTCAACCAGCTGCCATCGGTACGCAGACGCAGATAAATACGGCCGGCAGCCTCGCCAAGCCTTTCTCTTCTTTCCCTTTTCAACCTCAACCTCAACCTCTGCCTCAATCTCTTACCAATTCACGTTTCCTTCTCTGCTTCTTCTTCCACTCTTCCACTCTTCCACATTCAACCCGCCAAAATGCGTGTCTCGGCCATCGTCCCCGCCGTCCTCTCCCTCGCCTCCGTCTCGTCGGCGCACTTCCTCATGAACTATCCCGACTCCATCGGCTTCGACGACGACAAGGAGGGCACCGCTCCCTGCGGCGGCTTCACGCCCGACCTCTCCTCTGGCTCCAAGCAGCTCGTCGACTTCCACGTTGGCGGCGACTCCCTGGCCATGCGCGCCACCCACAACCAGGTCACTTGGCTGTTCCGCGTCACCCTCGACGGCACCGCCCAGTCTGGCTGGAAGCAAATCTTCCCCATTGTCGAGCAGAGCGGCCTGGGCGACTTTTGCGAGCCTCACATCACGCTGCCCTCCAGCTATGCCGGCAAGAAGGGCGTCATTAGCGTTGTGACCGATGCGCCAGATGGTCTTTTGTACCAGGTATGTCGAAAGAAAGAAAGAAAGAAAGAAAGAAAGAAAGCGAGCCTTTTGGGGTCAATGATTGCTAACCATCACTCAACAAACAGTGCATTGCTGCCAACTTCGTCTCTGGATCCATCGATCCCCCCTCGGCCTGCAAAAACGCCTCCATCACCGCCAGCTTCGTCGACGATTCCAAGCTCTCGGCCCTCGTCTCCGGAAGCGCCTCTGGCTCTGGCAGCTCCTCCAACACCACCAGCGGAGGATCCTCCTCTACTGCCTCCAGCACTCAGAGCAGTACCGCTGCTGCCACCTCCACCAAAAATGCTGCCCCTGGCCAGCTCGCTGCTTGGTCCGTCTCGGCCTTTGGCCTGGGCAGTGCCTTGACTGCCGTGTCTATGGTTCTTGCTGGCGGCGCTCTGATGATTTGAGATGAAAAAAAGCGAGATTTTGATGACATTTGATTTTTTTGTTGTTATGAGGCGATATATAAAATTTTCCGACTCAAGGGTACATAATGGGAACAGGCAAAACTGAATAATGATGATTTTTTTCCTATGAGAAATGGTTTCGAATCGATGTTTCACTGTGAATCTTGTTTCCTTCGCTGCGGCGCCGCTGATCTAGATGCAATTGCTTCTTCGACTGCCTGTCCATGCATGGCTTCGTGGTGCTGTATCAGCCTGCTAACCATCTTCACAGACAAAACGAGAGGTCGATCGAAATACACTACATAATTCGTCTCTCACCACCACGTGCATCCTCACTCGAGCTTACCCGGAATCGTTTCTTACTGTCCTATTCTTACTGTTCCCCCCACACTGCTGCCTCGTCTCCACTCACACCCATTCGTCCACCGCCACCTCGGACGCCTCCAACTCTGTTCCTGAACTCCAACGTTAACCTATATTTAGCTGCAGCACTCCCATATTTCGACTCGAACATGGCCAATTGGCGCCGTGCCACTGATCGTTTGTGCTGCATCATAGGCTGAATGGTCGCAGGCCAAGGTACGGGGCAGAATCATAGGAATTGCATCTGCGCAAACTTCAATGACCACCGCATCACTGCGTCCGCGATTCTGCAGCCAAGACGGCCCCATGCCGGAAGTCTAGGTTTCCATCTTTTGGCTATAGTTTCCTCAATATCAAGCCTCCTTGTCTATCTCGACCCTTTTGCATCTATTTGCCTGAACCTTTTGCCATAATAACTTCATTGGCTTGCCCAGCCCCCAACTATCCAAACTCTGCCATGACTGATATACGCGTTGTCGTGGCCGACAGCCACAAGATGGCGCCAGCCATTTCATATCAAAATGCTGCCAACCTGCACACAAGTGCTTACACTGAATATGCGTCTTCTCATCTCCAAGATCCCATCTTTCGAAAACCAAGCCCGGCAAGCTGCAACCCGTTGACAATCATGAAGGACCTCACCGTCACCTACGCACTTGTAGTGCTTTCTGCTGCGATTTTCACTCTCTATGTCAGCAGACATACTATTAGGTCCCAATTACCGCTATGGCTTAGGCCTTTTGCTCAAGAACAAGCACCTGATGGCCTCAAACGCAAGTTTTGGTCTATTTGGACTTATCCCTTGCTTCTCATCAGCATTGCTGGACTGGTTCTTTCTTTCGTTCCGGTTATTATCAACCCTTCTTGTTATGTCTATCTATGGGAAATGGCCCCGTGGGCCATTGCTCTTTTCATCACAATCCTGGATCGTCCAACCAAGACACCTCGGCTCTTGCTGATTCAATATGTCTCTATCCTTGGCGCCAGCACCGCCATCTACGCTATCCGCTTCTTGGATCGCACCCTTTTCGGCATCGACCCCTTTCGACTTGCTCGAGTGGCACTGTGCCTTCTGTCCATCATCATAATCGGCTTCATGCCTATACGCGAGCCGTCTTGGGGCAACGAGGACATTGGCCAACCAGGCAGCCAACCATCGCACAATCTTCGCAGCCCCGAAGATGATCTCTGTCTGTTTAGCTTCTGGAGTATGAGCTGGGTTAACCCACTGGCCAAGGCCTGCCGCAAACGAGAAATCACCGAAGAAGATGTCTGGCAGCTCCCCTTTGAGTTTCAGCATACGCGACTGTACATGGCCTTTCGAGAGCTCAAGGGCAAGCTCCTCTTGTGCCTCATTGAAGCTAACGGCTTGGATCTCTCAATCGCTACGTCGCTTGCTATTGCTGAGAGGGTGGCTGAAGTATCCAACATTCGTCTGACCAGCAAGCTTTATAGCGCACTGGACTCGAGCAACCCTGCTGATGCTACTTTCTGGTGTGGTGTGATGCTGGCTCTCGATGCATTTCGCCAACTGTGCAAGACGACATCTGGTTGGTACTCTCGCAAATCCTATGAGCGGTCGCGTGGAGAAGCATTCATCGCTCTCTTTGGTAAACTCTTGACTCGAGCCGTTCCAGGCTCAGATATCACGGAAAAGGGTCCCGATGAGGAACACCCTCAAGTCTCCAATGGAAAGTCCCAAACCTTTATCGGGAGAATATTTGGACGATCGTCTAGTTCTTCTAAACAAAAGCCTAGAACCGTCTCTGGTCCGGCTTCCAACGCCAAGGTTGTCAATCTCGTTCGAGGCGATACATATGAAATCTCACAGCGATTCTGGGACTTTTCCAAACTCGTCTCTCAACCCATCAAGGTCATCGTCACCATGTACTACCTCATCGACATCATGGGCTGGCCTTCAGCCATTGGCTTTGGTCTCATGATTGTGTTCCTTGCAATCAACTCGGCGCTTGTTCGTAAGCTGATCAAACTCGAACGACAGCGAACTGCCTTTTCCGATAAGCGTGCGCAGGCTGTCTCTCATTTTGTAGAAGCAAGTCGTCCATTGAAGCTCAATGGCTGGACATCCTCTTGGAGCGCTCGAATCATGAAGTTCCGAGCACTGGAAATGTCCAAGCGTTTGAATATTGCCCACGTAACTGCCGGCATTTCCACCGTAAGCGTTACTGGCGGCACCTCTTACCCACTCGCCAGTATTGCTCTGTACACCCTCATTCTCAAGCAGGGTCTGCCAAACGATGTCATTTGGCCTTCTCTTCAACTCTTTTCTCAGTTAGAAATGAGTGTTAAAGAGGCATTCGACCTGATTTCTGCGTACTGGAAATCTACTATTCCCATTGAGCGTGTGAACAAGTACATGAGCGAGCCTGATAGAGACGACATCTCCAACAGCCCCAGCAGCGTTACAGATATTGAGTTCCGTGACGCTTCATTCTCTTGGCCTTCAACTGGAAAGCTTATTCTTAGGGATCTTAATTTGAAGTTCAGCAAGGGCCTCACGGTTATTCGAGGCAAAGTTGGTTCCGGCAAATCTAGCCTTCTTCTCGCTGCCCTCAACGAAATGGAGCTTCACGAAGGTGATCTCATCAGGCCGGACGTCCCAGTAGCGTACTGCCAGCAACTCCCATGGCTACAGAACAAGACGATTCGAGAAAACATCGTTTTCCACCAGCACTTTGACTCGACAAGATATCGCCAGGTCCTCCACGCATGCGCTCTTTTACCCGATCTTGCTTCGCTACCTGATGGAGACCAAACAAAGCTCGAAGAAGGCGGCATTGGACTTTCTGGTGGTCAAAAGGCTCGTGTGGCCCTTGCTAGAGCAGTGTACAGCCACTGCAAGATTCTTCTCCTGGACGACCCTCTTGCCGCTTTGGATCACGATACTGCCAGCGCCATTGTGCGCCGCTTTCTCCAGGGCCCCCTTGCTGAGGGTCGTACTATTGCCATGGTCACACACAGAGATGATCTTGTTCTCCGTATTGCCGATCAAGTTGTTGACCTGGATGATGGAGAAGCAACTGTGCTTTCAGAGCAGGAGGTCAAAGAGGAACTCGAGCACCCCTACCACGAAGCTGGAACGTCGGCTCATGATGACGCTGAGGCATCCCACGAGATTCATGCTGAGGATATTGCTGCGCTCAAGGACGCACCAGAAGAGCCGTCAAAAACAGGAAGTGTATCGCTTAGTGTGTATGCCGAGTACATGAAAGCAGGCGGGTGGCACCTCTGGATCTTCCTCGCCATCGCATACGGCCTATCTCGATTCTGCGATATATCAAGGGCTCGACTTCTGGAGGCTTGGGGTGCAGACTCTGTTGGGAGCGGCAGGAAAAGCTCCTACTGGGGTCTTCCCAACGCGGAGAATCACCCTCAAGCTTGGATCCTGGTACTCTCTGGTCTCTCTGGTGGGCAAATCCTGGCATACGCAATCGCCCAGCTCCTCCTGGCAAGAATCAGCGTCAAGGCAGCCCAAGGTCTCTTCAAAGCCGCCATCGACAAAGTCAGTCGGGCTACTTTCCGCTACCACGACACCACGCCGACAGGTCAGCTTAAGAATCGACTCATTGCTGACATGGGAATGGTAGACGGAGGCATTGTCGCGCCCTTGGAGTCCTTCGTCTTCAACCTGATTGCCTTGGTCATGAGCTTGGTAGCGATTGCCACGCACCAGCCATTACTCCTCGTCATCCTCGCAGCTGTGGCCGTCTTATTCGTGTACTTCTTCCGGATATACGTCCCCGTCTCACGATGCCTGCGCCGTATGGAAATGCGATACCTCACGCCCATCATCGCAAACATTGGCGTCATGCAAGACGGCCTGGTCACGATCCGCGCCCTCAGAGTCGAGCAGCGCTTCCAGGACCGCCACCTCGATGCCGTGGATGACTTCCAAAAGCAGGACCACTTCTTCTGGAGCATGGCTTTCTGGCTCGACTTTCGTCTCAGCTTCAGCTCCATCGCCACCCGCACCGCGCTGATCCTGTTCATGGTCTGGCGAAGGATGCCCGCCAGCGCTATTGGTTTCGTCCTGACGCAGACGAACATTGCCATGGCGGCGGTGCAGCAGCTTTGCGAGCGGTTCGCGCAGTTGCAGCTGGATGCCGTGTCTTTGGAGCGCGTGAACATGCTCAACCAGATTCCCGAGGAACCTAAAGGCGACCACGAACCTCCCGAGGGCTGGCCAAGACCTAGCGACGACGTCAAGTTTGAGCAAATCTCGTTCAAATACGACGACCATCTTCCTTCTGTGCTGGATAAGGTCTCCTTTGAAATTCCTGGAGGTTCAACATGCGCAGTTCTCGGCCGCACCGGTTCCGGAAAGTCAACCATCGCCAACGCCCTCCTCATGACCCAGGCACCATTAGAAGGGACCATCAAAATCGGCAGCGTCGACTTATCCCAGATCGACCGAACCGCCCTGAGAAACCGCGTCACCTTCATCCAGCAAGATCCCACGCTCTTCCCAGGAACGCTCCGCGACAACATCGACCCGGCCGCCGACTTCTCTGACGCGGAGTGCGAAAACGCGATCCATCGCGTGCTCGGCGCCCAGTGGAGTCTGGATTCGCCCATTGACGCTGCCGGGAAGAATCTCAGCCAAGGTCAGCGACAACTCGTGGGCATTGCGAGAGCCGTTCTACGGCGGAGTGGGCTTGTCATCCTGGATGAGGCGACGGCGTCGATTGATCGTGCGACTGCGGCGACGGTTCAGCGGATCTTGAGGTCTGAGTTGTCGAATAGCACGGTCATTACGATTGCGCATCGCTTGGAGGCTGTGGAGGATGCGACGTGGTGCCTGAGGTTGGATCATGGCCGGGTTGTGGAGTGTGGTCCTGCGAGGGATCTGGCAGGGAGTCAGGATGAGGAGTGAGATGGTGGAGGAAAGGATAGACTGCGTTTTATTGCTGTTTTTATGATTAATGTTTTGTTTATGTTTCTTGGATGGAGTGGTATAGAATACAGATTTGATAGTGCTACTTGAGCGAATCAACTACCATTTAGGTACTTTTAAGGAGACGCCAAAATAATGAATAATATCGTCTGACTTGAATCTTAGTATGGTATTTTGCTTCCCTAAGCCAATGATCAGCCCTCTCTCCCTTGCTTTCAACTAGGCGTTTAATACCGATAGCTATATAGCGACGTTTCAAGCCCTATTCTTTATTATCATTTATTGATCTATTTTATTACAACTACGAATATCGAGCTATTTAAATATACGCGTCCCATGATGAGTAATGGGTCAGTAAGAGTAATTTTCGGCGTTAACCACATCTTTATTCAAGGGTCTAACTAATGGCTCCTGACAGTCAAGGACGACGATCGTTATTGTCAATGTACTTTCTATACGCAGCCGAATTGCGAAGGTGTCGAATGTATTATGTACTCGCGTGTTATATGAGTTGAGATAGCCTTGCAAAGGGTTTTATCCACATTATGGCGTCCCATGAATACGAAGACTGATATTGAAAATATTATTTAGCCTCGTTCAATATTTTATCCAGTCTCTACGTTGTATTTTCCACAAGAAGCTTTAGGATAGAACACAGCTTGGATGGCGTTGCTTTTAAGCAAAAATGAGTGGTATTTATACGCATATTATGCAGTGGACTGTTAGCTGACATGTCCCGCCATCATCTGATCAAAAATCCTCTCCATATCTTTTGACTAAATATCTACTTTTGACAACTGTACAACGAAATTATCAGCCTCATTCTGGGCGTTAAGCTGCTTAACCAAGTCCAGGAAATCCTTCTGCTTTCCAAATTGATCATATTGCTATAAATAGAATTAGCAACACAGTAAAAAGTGCAAAAGAGCCTCCAAGACATACCTCTTTGCTCTTCCAGCCAATCAAGCCCAGAAAGAAAGCCTCGTCCTTTTCAATTCCGCCTGCATGGTAAGAAGGCAGCTTTTCTCCGACAGATGTTTCAAGGAGTTGTTCGATGCGCTTCCACGTCTCTTCTGTTCCGCTGTTGGACTGGACTCTGATGATCTGAGTGATGTCTGAAAATAGGCACTGGGTTGATCGATCTTCAGCCTGGAATAGCTGCGGTACAGGCGGAGCAACAACTATTGGCTTGATAATATTGACAAAACTCAAGAACTTCTCCGATGCTGGGTAGAAGTTGTGAAAAGACGCTGCATCCGTCCATTCTAATTGTACAATGTCAACATCATTATCAACAACAACAGATCAACAACAAACTTTGGCTTACCAAGGGAAAGTACACTTCTGTGAGTGTTTGGATCGACAGCCTGTCCGTTCTCTTCCAGAAGCGGTCCCCGAACGAGAGTCAAAAGGCCCCCAACGTCCTTGACGCTCGCAAACAATGTTGGGGTGGCTGCTTTTAGGGCTGCGAGAGACTCAGGGTCCAGCTTGAACAGTGGAAATACTACTTCGGTGATGGGCATTTTGGCTGTATCTTGATTTCAACAGAGCTAATTAGGAATGGTTAAAATTGTAGCTTGACGGTTGAGCTTCACAATCCTGTGATGACTAACAAGTGCTGGGAAGTATGTAGCTTTTTCTCTATCTAATAAATAAATAAATAAGCTGAGCTACCCATGCACAGGTATATATACACAAAGCAAACACAAGTCGGTAAGACTTTCATGGCCGGCGGGTTTCCACAGACTCTAGATTCTGGGCCCACCTATGTCCGCAACCCACTTGTTTCCGCAGCGATTGGCATGATGTGTGTCTTTTTGGTAGTAGCCTACTTCCTATAAGCTGTCACAATTCAGCAGGGGATATCTCGGATTCGCTTGTGCTGCACGTAGGGCTCCTTCACAGTGACTCTTTTGGCCAGGTTTGGTGGTCAGAATTGCTCATATGCATATAATGCCAAGGGCACAAGGATCAACTGGACTAAAGTGGCTAGTAGGTAGTAAGCCTTGCTACAACTATTCTCATCTACCTAGGTTATGGCGTTATAAGTGGCCACGATCTGGCTGATTCCTTTAACTGGATAGTCTTCATTGCTATAGGTCACAGTTAGTTGTTTAGAAAAAAACAAGGGCATAAACATAGTGCTGTGAAGTAGTCATCTGTATACGTTACGGATACTGCGTCTTACCTGCAAGTGCCTACACTCCCTATGCTCGTTTATCCTTGTTTGCATTATTACCCAATTCCGCAAATGCAGTCACTGCATTAGTTCCGCATGAATGCCTAAATACACATTCATAAGCACGGCTCCACTGCAACTATAGAATACACTGCTTATTCCCTCATATACCGGATCGAAGAACCAGATTCAATTGCCGGATAGTCCATCAATCGGATGCATTGTTCTCTCTACAATAAGTACGGTCAAATACATCACTCAAGACGTTACACTTGTCTGTTAAGAGCAAAAGGGATGCTTTCTATTCTTCAGTAATATTTGTAAATCGAAAATAGGCATTAAACATTGGATTCTGGCAGAGATGTTGAGACCTGGGATACAACGCCATGGCAGGCCTGGTGGAGTAAGTACGTAATCAACAGTCCCTGTAATCCTCATTACAATCCTTCGGCATCTTGCTGAGGTCTGCCGCCGGAAGTTGGTGTGAAAAATCCCGATGGCTTTGTTCCAAAATATGAAAAGGGGTATTTGCCGCGGTAATAACAAATTGATTTTTTCCATTATTTTATAGATCCTGCCCATTTATACAAAAATATTTCAGGTAGCTCTTAAGCTCCTGAGTTGTCATGAAGTGCCAGCTCATTATTTCACCAATTAGATCTAGAATACTAGAGACTGATACCTCATCTAGGGTAAGCAAAAATCGCACTTCTGTCGCCGAGCATTGTTCAAAAACCGTATAAATTTGGGTATTCTCGGATGTATCAACAATTTCTAAACTATTCGTTATATATATTTGCGTATTGTTTTCTTCGTGCAAGACTGAGAAAGCTTAAAGCTGTCCAAGTCAAATAACATGATTGTTCCGCTATCTCTTATGCTCTTAATGATAATTTATAAAACGTGTCTCTGAGCAAAAAAATGCGGCGCTCTGCAAACCAAACCGCGCCTCTCTCAACGCCATGTGGCACATGCCTCCATCGTTTCTATCAGAGTGGCTGTCATTAATCATTCGAGTGTTTCATCACCCAGCATCCCAGTTTTGTGACCGATCCAAGATAATACAACACTCCAACACGCATTTGTGCCCCCGGGTTCCAATGCTCAACAGAAGAGAAGAAGAAAAGATTAAAAAACGAGAAGAGAAATGTAAACCAGACTGGCCTCCCTCCAAGGTTCCAGCCATATCTTCATCAGGCCATATTACAATCGGTTATTCCTTTTCAAATTCTTTTCCAAACAACAAACGCTACACGCATTCTGCTTGTGGTTTATACTTCTTCTGTTCCGACAGCCTCGTAATCGCCTCGGGTTCTTATTCCAGTGATGCTCATCAGAGTAGGCGTCTCGTACATTGCCGTGTAGTCAATTTTACTGCCACCAAGAGATGCCTGTCCCGTTTCCCGCTGACCAAAGATGGGAGCTGAATCGCACCAAAAATCCTTACAGTTGGTAACGCAACCCCTGCTGTAGGGATTCTTCTTCTTGCGCTTGTTCTTGGTGGTAGCTGCGCCACGTCCGGTAATAGTCTCAATGAAGGGATCAACGCCGAGGAGTTGACTCCACTGTTTGATGAGACCGCCCTTGTGCTTGTGCCCGTGCCCGTGGCCATGACCAGCGTGAGCACCTCCTGGCGTTACAGGAGCCGTCACAGACGGGTGGTTGGGATCGAGGGGAGCGCCAGTAGACGTGAAGGCAGTGGAAAGAGAGGTACCGGCGCGTATTCCGGTCATGTTTTCGTATGTGGTCATGGCACGAGCGACCTGGATAAACTGTGTAAAGACCAGCATGGAAACCCACGTAAGCTGGAGGGATGCCCACATGGCGAGGAAAAGTGTGTAAGAATCTGCGTTTATTAGTCGGCAAAAGCCAGGTCCGAAAAGAATGCATGAATCCGAGGCATCGGGAGTAATTTGTGCATAGTCTATAGTGCAAATTGTTAGCGGACATATGCAGCGAGATTAGGAGAAGCGATATAGCATCATACAATAATACAGCAGCCAGTTATATAGGGGAATTCCGGCAGTTAGGGAGATGAGGTAAAAGAAGAAATGGCGGTGGTTGTTTACGCCAACGCAGTTGAACACCCATGGGCAGTGACTATTGGATTGTTGTTAGCTTGCTTCTCCATTGGCATCAGCAGGGGAGAAGGTTGTCCGTCTTACTGGTCATGCTTGGCCACACATCGCTGGCAACGACGGCAGTGCTTGCTTCGTAGCGGCGTGCGAATCATACAGACAACGCAGAAGTTGGACTCGTCGAATTTCCAGGACTTGAGAAGCTCGTCAATGACAGCCCTCTGTTCAGCAATGCCATTCATTTTAGGCACGAAGCCTGGATCGTATCTCATGGAAGCGATGTAGAAGAAGGCCGTCAATCCAAAAGCGGCTCCGAAGGCGAGATTCAAAAGCATGTGTGAAGGTCCACCCCACCATCCGATGGTAGACGGCAAGATGACAGTAAGCCAGCTGACGCCAACAAGAAACAGGGACCCTGCAAAGATTCCAGCCATCCAGGGCTGTTATTGCTATGGCGTTAGAGAGTTTTGCATATAATCAAGGCATGTCAAAAAGCACTTACCGTCTTGTGAAATGATCGCATGTCGGACGGAGCATATTCAAGGACCTGCTTTGCAACCCATAGAAGACCGTATGCCGCTCCCACCGACAGGGGTAGACCAAGGTAGATGGGAAAGCGGGACAGCATCAGCAGCACCATCCAGACCATCAAAAAGGGCCAGAGAAACAGAAACTTGGTGAGGAAAGCCTTCTTGTCCTTCAAGAAGTAGCTCGCGCCCGGCCAAGGAGGAATCGCGACATGTCCGTCCTGGTCATAGCCGCACTCCCGGAGCGCACGGTGCCATGCCGGCGTAGTGTTTAGCTCGGTCGCCGTAAGGGCCGGCGTCTTGCCCGTGTCGGTCTTGGCAAAGCGGTCGGCGCCGTATTCGATCATCTTGAGGACGCAGGCCGCATTGCCCTTGACCAGGGCCCAGTGCAGCGGGGTGAAGCCCTGCTCGTCGGTGGCGTGCACGTTGGCACCCCATCGCAGGAAGACGTCGACCAGCTGCGGGAAGCCCTTGTATGCCGCCCACATGAGCGCCGTGTGTCCGTAGCTATCGAGAACGTCGACCGGGATGCCCTGGTGGAGGAGCAGGACAATGAGGAGGACATTGCCGTTGAAAGTCGAGATATGGAGGGTGTTGTAGCCCTGGGAATCGGTAATGAGAGGGTCGGCGCCGCGTTGGAGCAGCAGATTGACGGTATAGAAATGGCATCGCTGCGCGGCCCACTGCAGAGGCGTAGCAATGGACTCGCCGCCCTTCTTATTGAGCTCGGCGCCGTGGTCTATGAGGAACGCGCACATGGCATATTGGTTGTTGATTGCAGCCCACTGCGGATTGGATGGCGGACTTGTCAGTCTAAGCTCGGGACACTGGGCCAAACGTGCCATATTCCGACCGCAGCTGCAGCTACAGCTGCAGCCATGGCCACTGCGTACACCTCCTCCTCGCCTGTCGGGGCAGGACTGCACTCACATGTAAAGGCGTGATGCCCTCGCCGTCGGTGTATGTGGCGTCGTACTCGCCCGACTCAAACAGCTTCTCCATGCCCGGAATGTCGCCAATGCGGGCCAGCTGCATGATGTCGTTTTCCGGCGCGGACTCGTCCGCCGGGAGGCTGCCCATCTCCATCTCGCTGTTGAGCTTCGGCACGGCGGCGGCTGCCTTGGACGAGGGTTGCATTCGCGAAGGCACTGCGGCCGCAGTTGTGGTGGAAGAGGCAGCCGAAGTGTTCCTTGCGCGAGCTGGCGGATTGTCACTACCCATGTAATGGCAATGGAAAAAAAGTTGGCAAGATTAGGAGCGAGAGAGGAAAGGAAACGGTAAATGAGAGCCGAGCCGATCTGCACAGCCGCCGTTAGGCTGAAGGGCTGAACCCGTACCTTGATTACGGATACGCGAAGAGGCCCTTTTGGCTGCCGAGGGGAGCAGCAGCGACAAAGAAAAAAAAAGTAAGCCAGGGGGGGTTCTCGGATTTGGCGGCTCGTTAGGCGAAGATGACGAGACGGATCTGGAGATCGACGAGGGTGAGACTTGGTGGAGAGAGAGAAGGACGGGATGCAGATTAGAGACGAGATGCGATATCGATAACAGCCATCGTATTACGCAATGCTAGTGGAGGGACTGAAGATGGCGCAGCACGCGGCCATGAACTCGCTGAGATTTTAGCATAAAAGACCAAGACATGCGCGATGGACCAGCGACACGAGATGAAGAAAACTGGAAGTAAGATGGTGGAGAGTGAATAGTGAATGGTGATACGTATTTGCAGGGCAGGGGGGAAGTGAAGCGTCTTGCACTGCGGGAAGGATCGCATCAAACGCTTATACAGCCATGTAATTAATTGCCTGTTGCTGCACGTACCTTGTGGCTGTACCTGAGCCCGATGGCACTGAATGTGACGGATCCAGGGGGTTGAAATTGGGAGATTAGCGCCCTGTCACTAGGTCGTTTGGCGGCCAGAAACGGGTCTAGAGGGCCTGGAGCTGGAGGGAGCCCATGCGGCGCTTAGCTGGACTAGGCCAACACGACGTTGATGGTGTTGAAACGCAGTTCTGAGACAGGATGCGGAAGATCCGGACGGGCGCGGCGCTGATCATCTAAATATACAATTGTTTCTCGACCTCCTTTGGTCTGATTGAGCGTTGTGGGCGGTTGTTTTCCAAGACATTTCAGCTGGATATCCATGCCAGCTAAAGACATGGCAGCCCTCTTCTAGGTGGCGGAGCACGCAGGAGATGCGAGCTGCAGTCATGTGCAGCACTCTGGATGAGAGGGTACGATATTTTCTAGTGCTATATGTAGTCAGAATTGATGTTTAGAAAAAAAAAAAAAAATCAATCGAGAGTTGCATTCACCACTCGCTGCAGCAGCATCTCTCCCCTTCAGCCATGGCTCTACAGCCACACCAAACTCGCTCCTTTCAACTGTGGCGCAATCTCTCCAGCGCCGCCACACCAGTTCCCCACCAAAAAATACATCCCATTATGGACAACGCACCTACAGCCGTTCATCGCATCTCGTCCGACTCGGAATCCCCAACATCCGCGCCCATCTCCATCGTTCGACGAGTGACGGGGCAATTCCCCTGCGCCAAAAAACCATCCGTCGATTTCATCAGGCCACGTCTTCTCATCGCAAAAAAGGGGCTGCTGAACCCGACAATCGCTAGCAGCTCTTGCGCGGTGGCCAAATAAATACCTACTTGATACAGCTCGTCCCTGATCAGAAGCAGCTTCGCAAGCAGCGACAAACAGCAAAAGGCATCTGCCCGCCATGGCGACCTTTACCGAAATCGTCGAGATGATCATGACGCCGTCCATCCCCCTCGTCATCATCGGCATCCTCATCATCCTCGGCGGCCCCCTCATCTTCCACCTCGTCCTCGCCTCGTCCTCGTCATACACCGTGCCCCCCAGCGTGCTGCTCCTCGGCCCAGATAACTCCGGCAAGACGTCGCTCATGACTCTCTTCGAGCGCGGCGCAAACCCTTCCAAGACGCACACTTCGCAGATTGCGCACTCGGTCGAACTCAACGCCTCCACCGACTCCGACACCAAGGCTTCGTTCCGCAACTACGACGATGCTACGGGCACGCACACAAAGTTCCTCCTGGTCGATACCCCCGGCCACGGAAAGCTGCGAAACGTCTCCATGGGAAAATTGGCGCGCACGGAAAAGGTCAAGGCTGTTGTCTTCATGGTCGACGCGGCTGCTCTTGGCGAACAGGAGACCATTGCGCCCACAGCTGCCTATCTCTATGACGTGTTGCTGTTTCTGCAAAAGAGGGCTTCTTCCAAGGGCAAGGACAAGGCTTCCATCCCGGTTCTGATTGCAGCCAACAAAATGGACTTGTTCACCGCCTTGCCTGCCGCCATGGTGAAGAGCCATTTGGAGGTGGAGCTGTCCCGAATCCGCGCCTCCAGAAGCAAGGGTCTGCTCGATTCCGGTGTTGGAATTGACGATGTTGGCTCGGAAGAGCAAGATGGTTGGCTGGGCGAGTATGGATCCGACAAGTTTACTTTCCAGCAAATGAATGAATTCGACATCGATATCGATGTACTGGCTGGTAGCGTCTTGACTGAAGAGCCTGGTGCTGATAAATGGTGGTGGTGGATCGCACAGAGGGTAGTCGGATGAATGGTGCATGCATTGATGGGAATATAGAATTTAGGGATGGGGTCATGTATGAATACTTGTGGCATTTGGCTATATAAATGTTTTAATGACGGGCAAAAAAAAAAGGCAGAAAGTAACCTGAAGCCAGATGATAGTAATGATAATCACGCATTTTCCATTCACACTCTTATGTATTGCCATGTATATGATAACGACGTTTAATGAATTTCCATTTATGGACACATGAAAATGCCCTAGATGTTGAGTCTATGAGGCCCACGCAAAGTAGTTGATCTATCCCTATTCCTTGCAGTCCGCAAACAACACACGCTGCTGTTTTCAAAAACCTTGTAATCCAAAATATTAAATAACGCCAAAATGAGAGGAAGAAAAAAAAAAGAAATAAGATCCCACTCAAGATCTCATATTAAAAAGAAACGCTAGAATTATTTCTTCTGGCTGACCATCCAGGTGAGCAGGTCAACCTTGGTGACGACAGCAATGGGCTTGGACAGAGACTTGGAGTCACCCTTGCCGTCAGTGACAACGGCGGCGCTGTTCCACTCAAAGAACTTGCTGAGGGTGGAGAGGGGAGTCTCCATGGTGATCTCGACAAACTTGCGCTTGCTGCCGGACTTGGTGCCGCTGGTCAGCTTACGAGGGTCGGTGACAATCTCATCGAGTCTGCCAAAGTCGAACATGACGTCCTTGACTTGGGTCTCGGCCGTTGCGCGACCGCGGGAGATGTAGCTAAGAAGGTTGCCGAGGGTGACAAGACCGACCAGCTTGCTGGTGGCAGAGAGGACGGGGAGCTGATCGAAGCCCTTGTCTCGCATGGTCTCGATGGCCTCGGAGCATGAAGCGGTAGCCGCAACTGAAGTCACAGGCTTGAGGCGGAGAGAGGCAATGGTGGCGCCCTGGTAGGGGTCGGCAGCGGTGTTTTGGCCCTGGGGCGCGGATTCGATCCCGTTGGCGGAGAGAAGTCCGTTGGCAGCCAACCAGTCGTCGTCGGCAAACTTGGAGAGGTAGCTGCGGATGCTGTCGGGGAGGACAACCACCACGGTGTCACCCTTCTTGAAGCCATACTCCTTGACGGCCAGCAGCATGGCAGCCATGGCAGAGCCGGAGCTGCCACCGACAAGCAGACCCTCCTCGGCAATCAGGCGTCTGGCGAGGTAGAAGGACTTTTGGTCATCGGTCTTGTACCACTTGTCGACAATCTCTCGGTCCAGGACATCGGGAATGAAGTCGTAGCCAATACCCTCAACCTTGTATCCCTCGTTCATGTGCTCCTCATTCAGAGACTCGGGCAGAGCCAAGATACTGCCGTGGGGATCGGCGGCGATGATCTTGATGTCCTTGTTGTGCTTCTTCAGGCCCTTGGCGATACCGGTGATGGTGCCACCGGTTCCAGCACCAGCGATGACGGCAGTCACCTTGCCGCCGGTCTGCTCCCAGATCTCCTCGGCGGTGCCAAACTCGTGGGCATCGGGGTTGGCCGGGTTGCTGTACTGGTCGAGAATGTGTGCGTTCGGGATCTCCTTCTCGAGGCGGCGCGCAACGCCAATGTGCGACTCGGGGGCGTCCCAGGCGGCCTGGGTTGGTGTGCGGATGATGGTGGCGCCGAGGGCACGCAGCACAGAGACCTTTTCGGCGGACATCTTCTCGGGCAGGGTGATGATGGTCTTGTAACCCTTGATGGCGCCAACAAGAGCGAGGCCAATGCCACTGGGAAAAAGACGACGAGGTTAGCGGATGGTCAACAAGCCCATCATCATCTTGTTGGGCTGTACATACGTGTTTCCACTGGTGGGCTCGATCAGTGTGTCGCCAGGCTTGATTCGGCCGCTCTTCTCGGCCTCCTCAATCATTCTCAGGGCGATTCTGTCCTTGACGCTGCCGCCAGCATTGAAAAGCTCCGTCTTTGCGTAGACCTCGCACTCAATGCCCAGGCTCTGGGGCACCTTGTTGAGCCGCACAAGTGGCGTGTTGCCGATCAGGTCGGCGGCCGAGAGGACGGTTGGGGCATTGCGCCTGATTTGGGGGATCTGGGAGTCGGCCATGATTATCTGAAGGTGTTTGCGAGGAGGGCCAAACAGCGCTATTCTCGCAGGATGTCGCGGAAGAGGCGGTGATGGGAGGAGGAGTTGAAGCAGGGGAGGAGTGAGCGGCGGGACGCTTTTTTTTCTTCTTTTTCTTCGCTCTGCCGGCGATATGCGCTTCGCCGCAGCGCTTGGAGGGGTCTTTTTTCCAGAAGCTTAATTGGGAGTGGCGGGGGATTCCGCAAAAACTAGTTTGTCCGGCCTTTTTCTGGCTGACACAAATCGCCGTCGGAGGTTCGGAGAGTAAAGCAGCGCTGCATTTCAGATTTTAGGCGAGAATCTGAGAATCTGAGAACATGAAATCATTTTGTATCTGTTTGTTCCGATTTCACGGGAGAATCCGAAACTCCGCATCTGTTTGCTTGTGCTCTTCTGTCGTGTCTCAATGATGCGATGCCTCATAGCGGTGGCAAACCCCTGTGGCGTGATTGGAGTCCGGATTGGGGAATTTCCCAGACAGGCAGCGAGAAACACGCTAAACCCGTTGATCGCCAACCTTATTGTCCTTCCATGTCCCGAATACATAAACGCAGTTTCTTAGATAACAACGTCTCTCACCAGCTACCAACTGTTTACTATTTCCAAATGAATAAATATGCTTACATGGTTTCTTTTCTTTTCTTTCCAGCATCGTGATCAGTCGCCAGAAGCAGAGACGGTTCATTTCCAGCAATGGCTGGGCAATTTAGAATGCCAAGCTCCCTAGCCAGGTACTTTTGATACGTCTTCACCACTAACACGGAGTATACTGCCCTCTGAAAATATACAATGCTACCCCATTCTCCCTCACATACCTCTATTCCCCCTCAGCGGACACATCCGCTATTTAGCTTCTGGTAGAACCTGATTGGCTTTAATGATATGAACTCCAGTAAGCCGTGCAACGCAGCCTAGCTCTTTGACCATCACCCTTTCATAGTACATGTATACTCACCATCCTGGTAGCGTTCCATGGCCTAGTAATCCATGGTCCAGTCACGCCGTCAATCTTGGAAATGTTTCATAGGCTAAACGTCTCTGTTCACGGTGACAAAAGTCCAAGCGGGAGCCAATAGGCTCAGCTATTTGTTGCGCCAACCGTCTCCGCTGAGGCGTGAGTGCCGTTGAGACCTGCCCTTTCTGTTGCCAAGGCGATAAGATGTTGAGATTGCCTCTGTGAGCTTCCTGTTGAAGCATCGGCAAGGCAACCTTAACTTGATAAATACCAGGGCTTTAATGCAAATAAAGTCTTGGCTAGCAGGGGCGGCCCATTAGCGGGCAACTGGCAACTGAGACTGTTTATTCTATACAAGTAGTGGTATTTAAGCTCCAATGCCCAGGTATTATTTACAAGACAAAATAATACAAAACACCGATAAGTTGAAATATTACTCTGTTTCCCCTGGCATTGGATCTTGCCATATTCTGTGATAATAAATATTAGCACTAGACTCGCCATGAAGCTTTGGAATTGGCCAGCCTTGGTCGGCTTCCTCGCCACAACTGCCGTTGCTTCGGACATTCTTACACCAGATGCTGTTGAAAGGGATATTGAGGAAAACAAGTAACCCTAGCTCATACAATACCACATTTTTACTATGGATTGAGTGCTGACTGGCCTGTGCTATCACAGTCTTCGAAATGTTCTCTGGAATTTGAACCACATTGCCGATTCAAATGGCGGAAACCGAGCCTTTGGGTTTCCTGGCTACAATGCTTCAATTGACTTCATCTTGGAACGCATGGTGACACGCTTCGGCAAAGAATTTGACACTTACGTCCAGCCCTTCAACCATACATTCGAAACCACTCGGAGCATCAAAGTCATTGGACCCCATGATGAAGACGTGTATGTAATCTCACTGCAGTACAATACCGCCACGCCTCTACCTGGTGGTATCAAGGCTCCACTGGTCGACACACCGGTGGATGATCTGCGTGGATCCGCATGCTTTGAAGACCAATGGGATGGAATCAATGCTGCCGGGAAGATTGCCCTAGTCAAGCGAGGCGTATGTGCGATTGCCGACAAGCTCAAGCTTGCCAAGTCGCATGGTGCGTTGGCCGTCATCTTGTATAACAATGTCCCGGGGAAACCTATTGGGTCGGCCACTCTGAGCGCTTCCAACCTCGGTCTCCTGGTCCCGGTTGGAGTCATTACACTGGAGAATGGTTCTGACTGGAAAGAACGTCTCGCAGATGGCGAAGAACTAACCGCCACGCTCATTGTGGATTCAGAGACTGAGCTCAGAGAGTCTTGGAACATCATTTCGGAAACAAAACAGGGCGACCCAAATAACGTCATCATGCTCGGTGCTCATCTTGACTCTGTCCAAGCTGGCGCTGGTGCGTACATCCCCGCTTGGACGACCTGCCACGAGGTCAAACTAATTTGTCATGCACAATATAGGTGTGAATGACGACGGCAGTGGCACGGCTGCTCTTCTTGAGATAGCTACATCTTTCCAAAAATACGAGGGGCTCGCCAACAAAGTACGATTTGCTTGGTGGGGTGCTGAAGAGTAAGTCGTGTAGCATTATGTTTTCTGTTGCTTCTACCGGCCACATCTAGGAAGCTGGTTGGACGGTTGCTGATGATCATCATCAATAGGAGCGGTCTGATCGGCTCTCTGTACTATGGCCAACATCTATCAGAAAAGGACGCAGACCATATTCGCTTTTACTTCAATTACGACATGATTGGCTCTAAGCAGCCCATTTACGCTGTGTACGCTGATACCGAAGCTCACGAGACTGGTGGATCCATTCTCTTTGACTATCTCAAGGCCAAAGGCAAGCCTGTTTATTATGGGTGAGCAAAGTGTATCAAAAAAAAGCCAAGTGAGGTGATAGCTAATTACGTATGAAGCGGATTCGGTTCTTCCTCTGATTATGTCGCCTTCTTGGAACTCGGCATTCCATCATCAGGTCTTTTCACCGGAGCCGGCGCACCGGAAGATGAGTGTTACCACCAAGCTTGCGATAACCTCGACAACATAAACTGGGAGGCTATCACGTTGAACGCCAAGGCTGCTGGTCGTGCAGCGGCTCAGCTTGCTTTGAGTCTAGACGGGATTCCTCCTCGAGAAAAGGTTTCTATCAACCCAAGTAGCAAACGAGGTGTCCAGAGACAGCTAAATAGGGCGGCGCAGCTCACTAGAGTGATTGACAAGTCTCACAAGTGTGGAGGAGGCCTGGCTGATAACACAGTTTGAGATTATTATTGCAATATGCTGAAAGGTCATTGAGTAGCCAGGAAATTAGTCGTTAGTCATTAGTCATTAAGAAATATCACTACGGTTATAACTAAATGAGATTAAGCTAGTCATTGTCCCTTCCAATGCCAGACGCCGCGCTCCAATAGACTCTCTCATAAGTTCATTTCATCTACCATCATAACGTATGCTTTTCGTTGCTTTTCATTAACCAGAGGTAATTTCATCCTGTACGCCGAATCTGAGGATTTCTTGGGTTTGATATCGGGATTGCGCGGTAGCTGGGAAACTTGGGGCCTCCAGGTATCCTCTCCGAGACAACCGCCGGAGCCGGCGTCTGAACCGAGACGCTGGCCTTCTTTGTGGAAGACTTCTTTTTAGGGGCCGTATAATAGTAAACGTCCTCCTCCGAATATTGATATACACCGTGGGTACTGCTGCGCGTGCTGTGAGAGTTTCTTCGTTTCCTTTTCTTCACCTTCTCCTCTTCATTTGCGATGGCAGTCCTTTTGTTCCCAACGTAGCAGAAACCGATGATGAGGGCCAATACAACGACGCCAACCACAGAGCCCAGTATGGCGCCTATTTCGCTGCCGGAAAGGCCATGGTGGTGCGATACGGGGATAGGCACAGCGGCGGCTGTGCTTGTGGCCTCTGGCTCGATGGCGCCGAAAGTGATGGTTGTCACAAAGGTGGTGGATGGATGGACAACGGTTTGTGTAAGGATGAGTTGTTGGCGAACATTGAGGGGAGACGGCGCTTCTGTTGGAGTAGGAGGGAGACGCATTATTTTGGGTGTGAATGCAATGCTGGTAAGGAATGTGTGTGATGCCGGATATTGGGGCAGTAATTGGAATGAACTGCCCATACGACAGACAGAAGCAGAGAATGACAAAAAACGACGAGGAGACGTATGCTTTTATGGACATTTGGTTAAGGTGGAAGGCCATTAGTCTCATTCCTTTACCAGATTAAATTAATTTGCAGGTTCCTGTATCTACGTGTTTGGACTTGGATGCCCCCATTCTTTGACACCACTTGCTGCGTTTCACGCGTGTGCGCGTATGAGAGGAGCGATGTGCAGTATCGCGCTACATACTCATGTAGACCGTCGCTGTCATGCAAAAACGGATGGTGCTTCTCATGAAGGAGACCTCGCAGAAGGAAGAGCTCTCTGATATGCACCAATAGGGCCAAGGTGTATTAGTGAGTCAGATGATGTGGCCATGAGGCCCGTTAGCGTAGACCTCCATCATCTGCTGGTGTGCATTTATTTCTTCGTCTATTTGGGCTACGCGCAGGTGGGATTTCCCAAAAAAAGGTGAGCTCACGGCTTTCTTGATGGCAAATTTGTCTGTGTCTATTGGGCTGGTGGTGTGGTATGGGTGATATGCGAGGCCGCTAAACTGCCGTATGCATGTGCTATGATGAATGCTGCTAGTGGTTCCTTAGGGGTGTGGCTGGGCAAGGATTGTTGTTGGCTGGATTTGCATCGAAGGAGGATGCTAGCAGGGGTGAGATTGGACATGTGCCTGATACTATCTATGGGATGGAGGGCATGGCTTGAGTGGGATCTGAGATGGCTATACAGGCCAGGCAACAGAGGGGTGTTGCCGAGACACATGTTTCATGCGTAGAGCATTCGTAAAGTAAGAGGGCTATTCTTTTCTTTTGAATATGTTAGATAAATGGACGTTTGTATCGCCATAGCAAATGCACATAGAGAGATACATCTTGGAACGTGATAAATGTGGCAGGGCTTTGCTTCACCATAAGCCATCTGAGGACAGAGTCGCGACCTGGGGTTTTAACCAAGTTTTATTGATGATTCTAGCTAATGAACTAATATAGAGCGACATAATAATAATTCAGCACACACCCGTCGCTATGAAAAAACAGTATAGAATTAAATTAGAGGAATAGCAAAGCATTCGTATTTTCAACTTTTGTGTGTAAACAGGAGCAATTAATCAAGATTAGGGAACTCTCCTAGCCAGAGATGAAGACAGCGACTCGAAATTCAGTTGAGGTCGTTAAGACTAAACGGAGGCAACACTTTACTGGGAATGTTGCTGGGAAATATAGAGACAGAGAATCTGGAAATTGACATTAGATTCGGCGTTCCGTGTAATAAAGAAAAGCTCCTGTACTCACCTTCACCCGTGCGGAAGACTTTCTTCTCATCATCTGCCTTTAGGCCACCAATTTTAAGACCACATTCGATATAAAAAAAATGTCCAGACTCGTGCTCCCTTCATATTATTTGCAAGATGGTACATTTTTTACGGTCTAGTAGATAGTGTCAGTTCAAGCTGTTGTTACAGTAGTCGCGGATGAAGCCGCACTCACCAGTTCGTAGGTCAAACCTTTTGGCTAATCTCTCTTCTATAGTCATACACCACCATATCTCTCTCCGCTCTACCCCCTCTCCCCTTCATCCCCACCACTGTTGGTGCAATATGCACCATGTCAGTGGGCGTTCCTATCAGCGGCAGATCCTTTCTCACCCTCGCCGTCACTCTTGACCACTTCGCGAGTCTTACCCCATTTGAAGTCATCAGAGTTAAAGAGCGAGTAAAGCATGATGATGATGTTCATGAATGGAGAGGTAAGGAAGTGTATGAAGTAGCCAGTAAAGTACTGAACGCGCTCTTTCATGTTTCGGGGAAGCCAAAAGCCCACACAGAATGAGTAGAACTGTTATAAGACGTTAGCAGCCTGAAAAGGAAATGAGGTTGGATATAATAGTACTTACGTAGCGTGCAAACAAAACCGAGATGAGGGTAATGAAAATTGTGTCCTGGAACATCTCCCGACCTCTTCGGACGAGAAGGTTGATGAGCTCAACCACGGCGGCGATGATGAATGGAGTAATGGCCCACGTCATGACGGCAACGATGCTTTGAATCCTCTCCATAACGATGATGCCTGGCCTGAAGATCATCACGAATTCATTTGAGATACTACCAAGAGCCCATCTCTTGCGCTGTGACAAAAAGACTTTCCAATTTTGGGGAACAATTGTGAATGCTTTGGCATGCAGAGCCTGTGCCGTTTGCTTCTTAGGGAACAAACTGAAGATGATGGACGCGTGGATGCTGTCCTCTGAGTAGTTACCCATGATGTGTTGAGTCATGATGTCGTTCGGCTTGGGGCAGTATCCGAATCGTTCGCGGAGTACAGCATCGCCAAAGGTGGACTCATCGACGCGGATGAGTTGACAGCAGCCAGGAAGACAATTGACTTTGCCGGTGATGCGGGACTGGAACATGCGTCGCAGGCCTTGGGTTTGGGAATATTCCACTGATTGGTAGAGAGACCAAGGAGAATAGGGCTTGCCGTCAAAATCGACACAAACATGACCACAGACACCAACGAGCCTGGGATTCTGGCGAATCTCTCGGAGCATTTCGCGGATACAGTACTCATCAAAGACAGTATCTGCATCCATACCAACGAGATAGTCAACAGTGTCGACGCCGAATTGAACAAAACTGTTGCCGATATACTCGTATAGTTCATTGTTGAACATGGTGAGGATATTTTCCGATCGCTGTTTGAAGTGATAGAGAAGCGAGCGAGCGAAGCACAAGCTATCGCGTTTGCCTTGGTTGTAACTCTTTCCGACAAAGACATATGGAATACCCTTGTAGTAGCCAGTTTGGATCTTGACAGGCATGAAGAGACCATCTCGGGCACGGTAACCATTTTCGAATCGTCGGGTTTGGCCAGGTTCAAGAATATCTTCGAGGAGATAGTCTTGAGTAGTCTTTTCCATACCGGGGCCACGAGCATTACCATCAACAACGATGAAAATGGCCCGGGGATGGCCATCAATTTCCTTTTGTGAAACGAGAGAATCCAGAGAGCGGGTTAATTCTTCGTGTGTTTCGTTGTAGCAAGGCAGGAGGAGGACCAGCTTCTCAAGTTCCTCGGGGATGACCTCTTTCTTGGCGAACCACCAAGGCAAGACGCGTCTGGCAATAGCATTGGAGATAATGGCCAACATCATGAACATTTGAAGCATAGTGTTTGAGCTGAGGAGGATGACAAACAGGTAGTACAGCTGGAAGTACTTCCAAGCGACGTAGATCAGGGCACCGTTAACAATGAGCAGACCAAGAATGAGAGACCATTTCTGAAGGCGAAGAAGAGTCTTTGAGACTTTCTTCAGCTCTTCCTCGGAATCCCATCGGAGCTTTGCTTCTTCCTGGAGAATAGAAGACGAGAAAGAGGCGGCAGAGTCAACGCCAAGAGAGGCTTGCGAGTGGGGAGTCTGGGCTCCTGGCGGGAAACTGCCATTGATGTTTCGTATGACGGACTACATGCCATGTTAGAATATACGATTGACGATGATTAGCGACAACTATTTTAGATATACTCACAGATTCTCGAGAGACGGGCCCTTCCAGTCCATTTGTGCCGTTATTACTATTATTGTTGGCGGTGGTGGTGTTGTTATTGCTGTTGAACAACGAGACTGGTGGCCTTTTTGGGGTTTCCTCCCTGGTAGGCCGTTGCTGGGCGATGTCTCCCGAGTCGGCGGAGGAGTTGGACACACTCGACGAAAGGGGAGCAGCCATGGCTGTGAACGACAGACCAAATCAGACAACACAAAGAGAGAAGTGAATGCAACTAAGTGATTTCGAGCGTGAGTTGGATTGATTCTGCAGAGAATGGGCTGATTATGCTGGAGTGTTTGGAAAGCAAGTATAGTCGAAGTGAGTGGTGAGGAAGGATTGTAGAGAGTGTGGGAGAAAAAAAAACCAGCCTTGGGATAAATGGGGCAGATTCGCTACAGATCAGTAGCAACAACAATAAACAAAAGGAAAAAGGACAACAAGAATTTCAACAAAATAAACTATGAAAACTTGGTCTCCTAGTAGCTTTCCATACGATAGGGGTAATACGACGCTGGCTGAGAGGCCACACTTTATCGTGAGAAAAAAAGTTTAATAGAGGGATTCGCATAGATGATACTACACGCGAGTTAAAATTGCTCTGGACTCAAGGAAGAAGAGCCACGCGTGCGTGGCTGGCCTCTATTTTTGTCATTTTTTGGAGAAGTATAATGGGCCACGGCTTCGTCTAAGTGGAGAGTTAACAAGTATATCGTATAAAGCCCTCGCTTCTCGCCAAACCACCAACTGCCCCAAAGGTTTGTGTTTTGCTTCAACAAGCCTAACTCTCTATATAACCAATGCCACGATCAAACCGGGCCTCGCACAACGCCGTCTCGCATAAAGTTGTAAACACCACGTACACTAATTAACAAGACGAAAATACCCTAGTAAAGGTCCAGAAAACAAAAGAAGCTTTTCAAACTGCTGAATGGTCCGATTGAGAGGCGAATCTCAGCTGTGATCCGTGCCGGTGGTCGGTAAATACGAAGTGACCGCGGGAGATGTACATCCGAGACCGCATAAAAGCCGTACAAGGCTTGAGCTAATGCACTTCGCTTTGGCGCCATGGCCCTCAGAATTGAGTTTTATGGCATGGGGCAAAGTGATACACAAAACTGGGCTTCGGCATGTATTCGCCCAGCGGTCTGGATGGGAGCTTTTTACTTGTCGGTTAAGAGCTATACTTGCTGCAGATCGTCGATCACTCAAGTCAGCAAGCACGAACTCGAGGGTCTTGTTACACCTATTTACATCTCAAGCCAGAAGAAATTTCACAGGCAGTACATCACTTACCCCCCTTTCTATAGCAGTCAGAGTCAATCCAGCTATTGCCATCTGCAAAACTGTGCTTCCAACTCCAGAGATGCCAGTCACCGTGCCACGTGAGATCTTGTGAAGCATCTGCTGTCATAATGTGATATCGTGGGCTTGTATATCCCAGTATATTGCTTGGATCTATGCCAGCCATCTCGTGATGTTCTTCGGTCTTTCGGGGCATCTACTATCTAACCCATGTCTGGTTTCCGGGTTGAACATGTACCACCGAGGCACTCGTCTTCCCATTTCGTATCCCCACCATGCTAGAGGCGTGAGCAAAATGGGGTATATTCAATGTGCCACCGCCAAGGTGAGTAATTCCAAAAATGAGGAGCAAAACTCCGGCCTTGCTGCTTATAATAGGATCGGGCCTTTGCAGCGGAAATACACATATCTCGTACCGTCCCCTCCCCACATTTCACAACATGGTTGGCTGGTTATACTTGATTTTCAGCCATCAAACAAGCTTATTTGCAGTTTGGAAGTCTTACCGCATTAAGCTTCGCCTTGGCGGGTACGACCGGAACAGCTACATCCTCCATGCACTGTGACTCCGGAACTCCAGCTACACGATGATATTAAGTTGCCCCTGTGTTACCTGCTACTCAGTTTCCCCTCAAGTGGCTAAGCCGAGAGAGATAGTCTGCCGGGTGATTCGAATGGCTCTTCGCCCCGGTTAGCACAAAATTGAAACTATAGGCTCATGATGCAGCTCCTACTCTAGAATAGCCACAAGTATAAACAGTTGTCTGGTGGACCTGCAGTAGTCTTTACGCTAATCTTCGTAGTGTTTCCGATGGGCCGTGGCGCAAATACGAATAGTTAGTATCATCTTTTCTTACTGCAGCAGATGATCGGCACATCTCCCGACGAGGTAGAAAAAAAAATTACACTTTGTCCTCCAATCAGCCACCGCTGAACAAAATGGGTTGTCTTAGCTTATATGCATCTGAGAGAGTCACGACATTTCATACCAAGACTGAACTATTGGAAGCGGCATTAATCATGCATCGGGAACACGAATCCTCTGAGTGGTATTCATTATCTGGCTGCATCATCCCCGTATCCACAAGCCACTGGAAGGAGCATTAAGTACTTGGGATTAATGTAGGGGAAATGCCGTGGAATAATTCCAGCATCTTAGAGATTTTGCAGCCTTTAGTAGTATGAATCCACTGCTGCATTAGAGGTGCCTGGTTATGTGTTCTCTTAGACGGAAATCGCGGGCATAGGGGCCTGTAAATTTTCAAGTCGTGAAGCAGGTAAATTGCAATAATATTAGAACTTGGAAAGAGAATATATCACCAGCCTAAACAATGAATAAAGACTTAGAATACCAGGTTTCCAACCCCCCTCCAACAGGTAACACAAAACAGTTAATCAGGCCTTATGTTGAATAGAGGCACGGCTTACATCACCGCTCATCTCAGCTACGCCACACCCTGCGTCAAATAAGAATCTCCGCCGTACAAATAAAGTACCAATAGCGATATTTTATTCGCATTATTCGCTGTCATTCATGACTTTCCAGCAATTGCCATAGCTCTTTTGACATCCCACAGCGCAGTGAGCGCTTGAATTGCCACTAGATGGTTATAAGTCAGTGAGAAACCATCATCATCAGCTCAGTCATATACTCACCAGAAACCAAACTTGGAGCAGCAAGTTTTGTTTTTGTAGTTCTTACACGTAGCTGAGAACTGATCCCCGCAAAGGCCATTCGTCGTGTTAAAAATAGCGAGATTTGCTCTGGGTCTCATCTGGACGGCGCAATCTCCATATCTAGAATCACACCCAGTTCCGCAGTGTTTTATACTATTGCCGCTATAGTTTCAGATTTGTCAGTAAGACATATATCAACAGGAGCATATGTATTAGTACCAAGAGTGGGGGGCTGAACGTGTGGAAAGGCAAAAGAGTACAAACACGCAACTTGTAATGTAATCAAGAGGTATTAATATTTCTTACCAATAGCCATAGTATGAGCAGCATTTGCCATATATGGAGCCTTTGCAAGTTGCACCAAATTTGCTACCACATCTTTGATCTTCTGAGATAGCAGGCTCATCCTCACCTTTGGTGTCGTCCCTCGGCCCAACTATCGAATCAGTATCGCGTTTAGACGGCGCAGAGCGATACCAATTCTGAGATGGGTCGCCAAGGCATTCACCAACAGTCACAAGCTTGTATCCTCGGCCTTTACTGACCTCGATCATATACTCGGTAAGGTTCACAACTGTCTGATAGTGGACATCATGTGCGAGGACGATATAGTCATGATCAGTTTCATCTGTCAATTGCATAGAGGAGAAGCGATTCTTGGAGACTTGAATCAACGAAGCATCATCGTTTTCATAATCCTTGGTGTCAAGGTTAGTGCTGATAATGTGATAGCCAAGCTTGTCCATTGTGTCAATGCACCCCGATTTCGCACTACACTCTAGAAACGGCGGACGCATATAAGTTGGTATAACCCCAAGGAGATTGCGGAACGCCATTTCATTGTAGATCATTTCTGTTTCTCGAACTTCCTTGGAAATCTCGTTAAGATTGCGATGTGTCCAGGTGTGGCTTGCGAGTTGGTGCCCAGCATCATGCATACGTCGAATGATGGGGGGCCAGTCTGTTGATTCGTCGTCTATACGACCCTTACCTCTGTTATTCCCCGCAATGAAAAAGGTTGCTTTAACATTATGCTCTTCAAGAATGTCAAGGAGCTTATCTGTATAATCGTAGGGTCCGTCATCAAATGTCAAAGCAACATGACCCGGGCTGTTGCATTGAGTTATTGTAGAAGCTAAGATCCGATTAGCTTTGTCTTGAAGTTTGGTGATCTATAAATCCGGAATAAAATAATAGCATGGTGACTGACCATATGGGACATCGCCAACGCGTGTTCGAGAGACACTTTCGGTGCTTTGTCCTGGAGGGCTGGTTCTAAATCGCGTTTGTTAGTCCCATATATTCCATGTCAAGTTGCTACTTACTGTGTGTCGCAGGAGTCGCTATAGTCGAGCTGGCATTGCGATCCTGCGCAATACTCTGTAGAAGTCCCACAGTAGCCAGACTCTGAACAGCATTCGCCTTCGTCACAGCTGCCAATGCCAGAGCCGCAACGCTTATCGCGGGCTTCTAGAAGATGCCCGAAAGCACTGTCGGACTTTCCAGGAGCAGCATAGACAGCCTCAGAGAATATGAAGGCGATCACCGCCGTAACAGTAGCAGTGAACTTCATGATTTTAATATCGTCTTCACCGGTGTCACTTCAGGAAGAAAGGGGAGAACCGAGTTGATACCAAAAGAGGTGAAATATAAATGGAAGTTAGAATATGTGGTGTATTTCTTTTATCCTACCATTAACCGCAAACTTTGACCATGTGGGCTGATGTTAAAAATATCCACGATGTTTAATAGCCACTATGAAAGATACATCGATGGAGCCTGGCAATGTACCTGTTGGAAACGCAACTCTAAGCTCACTTAAAAACGAATTGTGCTGTGGGTTTGGAGCGCCAGAGAAAATTGCGAGTGGATAGCAAATCGAAGCGGCCTGAAAGTTATCTGACGAAAATCCCTCTCTACTACACCATCTCGCGATAGTTGCCTACACTAGCTACAGAGACATGCGTTAAAAAGCTGCAACATCACACCATCAACTACTGCCCATTAAGCACTCCCATCGAATCAATTACTTGCCAAATTCCGTGCTTTTACCTAGTGGCAGCTGACTACTACCTATGCCAATATGGACTCTGCAGTGTACCGGAGCACAGATGGAGAAAAGGAATGGTTTGGCACGGCGTATAAGATAGCCAATTAGTGGTATAAGATCATCATTCGTATTATGCGTTGGCTTACGTTACAGCATTAGTTCTAAAAAACAAGGAGAAAAAGAAAAAGATTCCCCTGGCTAAAAATAGATGAATGTTGGGACATGAGTTGCCTTATTCTTGGCTTATATTGCGTAGTCAATACGTATTCACAGTATAGTGTTAGAAGAAAGTATGAACACGGTATCCTTTCACCCCTATGTCTGGGAGTCTCTCTAAAAAGCTCTCCGTTGAGTTATACGAGGGATCCTTCGGACGCCCCCTTTTCTTTCTTTTCCAGTTAATGTTGGGAGTATAATTATGAGATTACCGAGGCCATCTCACTGCATCAATAGCCGTAGCATTGACGTCTCAATGTCTCACTTCCAAGTATAGGAAGTTTTACGGTAACGCAGATTATCTCACAGCCCTCTTGTTCCTGACAGTCTCGCGTAGCCCAATTACAGACTAAACAAAGCAAGATATCCGACCTCGGCAGTTTCTTTTCTTACACGCCTCCCAGGGCTCCAGGGCTTAACATTTGCCTTGATAACTTTCAAAGTTTCTGCTCCATTTGCGGGACCAACCGAGATCTATAGTCCACATATGTGGAACTTTCTTCGATTAAACTTGACGTGGCGTAAAGCCGGCACATGTACTCCGTATGCGTGATACCATTCCAACCTTTGGTAGCTACGGGGAGATTGTGCAATTCCCATATCGTATTGGAGATTTATAGTGTGACAGTGGCTCAACAGAGTTGACTTCAGCAGAGTCGTAGGGGTGTCAGAAGATCCTAGGTAGATCGATTTCAACGTCTACTTGCCATTAGCCCTAGAAAGAAGACGGCGATGGTAGATTACACAGCCGTTTGTGCATTTCTTGGTGAATGAAATTATTCATTGTTATTGGCTGGTCTTCGTCAGATCCGAGCATACTCTTGACAATTCTGTATGAAACATCTCATTCGCCAAATCCGACAATCCAGTCACAGCATTCTAAAAGATATAAAATGTCGATGAATACATTGCCGAGTAACTATTCGGCTGTCGAACTTGGTATACCTCTCAAGTACCACGGCCGCAGTAAACCATGATTTTTAGACTTACAACAAATAATAATTACCTTTGCTGTGGGAGAATACCAAGCTCCGAAGCCAAATTTTAGCGCTCCTTCGTGTTCTATACCTTCTTTTACTTTCTCGGCTACTACCGCGGCGGTATTCATGAGACGTAGATGTTTAATTTAAGTACTATTCCAAAAGTCTATCTCCTTTTCCCGCCATTGCTGATCCTTTATCTTCCTTTCTCTGGCCTCTTCTCAACTCTGCTAGTACCTAACTCTGTAGAATTGGTCAACTTGCTATCAGTCTCTTCCAGGTTCAGTTTCTCATTCAATCTTTCGCCGAGTATCTTGCCAAGTCTTACACTCGCCGAATATGGTATATATGGGTGCTACAGAGGAACTGCCGGCCCCAGAGGTCGCCAGTCGCGATCTGACCCCTAACCCGGAGGAGGATGAGCAAATAAAAACCTGGGATTATATCTACGATATTTCTCCAGCCGGAGAAACCACTTCTGACGCAGGCACATACCCTGGATCCATCGAAACCGGCTGTTCGATCGAAGCTGTCAAATACGATTCGGATCTCAATGGTGAACCGGAGCCTCTTGTCGCAGTTATTGGCGTTGGCTATGTTGGCGAGCATCTCACTGATGTTTTTTCTCGCTGCTTTAACGTGCTTGGATACGACGTCTCGGAGACTCGTGTCAAAGACCTCTGTGCTAAATATTCTGGAAACAACAAAGTCCGCATCACAACAAAGGCGGAAGATCTCAGTGAGGCCTCGCATTTTCTCATTTCTGTCCCTACACTCCTCCAGTCGGACAAGACTGTCGACACGTCTTACCTTCAAAGTGCCCTCGCTACTGTGGAGAAGCAGGCAGCCCCAGGGTCTACTGTCGTCATTGAAAGCTCAGTCGCTGTTGGCATGACTAGAGAGCTTCTCGGACCCCTCGCCAAAAGAAAGGGCCTCTTTGCTGGAATGTCGCCAGAACGTGTTGACCCTGGCCGCGTTGATCCACCAGCCTATGATATTCCCAAGATTATTTCTGGTCTCGATGATGTGGTTCCCGGCTCGCTGTGCTCGATTTCAAAGCTTTACTCCGCCGCCTTTAACAAGGTCGTCACTGTCTCCAAGCCGGAAGTGGCCGAAATGACCAAGCTCTACGAGAATTGCCAGCGGATGATGTGCATTGCCTACGCCAACGAGATGGCTAATGCCTGTATCCCCATCGGCATTGACCCTTACGAAGTGTGCAATGCCGCTTCTTCTAAGCCGTTTGGCTACATGCCCTACTCGCCCGGACTTGGAGTTGGTGGACACTGCATCCCAGTCAACCCATACTACTTGCTGTCCAACAGCGCCTTTCCCCTCCTCCAGGCTGCTTCGGAGAAAATGTATGCTCGCCCCGCGGAAATCGGAGAGCGTGTCATCGATGAACTTTACTCCAAGCGGACTGGCGATGGCCTGCCCCGTGTTCTGGTAGTCGGCATGGGCTTCAAACGCGGCCAGTCTCACCTTGTTAATTCGCCTGGTCTTGAACTGGCCAAATCTCTCGCCAAGTCCGAGAAAGTCAGCGTCTCTTTCGCTGATCCGCTCGTGAGCCAAGAGGCTGTGCCTCAAATTCCTCGACTAGATGAGGCTAACTGGACTGTCGAACACTTGGAGGAAAACTTTGACATGATTGTCGTGGCATTCAAGCAAGAGGGCCTGGACTTTGGCCTTCTGGACAAGCTTACTACCGTGCAAGTTCAAATGTGGTGCACGTAAGACGTACGAGTACCGATGCAAACAAACAGTGGCATCCGGCAAGCGAGGATAATATTGGAGTACAGGGGTTATTTGACGGGCTCTAGCCCTTAATATTTGTAAGTGGTCCCTCTGCAGAGTGATTGAGGTCGATATTGAGACCGCTGTATTAGTCTTGCCATCGGTTTGCAATCAATGCGTGGAAGAGACAAGGTGCTAATTTCTGTGCTAGGGTTTTGCTATTTTACATTTGGTTTACCTGGATTTTATATTTGGAAAAAAAAAAAAGAACATTTGTCGGGCTTCTGCTGTCAACATTCATTCTTTTTCTCAGGCTCCTCCTGTCACCATTTAATATCAGTATGCTTCGATCTGCTGGCGGTGCACAAGAGGGAAAATCTTGCGATCATAGCCTCGTTACTCTTGTTATCTAATTAATCTATGGAATTATTTTTTAATCTTCAATTTGAATCCTTTATATTCGTATAAGTTCCTTGCGGAATTTCTCTGCATGCCTCTTCGCTTCCTCTTGCTTCTTGCCTTCCACAGCTGTCCTAGCAGAAAGAGTGCCACGTAGCCCATAATGCGTGCGTTCCATGCTTCGAATTTATGCTCCTCAACAGATTGCAATAAGTCGAGTTGAATCGGCCAATTCCATTTATAGAGATGTGCGAGCCCCTCATTGGCGCAACTTTATCCTGGGCTAAATGCTTCGCTTCGCCATGTTGGAAAACTTTACTAGATCTATTTTAGTTCCCAGATGTGGATGGAGCTTACAAACTATCGGAACTGCGGAAAATTTATCTATGAAAATGGGCTAGACTTTGATTGTTGGTCATATCATCCAGGGCTTTTCCCAGCAGAGATAGAGAAGTTTCGTCGAAGGTAGGCGAGAAGGCGTCCGGGATTGGGGGGGGGGGGGGTTTGCCCCATTCTGTAGCACTCCTTCCTGGCTTTCGTATTGTAATTACACTTTTCAAGCCCTGTACATTTAGGCTTGGTTCTGTTACCAGCAGTATATGTAACAATACGCTGCGGTCTAGGTGAGCATAGAATTCTCGGCATAGATTAGCTGCTCATAACACCACAGATAGGGGTGTTTTAATGTTAATAATTACTACAGGCAACTTCTAGTAGATGATCAAGCAACTCTTGCACTAGATATTTCTGCCTGTATCTCAGTTCCGCATACTAAGGATAACTTCAAGGTTCTTATTATATAGAATATCCGCTGGTGTTAAAATACCAGAAGCAGAGTGGGAATCAGAGTGGGAATGATGGACCTATCCACTCCAAATCATTGGCCGCCGTATCCTCTATCCTTTCAATACTTCATCATACCACCCGTATATTCCTTGTAATGTTTCCAGTACAGTTGTTATAACATGGCCCCTTGTTCTAAACGGCCTGAGTGATCAATTTACCACGATCTAGAATAGCATAAGACAAATGTGATAGACTCAAAGCACACGGAGATCTTGACAAAATGATGTCAGTAATTAAGCGACGTCGAAAAGATCAGGCGACCAGATACTATGCCTATCTCGTTTGACCCACCTGTTTCCGTCATCGAGCCGGTAGTTAGCCGGTGATGAGAACTACTGGTGATGAGATGCAATCTCGCTATTTGTGCCAGCGAGCACTGCTTCTCCGGTATTTTCACGGAAGGGTTAGATAAGATCCGTTGCTATCGCCATGATCATGTGCTCCTTTCAATGGCAGGGAGTTAGTTCACCGAATAGGCAAACTCATCTCTCACGATGTCATCGCGCTGTGGGGGCGCTGAATAATAACTAGACCATCTTTGGCAATTCTCGGCGAGAGCATTGACAGCGGTAAACCTCAGCGAGTTAGATAATCAGGCTCCGACGATCATTGGGCATGAAACGAAGAATTTTAATTAATTAATGCGCGATGACGCAATGTTTGAAGCTTCTCTCCAATCAAATATATTGCTTTCAACACTTCATTTGAGCTACCTCTTCCAAACTTCAACATATACCAACTGCCAAACTCATATTTCTAAGAATGAAATTACTATTGAATATCAACCGTGCGGACGATACGGCTATTAGGCCGGGAGATGACATTCAAGGAACGTTGATAATATCAGGTATTGCGAGCCAGAAGCAGCCTCAATGCACAGCTACGATTGGAGGTGAGATATACCTATCAAGTCAAATTTTTTATTTTACAGCTGAAGCTGACAAAATGAAATTGCATTCAGGACGATTAATGATTTCGGTACCTCCTCAAGTTGCTGGCCCTAAAATAGACAACGCAGTTTATACGGTATGAACCGAACCGCCATCAAGTCTCACAGTCTCACTTTAACTTACATTGCCAAAGCTATTCGAAGAAACGAAACAACTGAATTACGAAAATAGGTCGGGCAAAAACAACCCGGATGATGACGTTCTTTTTATGCCTTTCAACTTCCGATTTCCATCTCATATAAATTGCTCTAAGCATCCTCATCCATGCCAATTCCCTCCATCAACGAATGTGCATGAAGGGAATTCTAGGATAAGGGTGGAATACTACATCACTGCAGCCGTGGACAGGCATATATTTGGCGGCCTATCCAATAAAAAGAGAGTCGCAAAGGCGTTACAACTCAGCAGCAATTGTTCATCTACTACCTCACCAGCATCATCATCTATCGCCAGCCTGCCGATAACACTACGACAGAAGGATTACACAGAGCGTCTGCAACCTCGGCCTGATGGTCTACCAGCATACACGCCATCTATACACGTCCAAGTCGTGCATCCTCAGCCACCAGTTTTTGTCCGAGGGCAAGCGAATCCCATCCGATTCAACGTCCACAGCCCATCCGAAGCGATCGGGAAAATATTTGTTCGGAGCATCAATATCAACTTCAAGACTTCCACCATCGCAGCTGCCGGGTCAACTGCGCAACGAGTCGATCAAGATGCATCGGGAGTCAAATTACCCACTCTCATTCCAATCGATTCGGAAATACTAGAGCTCGATACAAGCACCTGGGGGCGCCTTTCTATGCTCAGCCTGAGACCAACATTCGAATCATGTCTAATGCAGATAAAGCATACGGCTGAAATAAGTGTTGGTATATCAGTAGGGCCCCAGGGCAGCATTTTTGTACGTCTTATCAAATGCATGCCATGAATATTGAATAGCCATTAGGCACAAGGGACTAATAATACGCAGCATACTTCGTCTCGGTTCGACATGGTGGTGATGGATCCGCCGCCTTCATATGAAGAAATCTAGAAACTACATTATCGGCAAATATAGAGAACGACTGCATGGTTAGGTATAATTTAGAGCAAGGTGTTTTTTTTTCTTCTTTTTTTTATGTGTGTGTGCATTAGTACTATAGAAGATACCTAGCTTCGGATCAATGATCGAGCCACGCTGCAGATAGACATCGTTAGAAAGAGATTTGGGCTTATCACTTGGCCTTTGAAATAACTTAGGCATGGCTAAGCCTTGACTTTCAACTCTTTTCAGCTTTTTACAGAGTAACATTGGGCGCGGAGTTGCTACATGTACCTTGCGTCCCCTAGGTAGGCGGCCAACCCGGCCCCAGCTTCAGATCTCGTATGATCAAATAGCAATGCGTTCGTCGCGACTATTGATCGTTGTTTATTCGTAACCCTATCTCAGAGACGCCGCAGGCCCGTAATACATGTCAGCTACGAGATATCATTGCCGGATGCATAAAAGAGGTCGCCAACTGCGATGCCACCCTGTTTCGTTCCGACTTCCGAAAGACGTTATGCCGGATTGAGGAATTGTGGGCGAGACGACCCTGGTACCCGCAATCTGGCAGCGAATGAAGCTTCTATTTTTGTTCTTTTTCCTCTCCTGGCAATATCCGAGGGGCCTGTGTAGTATTAACGGGAGAAGGGCGGATATTTTGCTCCCTAGGTCAATTAGGGATCCATATGGGTCTCACGTATGAGATTTAGTCCTAATCTTCTTCACACAGCTGGAGAGTGTACAATGGCCCCGTTCATTTAGATGTGCAACACAAGCCGGGAGGAGTATAATGTCCGCCATGGGGGCGCCACATGCGACGATTTGACTACTCTTCAGAGGTGAGAATATATAAGACATATGTTTTCCCCGTCATGATTGGGTAGCACAAGTCTAGAGTAGAATCGGTCTTACTGTGCGTCCTAGCATATTTCACGAGCTATATACAGAGCTCCCTTGACTTGGCACTGTGCGCAGTTCGATTACATCATGAGCCGTTGTTTCAATCCTAGTTTAACAGATTGCGCAGTGTATGACAATAAGTTAGAATAAGAGTTTAATATTCTATGATAGCTTACAGGCGCTTTTCTTTCGAATTAGCGGGGCCTCTTCTTTAAAGGGAAGATGATTAGCCGTGCCATCCAATCAAGTTGACGTCAATGTAATATCATGAAAGCTTACATCGCAATCAACATTTGTCTAGTGATGTATGAGTGACGGCCGATTATAATATGTCGCCACCTATCATGATTTCACAATGAGATACGAGATAAATCATGCGTATAAAATGTAGATTGATGTCCTTTGAAGCGCAGGCCACAGCGAAGAACTGGTCAATTTTGACGACGAAACCATGTCAAACATCATTCCATCTGCCGTGAAACAAGCAGTCATGGGCCAAAAGGGAGCAAAAACAGACCAGTTGGCCGCTCACACCGTTGAGCCGACCAAGAACAGCAGAATTACATCTGATTTTGGTACTAAGCAGACCAACACAGATGACTGGCTTCGGATCAATAGCAAGGATCAAATAGGTCCCTCGCTGTTAGAAGATCCTTTCGGGCGTGAAAAAGTACGTCGTAGAGTGACGATGCAGAGGCTTTTCAGTATAGAAGACTAAAGAACAAAAAACATATTAGATCCATCGGTTCGACCATGAGCGTATTCCAGAGCGAGTTGTCCACGCCCGAGGCACCGGAGCGTTTGGAACATTCCGCTTATTCGAATCTGCTGAGGACGTTACTCATGCAAACGTTTTAACCGATACTTCACGCGAGACGCCTGTGTTTGTTCGCTTCTCGACTGTTTTGGGAAGTCGTGGCTCTGCTGATACCGTTCGCGATGTGCGCGGCTTTGCCGTCAAATTCTACACTCAAGAGGGCAACTGGGATATTGTAGGGAACAACATTCCCGTCTTCTTCATCCAGGACGCCATCAAGTTCCCCGACCTTATCCATGCTGGGAAGCCCGAGCCTCACAACGAAGTTCCTCAAGCGCAGTCGGCTCACAACAATTTCTGGGACTTTGTTCAGATGCACTCTGAAGCCACCCATATGTTTATGTGGACCATGTCCGACCGCGCCATACCTCGCTCATACCGAATGATGCAAGGGTTTGGAGTAAACACGTTTACACTTACCAATGCCGCTGGTGAACGCTCGTTTGTGAAATTCCACTTCAAGCCAGAGCTTGGAGTGCACTCTCTGGTGTGGGACGAAGCGTTGAAGCTTGCTGGCCAAGACCCCGATTTCCACCGTAAGGATCTCATGGAGGCCATCGACAACGGAGTATATCCGAAATGGAAGTTTGGCATACAAGTAATTGATGAGTCAAACGAAGACGACTTTGACTTTGATATTCTCGATGCCACAAAACTTTGGCCTGAAGACCTTGTACCAATTCGATACATTGGCGAGCTCGAGCTGAACAAGAATGTGGATGAGTTTTTTACCCAGACAGAGCAGGTAGCATTTTGTACCGGTCACGTCGTACCAGGAATCGGCTTCTCGGACGATCCTCTTTTGCAAGGCCGAAACTTTTCGTATTTCGATACTCAGCTGAGCCGGCTGGGCGTCAACTGGCAGGAATTGCCCATTAACAAGCCGGTTTGTCCAGTGATGAACTTCAATCGCGATGGCGCAATGAGACATACCATCTCAAAGGGCAAAGTCAACTACTGGCCCAACAGATTTGAAGCTCAGCCGCCAGCAACCAAGGAGGAGGGCGGATATGTCGACTTCCCCGAAAAGGTTATCGGCATCAAGGAACGAGCAAAGAGCGCCAAATTCAAGGAGCATTTCTCTCAGGCGCAGCTTTTCTTCAACTCGCTTTCTCAAATCGAAAAATCTCATCTCATGGCTGCATTCTCGTTTGAACTTGATCACTGCGATGAGCCAATCGTGTATGAGCGACTTGTGAAACGACTCACCGACATTGACATTGGCCTCGCCCAATCTGTTGGGGAAATGGTCGGAGGGGCTGTTCCAGATAATAAAGGCCAGCCAAATCATGGAAAGAAGGCCAAAGGTCTGAGCCAGTTGGAATATCTTCCAGAAACACCGATGATTGCATCGAGACGAATCGGCATCATCATCGCTGACGGTTACGATCCGATTGCTTTCAACGCCATGTATGGAGCGGCTCAAGGAGCGCAGGCGATTCCTCTAGTAATCAGTACACACCGGTCCCGCACCTTTGCCGATGGAGAGAGCAAAGATGGAAAAGGCATCATCGCAGATCATCATCTTGAAGGCCAGCGTAGCACAATGTTTGACGCTATCTTTGTGCCTGGCGGAAAGCAAGCGATTGAGACGCTTTCCAAAAATGGGCGAGCACTACATTACATCCGTGAGGCGTTTGGCCATCTCAAGCCTATCGGAGCCACTGGGGAGGGCGTCTTGTTGGTTGAAAAGGCACTCCAGCTACCCGAACATATTGTTACGTCAAGCAACCATGAAGCTGTGGAGAGCTATGGTGTAGTTACACTAAAGAGTGCAAAACCGGAAGGCTTTGGAGAGGTGATGTCTGCGGTTAGGGGTGCCAAAGGGTTTTTGGATAAGTTTGCCTATGCGATTGGCAACCATCGCTGCTGGGAGCGTGAGCTTGATGGTCTTAATACTATGGTGGCATATTAGTCGAACTTATCACAATTATTAAGCAGATAAGACACTCCCTGTGCTTCATAGCTATGCAGGTCTATATGAAAGGATCGATTATGTTTAAACAAGGATAGCACAAGAATCGTAAGGTTGTTGCTGATCTTGCAAGTTTTAAGTACACCGGCTTTCATGCCATCCCCTGCATGGTGACATTAGGCATGAATTATGAGACGATACTCTACCCAATCAACGCTCGTATAGCTAGCCAGCTACCACCACAAAGGCAGGTGGCCTCCATACATGTATGCGGCAACCAACCAACTGTCAAATAGGAGACAGCTTTGAGAACCAATATATTCGGGAAAACAGCCAACTCAATACTTCGTCATCTCTATTTGCCTAAACAGGGGGGAATCTGGTTCTCAGCGTAGCAGCCTAGGGTAGTACAGAGAGCAAGCTCGCAATTGTGACCCCTCGGAAGAAGAAAATCCACAGTTGAGTTGTGTATCACAGCATGTGAAAGATTGCACCCGACTTGTACCTACTGTTTAGAGCATAGTAGCTCCAGGGATACTCATGTTATTCGCAAAAATGGCTAATCTCTTGTTTGGTAAAGTAGGGTATATATATGGAGCACAGGGCTGCTCATATCGAAATGATACATCAATCTTTAGATCGATGAAGTTGTAAAGAAGCGATTTCCATAATGGGTTCCTCCAATTCCACGCTCAGTTCCATCGAAACATGCGTGAGTGCTATCTGCAACGGTCGCTTAGATTGCTACCATCTACCGCAGAGTGATTTGGATCAGTCGTGGAATAAATTGTACAATCTCGCTCTTTCTCAATATCCTCAAATCATCATTCGGCCCAACAACGCTTCCGAAGTTTCTCAAGCGGTGAAATGCGCCAGCGACAATGACTATAAAGTCCAAGCGAGATCTGGCGGTCACTCGTACGGGTAAGAAGCTAAGGGGGAATCGGTGATTGTGAAAAAAGGAATAATCATTTTTAATGATGAATTGCAGAAATTTTGCTCAGAGTGCAGGAGAAAGCAACGGCATGATGATCGACTTGGTGAACTTACAAGATTTTCAGATGAACAACGATACTTGGCACGCAAGTGTTGGATCGGGCTACAGACTAGATAATCTTGACAAGCAGCTGCATCAGAACGGTGGTAGGGCCATTGCACACGGCACATGTCCCGGAGTTGGAGTTGGAGGACATGCAACTGTGGTAAGTACATGACGTTTGCATGCTTGTGAGGTTGGTCTACGCAGATTTTAACATCTGGTATAGGGAGGACTGGGCCCCAGCTCAAGAATGTGGGGTTCTGCACTGGACCATATCATCGAAGTTGAAATCGTAACTGCCAATGGAACTATTGTACGAGCAAACGAAAACGACTATTCAGACTTGTTTTGGGCCGTTCGAGGAGCCGGGGCCAGCTTCGGTATCGTCACCGAATTCGTATTCAAAACCCATCCTGAGCCAGGGAGTGTCGTTGAATACACCTACAGCTTCAGCTTCGGTCAGCAAAAGGACATGGCACCTGTATTCGAACAGTGGCAAGACTTGGTGTACGATCCTAACCTCGACCGCCGTTTCTCGACATTGTTCATCGCCGAACCTCTTGGAGCTCTCATTACTGGCACTTTCTATGGCACCAAAGAGGAATTTGACCAAACAGGAATTTCCGAAAAGATTCCTGGCGGAGGGGCTGTTAATTTCACTATCCAAGATTGGCTGGGAAGCCTGGCTCATATTGGAGAGACGACAGCGCTGTATCTAAGCGATCTCGCAACACCTTTCGCTAGCAAGTCGTTGGCATTCAAAAGAGGCGACAAGATGAGCAAAGAGTCTATCGACACGATATTCGATTATGCGGGAGACACAGATCCAGGAACACTACTTTGGTTTATCATTTTCAACTCTGAAGGAGGTGCCATGGCAGATACTCCGTACAACGCAACTGCATATCCGCATCGCAATGCAATCATGATGTACCAGTCTTATGCCATTGGAGTACCAACATTGACAACAACGATTACAGACTTTGTTTCTGGAGTTCATGATAAGATCAAGCAGGCAGCTCCAGAAGCGAACATGACGTATGCTGGATACATTGACGTGTCTTTGAATAGGTCGACTGCGCAGTTGACGTATTGGGGCGACAAGGTTCCCCAGCTGCGAGAGATTAAGGGTCGATATGATGCCGATAATGTGTTTAGGAACCCACAGAGCATTGAGTTTTTAAAGTAGGGAATGTCGTGGGGATATAAAGAAGAGAGGGAGAATGTGTCTTGTTTAATATGGGCATCATAGTTCTGACGTTATCAAATATACCACACATTACGGCCTTTATATTGTAGCATGAAATATATTGTTAGTTTATCAAATGAGATGACATAACTTATAATTAAATCGCTGAGTCCGGTTTTTTCATGGCAGCGAGGAAACTTGAATACACTCATACGAGGGTTCAAATCATCGTTATAGGGTGATTGAAATTCCGTAAAGCGCGCCCACGCTGGAATGGCGAAATACACACAGGACAGCACATGGCTTAAATTTTACCATTTCTGTATCAGGTTAGCAACTATTGAGCTGATTGTATATATATAAAATGGCAAACGAATTTGACTATCAAAGAGAAATTAACTAATGGCTGGATCTCGGCGTTGAGCCGCATATTAGATCTGTATCCCGGTGGCGCTACTGGCACTGTTGGCACCGAGTACGTTCTTTGTCTCGGAAACGGAAACGGCTATGGGCGGGTAACTCGATGACTGTTGTACACTGCATGTAGCATATCATCAGTTAGTTTGGCTCTGTTTCATCTACCTACGCCTCATGCTATGGCCATATTACACGTGTATAATAGTTTGACTGCCGTGTATTGGGTTCATGTTGGTATTTATACAAACATTGCTGCTGCTTCTTCCCAGTAGGCTCGTAGAACTATCAAAATCGCCAACAGGCTAAGCCTGATTGTCCCCTCCTCAGCTTATGGGTGGGCATGAGCCGTCTCTCCCTTCTCCACTACCCCGCGTTACTACCAACTCAAAGGCTCTCCCATTATTACCGAGAGAGGGGCATTAAAGTGCTGGAACTTTGTCGACTTATGAGCCAATCGGGGTTTCAGACCCGCGGCCAGTCGCGGCACAGCCTCTCAGATTGCCCAGATTGGCGATTACGGGGGCATCACGCGGCTTCGCAGTCGCATCACCGGACTTTACGCGGGTCCCAGATGGCATGGCGATTAGATAACGGGATCCCTAGTCCGTGGGTAGTTTTCAAAATAACTGCCCAAGTTGGTCTGGCTCCTGTTATGTCGATTCCATGCCTTTGCTGCATATCCTCCATTGGCCGATACTGATACGCAGGTGTCTCGTCCATCACTTGACTATTCTCCCGTCACCTCCTGCATTCAAAACGGCGATTTCATCTAATTCAACCAGCCGGAACATTCCTCCTTCATCAACAACTCCATTCTTTTCATACGCTGCTCTAGTGCTTGAGACATCTGTCGCCCAAGGAGCTAAGAAAGCCAGCAGCCATCCATCCGTCCGTCTCCTCTCTCACATCTCAGGTAAGTCTTGCTCTATATCAGATTACCTCATCCCTTTTCAAACCAGCTCCTCTGTAACTTTCCCGGCGACGCTTCATATCAATCAGAACACATTGCCGCCCAGATAGTTTGGAATAAGACAAGGTGGATGCCAAATACCGTCATCATACCCACCCCCTCAAAGCAAGCCCCTCATCGGAGCTCACTTCGGCTTCAAGAACACCAAGCTCCCGATTCCGTTTACACTTGCCACTCCACCCTTTTTTTTTTTTCAATTCATGATGCTTGTTGAGTCTACTGGTTTTCCGTACAACTAATTCAGCACCAAGTCCTCCATCCAAATAATTAGGCGCCATGCCTCTTCTACATCGCTCCGGGACGTCACTGACGGCGGCCCTCTTGAAAAGTCGCCCCACCGCACCGATAGCCGGCGCCGTAGCTTCATCTCACAGCACATACACCCGCCTTCACACAAGTTCTCGGCGCTCGTCAAGTTTAACAGTTCCCGAATCCGCAACTAGAACCCGGGGCCGAAGTCTCGTTGATAAAAGAGCAGCCGCGTCCTCTGCTCTTGTGAGTGCTAACCACAGACATGCGTCAACCGCAGCCATGGAGAAGCCAGACTATCAAAACATGTACACGGCCTCATCGGCCTTTTTTGAAGCACTGTGGGAAGCCGGCGTCACTCACTGCTTTGTAAACCTGGGATCTGACCACCCGAGTATTATCGAGGCGATGGTCAAGGGGGCTCGTGAACGGAAAGGAAATTTTCCCAAGATGATTACTTGTCCCAACGAGGTGAGTCTTTTAGCCGTCTTATACATTCGTAGTCTCATATAAACGAATTTGAGAAGAACAAAGGATTGGATGCTAATGCTTCTTGTTAATCAGATGGTCGCCATGTCCATGGCAGATGGCTATGCCCGATTAACCGGCAAACCTCAGGCCGTCATCGTCCACGTAGACGTCGGCACACAAGGCCTTGGAGCGGCCGTTCACAACTCAGCATGTGGCCGAGCTCCAGTTCTCATCTTTGCCGGCTTATCACCATTCACGCTCGAAGGCGAACACCGTGGTACTCGCACCGAGTACATCCACTGGATTCAGGATGTTCCCGACCAGAAGCAGATTGTTGCCCAGTACTGTCGTTACACCGGTGAATTCAAAACAGGCAAGAATGTCAAGCAGCTGGTCAACCGTGCGCTGCAATGGGCCAAATCAGGACCGCAAGGCCCCGTATATCTGTATGGTGCGCGAGAAGTCATGGAGCAAGAGATTGAACCGTACCAGCTGAGACAGAGCGACTGGAAGCCCATAAAGCTGGGCAGCTTGCCCCAAGACGCCGTTGATAACATAGCAGATGCCCTCGCCGGCGCCAAACGACCTCTCGTTCTCACCGGATATGGCGGCAGAAACCACGAGTTCCCTGGGGCCCTGGTCAAACTCGCCGACACAGTTCCCAACCTGAGGGTAGTCGACTGTGGAGGCAGCGATATGTGCTTCCCATTCGATCACCCCGCTTCTCTCGGCCTCAACTATGGCGGCGAAAAGTCCATCCCCGATGCCGATGTCATTCTCGTCCTGGATGCGGACGTGCCATGGATCCCTGCCCATATCAAGCCAAACCCAGAAGCCAGGGTATTCCACATCGACCTTGACCCGCTAAAGCAGCAGATGCCCGTCTTCTACATCGAGTCTGAAGCAACTTATCGTGCCGACACCCAGACCGCTATTGAGCAGCTGACCGAGGCTCTCAAGACTGGCGAGCCTGCGAAGAAGCTGCAGGCCCAGAACACGACACAAATCGTCGAGAAGCGCAAGCAGGAGCACGAGGCACGCCTTGCCAAGATCGCCAAGGCCGCCGAGCCTCGTTCTGATGGCACGTTTGGAACTGGCTACTTGTGCCGGACGATTAAGAAGCTCGTGCCGGAAGACACTCTGTTCGCCATTGAAGCCGTGACCAACACCCTCTTTGTCTATGACAACATCCAGCCTTCGGTCCCCGGCACATGGATCAACTGCGGTGGCGGCGGTCTGGGCTGGTCTGGCGGCGGTGCGTTGGGTATGAAGCTGGCCACGGATGCAGAGAACGGGGGCAAGAACAAGGGCAAGTTCGTCGTTCAGATTGTTGGTGACGGCACATACCTCTTTACTGTTCCGGGCAGTGTCTACTGGATCTCAAAACGCTACGGCATTCCCATCCTGACTATTGTGCTCAACAACAAGGGTAAGTCACACAAGGCGTTATCACATATACTAATACTATCCTTCCTTCTTTCTCTCCCTCTCTGTGTGCTAGAGTAGAGTGCTAACAATTTTGTGTCATAGGTTGGAACGCCCCTAGACGGTCTTTGCTGCTGGTTCACCCTGAAGGACTGGGCTCCCAGGCAACCAACGAGGAGATTAACATCTCGTTCGATCCCGCACCCGATTACTCGGGCATCGCCAAGGCGGCTGCGGATGGTGACATCTTCGCTGCCAGAGTGAGTGAGCTGGCTGATCTAGAGGGCGTGCTGAAGGAGGCCATTACGCATGTGGAAAACGGCCAGTCAGCGGTGGTGGATATCAAGGTTGCGTCAGGGTGTTAGTTCATTATACGGGTCGTTTTTTGTTTTCGTTTGTTTGCAAGGGGTTAAGCGATATGCGAGTGTGTGTGTGTGTATGTAGACGGCGCTCTGGGCGGATAGAGACAGACCTTACGGAAGGTCGGTCATCTTAGACTCAATGGATGCATAAAGAAAGACAGCTGCAGTCAGAACGAATCGAATGCATCACGGCCTCTTTGGTCAAGTGCAGCTGCTTATGCGTTATATTGGAGCGCTGGCGTCTCCATCACATGGCAATTCTGATCTCAATTCACCGTAGAAATTGCTTATATATGCGCCATGCACGCCTCATTCTTCAGCACAGAATGCTAGAAAGCCACGTCTTTCGTTTGTCTACTAATGCGCGGTTACCGGTTATTCAATATTTGGTTTATTTATAGCAGTATCGGTGTGAGTCTCACTGCAGCATGCACTCGGGATTGGCCGCCATCTCTAGTCTTCCGCCTTACGGACACGAGCTGTCCAATGAGACACGAACAGATCAGTGTAGGTATATGTACTGCTTGTATGCCGCTAAAGCCATATTCACCGAATGATGATGATAGTACTATAGCAAAAAAAAAAAAAAAGAGAGAGAGAGAGAGAGAAGGCAATGCTGCAGGGGATCGGCTTCTTCGCTTGTCTCTTGGATTAATGCGTGCTCTGGGGCGGGATGCCCATTTGCAGCGCTGGACCAATCGCCTTGATTCAAGGCAGCTGCCGTGTAGAATCCAGACCGCCTCACGGCAGACGCCACCAAGATGAGTAAGGATCCCAAGTAGTTTCTGCTTGCAATGGGTGGCGACGGCTATGAGGGATGATTAATCACATGGATCGAGGACTTGCATTGGCGGCATTGGTGGTGTGTAGCGGGCGTGGGGAGACGAGCCAAAGAAAGGATCAGCTCAATTCATCGTTCTGGTAAATACTGCGTCAATCTCGTCCTCGGCTGCCATGGATCGATCTGGATTATAGCTCTGGTTCCGGCCTGTCACAACTGGCGGAGTGGGGAGCGACCCTTGTGGCGTCAAGCTATCGACGGAACAAGCAACAGGTCTGGCATCTGGACGGCAGGCAGAAATCATAAAATAAGGGTCCTCCTAGTGAAGGGTCAGTCACGGTGTCTTGATCCGGGGCCCGTCAGAAACAACGCCGGTGTGGATCGAGCGTGCTAAATAAACAGCCGGCACTGGATTGGGTATGTGATGTGCAGAGCGGGCGGGTGGATGGACTGGAAGCGTGGGATGGATGGATGGATGGATGGCCCCCATTTGATGAGAGACGGGCAATGTCCACGTATTCGATGTACATTGCAGAAATAAGCAGAAGCCATGGATGCTTCCAAGGACTGCACGAGCATCAATAGCGGACGCGTCGCTGGTCTCTGCGCATCGCCAGCGAGCGATCCGGCCTCGTAATGCGTATTAGTCGTTGCGCGTCCATCACCGCAGCATCTCGTCAAATCTCACTCCGCTGCACGTGGGGTTTCTAATTTAGGCGCCGGCTTCCAGGGGTCGCCGCATCGAGCAAATCATCGGCCAGATCAACCAGCGCCAGCATCTGCCCATCTGCCCATTATTTGCTCCATCTGCCCATCCGTGCTTTCTGTCTTCACGCTCCAGCCGTTGCGAGTCCCTGAGAATTACAGGGCGCTCGGTCCACTGTGGTGCTGTAGTGGCCCCCCACGGCTATTTTTTTTTTCTGGCGGCAGAAGCTTTGGCTGATCACGAGGGCAACTGGATTCGAGTGCGGGAGGAATTCCATTTTTTTTTCCAACCTCAAAACTCGCCTCCCGACAAAAGCCGTTTGCGGAAACGAACCTCGCGTGTGAGTGGCGACCGCAGGGCCCGAACGCTTGAAGCAGCGAACAAAAGGAGGAGACAGAAGAGAAGATCGAGAGGGCGCAGCAGGGACGAGGACGATCGATCAAACCCTTGGCGGGAACATGGGAGAGAAGGCCCAGACTGGCCACGACGCTTCGCTTTTTAATCCACCGAGCCGGTGCATCTACGCCTGCGTTTCGTCGAGGTATCCTGCGACAAACGGCGATATAGACGAAGAGAATACACAATAATAAGAGAGGAAGAAGAATCGGCAGGAGGAGACACAAGCGATCGCGCGACAGCAAGCCCAGTTCTGCGACAAGCGCGGCAGCCACGGCTACACCACACTCTACCTCGGCTGCCATCTCGACAACGACTCTGCACGCCCACCTTCGCGATCCCGGCAGAATACGCAGAATATTCAGGCCAGACAGCATCTAGACAGCATCTAGACGCGGCGACTGCGACGACAGCAAGAGCCATGTCCTCTGCTGCGACCGAGACGCAGCAGATCGAGGCCACCATGGCGATACAGCTGCAGCAGCCAGACTCATCCTCTCTCGATCCCAGCCCCGTCCGCGACCTTCCTCCGCCGCCAGTGCCTTCATCCGATCCTCGACTTTCCATCGACAACAACAAGAGTCCTCCTGCAGACTCAGCACCCGCAAACAGCGCCGACGACTATGACCTGTTCAAGCTCAAGCCTACCGACGCGCTGCAGCTTCTCAGCTCCAGCGTCGAGCTGCTGGTTCGCATCACCGGCGACGTCCCACCCACTCCTCCGCCGAAAACACCGACCGACCCTCAGATGAGCAACATGCAGGCCGAGAAGGAGAGCATTGCGCGGTCGCACTCCGAGAAGAGCCTGGCGCGACTGCGGGCGCAGGCCCTGCTGGAAGAGCAAGAAGAGAAGAATATGAAACAGCGGATCAAGCGCCAACAAGAGGAGCAGCAACAACAACAGCAACAGAAACTGCAGAAGCAGAGCCGTTCGTCGGCAGCAAGTGTAAGCAGAAGCAAGCTCCAGGCGTACAGCGCGTCCATGTCAGCTCAGCTGATAGCTCAACAGGACGCTTATTCCATCGACGGCGTACGCCTAAAACACGACCACCTCAAACGATCAACACCTTCGTCTTCAGCCCCGAACCTACATCCTCCAGAGCCTTACGTCGTCGTCGGCGCTGATTCGCAGCCCTTGAATCTCCAGCACGGCGCCATCACCCGCAAATTTTACAGCAAAAACGAACCACCCATTTCCGTGCACCAGTATCTGCTTCGACTACACCAGTTCTGCCCCATGAGCACAGCCGTTTATCTCGCCACATCGCTATACATCCACCGCCTGGCAGTTGAAGAGCGCGCCATCCCCGTAACGAGACGAAATGCGCATCGACTGGTCCTCGCCGGCCTGCGCGTAGCCATGAAGGCGCTCGAGGATCTATCATACCCGCACACCAAGATTGCCAAGGTCGGCGGCGTCAGCGAGGTCGAACTGGCAAGGTTAGAGATTAGCTTCTGCTTCTTGGCTGGCTTTGAGCTCGTCGTGAGAGAAGAGCTGTTGAAGAAGCATTGGAAGGTGCTGAGAGAGGGTAAGATGGTAATAGACGGTATGGAAGTTCCGAAGCTGAAACTAGACAAGAAAAGGAAGACGTCCCGGGAAGTTCATCAGCTGATGCAATGATCTGATGATGATGATGATGATGCTGTTGCTGCTGCGCATGTGCTTATACGCATTAGAAAAAGGCGGTTGGCAAGAATGCTTGCTTCGTTTGTTTCCTTCGGTATATCCAGGCCAGCAATTGGAGTCTGGCATTGTTCATTCTCCAGGCTCTGGCCTATCTTTTCTTGTTTCTTTTCCCCCTTTTTGGCTCTGAGTTTTTTTTTTTTTTTTTTTTTTTGGTCTTGGCATCTTGCATAGGGCGGACATGGAAGAGAGAATGGCGATGCAGCAAATGTCATTGTCTTCTTTGAGTTGTTTTATTCTTAATCTGTTTATTCTCCTGTTGGCTGGGTGGACTGGGATGTGGAAAGGATATGGGAACTGTTTTGTTATTGAATGAGCTGAGCTTGTTTTATTGTTTGTTTACAGAGATACCCACACGGCTATATATATTGCAATGCCATCTCTGCCATCTTATCCATTTGCATATCGTGCTCGATGACGTTTTCCATCTGTTTTTGTGTAACCTTTTTGTGCTTGGAACATATACACAGTATAGTGTCCCCCCCCTCCCCTGTCCACCTGAATATGCCCCTGTATTATTTCTTTTTCTCGCACAGTAGACGTCACAGCTGCAAATCATATACAGTTGCCATTTCTCGTTTCACTTTTCCAAGACAAGCGATTGATTCGATTCTTTGCCATCCCGGCGATATGCAGGAGCACGGACGTGCGTAGCGCCGATGGCACGGCCCGAGATGATGCTTTAACGAGCGTCGGCGGCCCGAACTAGGGCCCGAAATGGTTCGACGTCAACTCGGGTTTATTTCGTTTCTACTTTATCCCGACTTTGGACCCTTTTTAGAAGCAATTGGTTCCATTCTGCGCTTTGGAATTCAATTTTGCTCTTCATAACCAATTTGCATCCATACATCTATCCCCCCTCCTATCATGCCTGTTTCTGTAGCTGCTCGCCGGCGGCTCATTCGCCTCACACAGGCTCTCGTCGGCGGTCCCGTTGTCGTATTCGGGGGACTCGCCCTGTGGACTCGAAAATGTGCATTCGAGCCCTTTGGACCAGATAGCGACCCGCTGTTCAAGCACCCGATATTGAAACAGCTCAATCCCCGGAGTCTGCCCAGTTCTCACGACTCGTGCGTCAGAAAAGTCCCCTTTGGAGAGCTGAGACCCGTGCTGTTGGAAGATGCAAAACGAGGTGGGAGTGCATTGGTGGAGGAGTTTTCCCGAGGCATGTGGGGAGGATATGGTATGTGTTGTGTGATTAAAGAGTTTTTGACCTTTTTTTCTTTTTCCCCTTAACTAATTGGGCGTAGGATATAGGATACAAAGGAGGATAATGGAGTTTACAAAGGGCCCTGAGAATGCTACCGATGTCTGGACTCCTGAGGCGCTGGGACGGGACACATTTGAGCCTGGTAAGTCAATTTTAACCCTGATGACTGGCTTCGTAGCTGGATGATTTACTTTGAATAGGAACTGTCCTCACGAATCATTTTCTCGTCCTCGAAAAGTCTCCGACGGAATTGCTCTTCCGGGGCTGTCTGTCTCCGAAAGAAACCCCATTTCGACCCCGCGATCTGGATAATTTCTTTGCTCTCACTGCAGAATTGAACGAGCAGCGGCAAGAGGCCGAGTTTAGACTCAAGGCGATATCGTTTGATGCCGTGACAACGACGCCGAAGGAGGATCCGCTTGGGGGCGTGCCGGGAATGCTGCACAAGGTGTATGCAAAGCTTTTGGTGGAAGCGGCGGTGGGATGGTGCGTGAGGTAGATGAAATCATGCAATTCCTGGTCGTTGCAAGGGGGATCGATTTGGATGATGTATGGTGTGGAGGCGGCTGTCATGTTGGGACACTGGCTATTTGTCAGTCATGTTGACTATGTAATATACTCTCTCCAAAAATAAAATATAATTCACATAAGAGATTCAATCCGTCAGTTATGCGGTATTATTTCAGACTAGAGAGCATAATTAGTAAAACATGACCATCTCTTTCTGCTTGAATGTAATCATACACGTCCTTTATCTTGAACAATGTTGTTTGACCTGTTCTCAAATTATGAAAATGCCGCTCTTTCAGGGAAAAATATGCTTGAATTTTTGCGTCTTCAACCATATCTGGCGCTTGGCTCTGAGAGGCAGCTACACAAGACTCTGCAGTCCTCCAAAAGCTTAACAATGGGGTACAGTTAAGGATGATGTTGAAACAAAAGCCCAGTCCAGCCATCAGCAGCCCGTCCCTACTCTACAGAAACAACTACGTCAACGACAGAACAATCAGCTGCATCAACACCTGCCGCAAAAGCTTCTACCTCCAAATCAAGGAAAGGAAGTTGAGAATTGAAACAGGCCGTGGAATGTCAAGTGTCAGAAAATGCCCAGAAGCAGACAATGGTATGATAGTATGTAAGCATGTCAAAAATAGATCATTTCAAAAGAGGAAAAAGTATGGAAGACGCAGCACCATTTAAACATCGAAGAAGCGGTGTTCACTATTCTTTTACCCCACGCTTCCGCTCTCATGGCGGTGCTGCAAACCCATTCCAAGGGGTCATCACGTTGAATGGATCGTAAAACTTGATCACCGATTAAATAGCCAGTAGCGGCTACTACAACTAATAACCGTCTATCACGGTACTAAGAAATTTCTCCAGAATGTGGATCTAGGAACGCAACTGCTTTAAATGGAAGATTCGGGCAAGTCGGGAATCAATTTATGACAGGTCTAAATCTCACCATCTGACTCTGCCCGTTGGATAACCTTGTCTCTCCAATCGAGAGTTGTATTTTAATTCTACTAGACTACATCATCATCGATAAGTTTATATGTGATATCTGCTTTGGCTTTTGATTTATTTTCTCCCCCGAGTGATTGGTATCCCACAACTCCAGCCACCATCTCGTGTTTATATAGGTCTGCTTTAGCGTTTACTTGTATCTTCCACTTGACCCCCTCCGCGGACAACTCCGAAACGCATATTATCTAACAAATTGCTAGCGGCTTTAGAATCTGTAGCACATGGGGATTAGCTATCTGATCTAAGAAGGAGCCTGTTGATGCAAGAGATAGAAAACCTGGGCTCGTTTCACTTAAACTAGTATGCCGCATAATCATGTACTTACGTTTATATATGCCACCGTGAAAACTTGCAGTAGCATCCTTGCCAACATATGCAGCTAAGAGAGTTTTACCACCTGGGTGACTCTCAATGAATTTCTCAACATCATATATGACCCCTGAGATACAAATTAAGTGCTTGGAGCCGCCATGGTGGATACAAAGAGCCTCAAATTCAGGCCAAGAGTAAATAGGGAGAATATCTAGTGAAGGGCCCCAGTTAATTTGATGCTTAAGTCGCTCCACCAGCTTCCATTTCTGTTGAAAGATGGCCTTGTTGATCTCGTTAGCTTCAAATTCCTGCAGATGACTTGCTAGCCCCAGCCAAGCCCACTAAAGACGTCAGCAATATTTCGGCATTTGAAAACATACATTATTAATGCATCAAGGATACCTACAAGGGAGATACACCATTTAGTAGGGTCATAGTCAAACCACCTAATGCCATTTCGGTAATCAGCGGGAAACTCATGGTGGAAGTTATGGTATCCTTCTCCAAACGTAACTAGAGCAGTGAAAATATGGTCTCTTGGCGATGTTGCATCTGCATACGGTTGGTCTCCGAGCCAGTGTGCCAATGAGTTGACGCAATTGGTTGCCTGCTGAAAAAGAAACACGCGGATGATGCCGGCATAGAGAAGGCCGCCCAAGCCGTCATTCCATCCAAGTTTGGCAATAAGGAACGGAAGGGCATAGCTAGTGAAGAGGCACAAGAAGGGAAAGTTTCTGTGCTGCCACATCACAACTTCTTCTTTGAGCAAATCAGAAATCTCGACGTGCCCTCGCAGATTGGGATCGGGTTTGAAAATTAACCACCCCATATGGGACCACCATATACCCTTGTTCACATTATACGGATCTTTTGGAGTATCCACATAACGGTGATGGGCACGATGCATCTGGCACCAATTCAAGATTGAACCCTGGACGCTGCTTGCGCCAGCAAGTGCCAGAAAGAATCTCAAGCTTGGCGAGGCAGTAAATGATCGATGTGACCAGAGGCGATGGTAACCTGTGTTCATTCAATATGGTGAGACTGGCACTGTACTCCTCAAGACCAAAGCTTTAAAGTAGAATCATATACGTACCAGCAGTGATGCCAACGCCAGATATGATGTATAGTATTCCTCCCAAGAAAAGCGTTTGGCGTGATAGTGATTGAAAAAGACTCCAAATAAAACCAATGAGAGGCAAAATAATGCAAAATGTAATGTTATTTGGCTGCAAAGTGGAAAGAAATCTTCTAATATAGTGAAGGCTTCGCTTGAAAGCATTGCCGGTCTGGTATAAGACTCTTGGCTTAGCAGCCATTGCGAGAAAATAATTCTCTAAACAAAAACTATGTTGAAGTCAAAGAATACGCGATGACTATGATCTTTTGAGCTGGTATTTAAGTCTGGTGAGCTGAAAAGATTTAGATGTCTTAGACCGTTTGTAGCATGTGATGAAGTGGTATGTCAGCTTTATAAAGGTTTCTATAAATAAGATATCTTGGCTTATGCGTTTGAGGTAAAGATCTGTACAACATATATTTTCTTCCGCTGTTCTAAATACTACTATCGACAATTTTTACGGTATCTGCTCCACCACAGTCCCTCCACCACTTTCTCTCCACTTTACCGCGCAATTCTTGTGATGAAAGAACTAAAGGTACGACTTGAGCGGCATCTACTAGCATGGGATTGAAAATACCGATATCCTAGAAAGTGACTTTATTGGACTCTGGGGCAAACTAACCAGCCCCAAGAAATCCTGCATGACCTTCTCTTTCAATTCAAGCGAAGTTGCGTTAGGATTGATAGGATCGGCCTAATTCCACTAGGGCAGGTCATTGTGAAAAGGGTATTCTTAGGATCTTAGCAATCTAAAGGCCGGACACCCACAATGCTAGAGAAGCCGATAGTTGGGAAAGGAGGTGGGGGATTTATACATGATGGTATCCTCGGTCAAGCGTGATTCTTTAGGATATACTAGTAGTTTACGCATCATTTTCTTTTTTGGGATAAAGACTGTAGAAGGGCAATGCAGGGCTCAAAACTGGCGGTTGGTGAGGCGTTGTAAAAATATTTAAACCGAGTGTTTGTCTTGTATCAATTTCTTATTCAACCGCCGTTTCCCAATTTTTATTGACTTCACATAAACTAAGCACTTTGAAGAGCAGGCCTGAGATCAAAAGCCTCAGTTCTCATAATTAAGCTTTCACATATACCATGGCGACGAAAACATTGAGCAAGCTGTCTTTGACAAGCTATAGCCTATACAATGCCGCTTCTGATTCCATTGCAAATTGGTCGCGCGGGTTCATTCTGACGGCCCTTAAGCGGATTACCATTGGTGAAATCGTCATAAAGGATATTCCTGCAAATGAAACATTGCAGTTTGGTAAGCCAGGAAAACTATCAACAACTCTTACTGTCAATAGCAGTGCAATGTGGTGGAGGGTGCTTAGTCGTGGTTCTCTTGTATGTTATTCAATTATCTGCTTTGCTCATGATCCATCTCTTACCGCTTGATAGGGATTTTCTGAAGCATACATGCTGGGCGAAGTGGACTGTGATGATATGACTAGTTTTCTTGAAGTAAGCTGCTCATAGATGCCACCGCAGAAGAAGATACCTAACCCTTGTGCCTAGATCATGGTGTACAATCGAAATGACACCGCCGACATGAAAACTTTGCTATCATATTTGACTTCGTCTATGGTAGGATGGGCTAGAGCGTCAAATAAGCCGCTAACGTCGCTGTCAAATGTACAAGCGCATTATGATCTTTCGAACGACATGTTCGCCGCCTTTCTATCGCCGGATATGACCTACTCATGTCCAAAGTGGTTACCCGCAGATAATGCGGAGAGTAAGACCGACAATCTGGAGAAGGCACAAATAAGAAAGTTACAAGAAATCATCCAACAAGCCAGAATCAAAAGGGAAGACCATGTCCTTGAAATAGGCACCGGGTGGGGGAGTTTTGCCATTGAGGCAGTACGGTCCACTGGATGCCGCGTAACAACCCTGACGCTGTCAATTGAACAGAAACAAGAAGCAGAAACAAGAATAGCTGCCGCCGGATTCGAAAAGAACATTACGGTCCTTTTGAAAGACTACCGTGAATTGCCGAAGCAAGGTCTGCTGTTCGACAAGGTCGTCTCCATTGAGATGCTGGAACATGTGGGGAAAGCACATCTTGCTGGCTACTTTGGCACGGTAAATGAGCTGCTGAAGAAAGAGGGAGGCATTGCCGTATTCCAGTCTAGTACGATGCCAGAGACGGTTAGTGAATCAATAATCCTTGCCATGGAACAAGGGAATAACATGCTCTCCAGCGGTACACATCTTATGATAAGGGCAACGAGTGAGTGAATCCCCCGCGCGAAAAGCGGTTATGATCAGCAGCTGATGCGAACTAACCCCCATCATAGTTTCATTCGACAATATGTAAGAACATAGTGTTTGTTCCCCTAGTGGATTAACGGTGCTCCAGCTGACATGCAACTTCAATTCTACCATCTGCAGATATTTCCCGGCGCACATCTCCCCACGGCGACACAAATGGTGGAAGCGGCGCACCAAGGATCGGGTGGATCTCTGATACCGGACCGCTTAATTAACCTGGGTGGGCATTATAGCCGATGCCTTCGGGGTTGGCGTGAAAACTTCGCCGACAACTTCGAATCCCACATCATGCCGGCCCTGATGGAGCGCAACGGAGGTATAACTAAATCAGATATCGAGATATTCAGGAAAAAGTGGATGGTAAGCGCTCTATAACGCAGATACGTTGCATCTTTACGAGCCTCATGCACCGTATGAGTAGCTGAGCTCGCTTACACATCGACTAACTTTTGCTACCTGCATCTAGTTTTACTTTTACTTTTGCGAGGCTGGGTTCAAGACCAAAACACTGGGAGTTACCATGATTACTTTTGTGAGAGAGGGTTCGGTAGACACGTTGGAAGGGCTCGTGCAGTAGACATCCGTTAGAATATTGTAGCATTCTGAGTAAGCAATGAATCCATCTTTCTGGCAACGAGATCCTTCTATAAACTACCACAACTAGTGGCGATCCAGATCCACCAGTATCTCTTCGTGGTGAAAGCTTGTCCAGTCTAAATTATGATGTATGCACGTCGAATCCTCTCACTTAGCCTGATTCCTCTTTCGTTCTCTCTTAGTGAGAGAATTGTCCCTTGCTATAGGCTGGAAACAAGGCGCAATTAAGCCTAGCGTACGGATCAGATCCTTTTTAAGAAGTCGGTGTTCAAATGCAGCATCCTCGGTGCCGACGGACACCAACTTTTTTCTAACCAGCATCCTTCTTGCTATAATTAACATTAGCTCTACATGAGCAAGAGAATGCGAGAAAGAGCTAGGAAGAGAAAGGGATAACTCATCTGTGATGGACAGATCAGCCCAGTCAAAAGCCGTAGGACCCTGCATTTGGAGGAGCTTAGACCGAAACAAGGCATTGCGGCTAATGTATGACAGCAAACAGGTCGGCATTTAAAGCAAGGAGCGATAACTAGGTGTGGTTTTATTGGTCATAAATACGGTGCGTGGAATATGCGTCGCTGTACGATGTACAGCTGCTACCGGATTTCTTGTAAGTCGTAAACACAAACACCAAGGTCTTCATCCAGATTATAATGTCCGAAGAGACTGCAGCCAACTCTGCAGAAGAAGCACTCGCTCTTGGAATTGCATCGTATATCACAAACGAAGACATATATCTTGGGAGCTTAGACATAGTATCAGGCATGTAAGAACATATTCTAGTTTACTACGCCATATGTGGGCTTCTACTCCAGTTTGTAACCAAGCCCTCGGCGACCAATTGTGGTTGTGTTTGCATGCTTACATGTGGCATGGGTATACCAAAGACTTGGCTTTGCAGTCATGTGCTCCTCTAGGAGCCACATATAGAGTGAAGGCGACATATTGCCGAATGCAACAAGGAACAGCAAATTTGACGCAATCACGGTTCAGCTTCAGATAGATGTGAGAGGGCGCGGACGCTTGCTCTGGTGGTAGAGCAAGCCGAGTGGTGGAAAAAGAAGGCTACCAAATCTTTGCACACAGCATACTAAAGTGGGTTTTCGGGACACTAAGAAGCACTAATTCTAGTACTTTTCCTGATTTATTACTATTTTATAAGCGTCTTACAGTGAACATGGCGTGATGTTGAATAACGGGAGACAAATCTCTCCGCAAGTGACAGTGGAGGTACGCCATATTATTATTATTATTATTCGGCAATGTCTATGATCCCATTACCTATTTTTCTTATACTACTTGGCAATGGTCAGAGTTGGTCAAGTGAATATTATTAGTGATTCGATTCTACTACCTGTTATTCGTGCGAAGCAGAGCCTATGCATACCAAGACAAGACAACCCCAAAGAAGTGAGGTAACGAGGAATCTCAGAATCGCCTTTTCTTTTTATGGCCCATTCGTAAATAACCTTGTGGTATCATAAAGATGAGATATTTAAAGATTATCTTCACCTATCTTCAGTATGCTATTAGATATTAACTGCATTGTGTCATTTTTTAAATTAGGCTTTTGTATAGTCAACGCTTTATCACCGTGAAATAAATCACATCTCAAATCTGCAAAGGACATTTTACCATCAAGCAATTTATATCTAACACAACATGTGCTCGATAGCGTAACAGTTTCTGTTAGTCGGTATGTATAGAGAAGCCGTCATGTCAAAAATTGTTCGTAAAGTGAACGAACTGTCAAATACATAATTTGTTTTAGGTGGCGTGTACGAAATCAATGATGGCTTGCCGTCTCGTATCACACTCACAGGGTTGATGATTCGTCAACATACATGCACCCGCCTGCGGCTCTCAAGAAAACTAGGTACTTAGGGGCGCAAATGAATGCGTATATTCAGAGGGGTAATATACACAGTCAGGCAAACGTATTTTTATCTTTGGGTATATTGCCTAGATTCATGTGCTGAGCATTTGAAGTGTCTCAATTTACTTGGTAGATTGCCCAAGATAGCGTGTAACCGTCCTATGGATTGCCTACTTTTCTACCAAATTTTAAATATTTTATGAAAAGCGAGTCCTAAACGTGGAAGAATATTCTGCCATTGCACATTTTTGATGCCGCTGTTGTAAACATACTTGTAAGAGAATCACCCAACAGGGTAAGTCTATTCTTATAGTATAATTTGCTAATGGGCCACTACAAGCGGTATTTGTAACCGTTTCTTGGCCTTTTGCGTAAGCGAGGACATTAATGAAAGTGCGATGTCACAATGGCGTTTCATTATATGAGGAGCTTCTATAAATTAATAAAGGCACGTCGTATAATTTTATAATACGAAGACTTGAATGAGAACATCTTCCTAGTAGTTGTTCTGTAGATGGCGCCGCTTCACCTCGCTTAATGCCCTTTTTGTCATTGCCCACCGTCAGCTGCGAGGACCTCAAAACTTTGACAAAGTGCTCCAGAAAGGACACGAGCCTGCCACTTCCACTCTTCCTAGTATGGCTCCAAATTAGCGTCTAGATAGGGTTTCCACTGCTTCGTCGTTTAAAGATCTCGGCGGGATGGCGTTCGGCACATTAGTTAGCCACGATGGCGCAGGTACGAGACTAGCATCCAGGAAGTGGTCTATTGAGCCTCAACAGCTAGATATCATTTAAAGTATCCATAACCTAAGCCGTGACTGCCCCCTTTGGACGCCTATCAGGTCAGTACATTACCAATACAAACCGGTAATGCATCCCTTTCGGTGGCGCTTGGTCACGAAACTATGTATCCCAAGCAAGGCAGTTAACTTAAAATCATGGACTTTACTTCCCCTTCAAGAGCATGCTGGAGCAAAATCCCTTTGGCTGGTCGAGGCAAGGATGACTTCACCTCGAATTTCAGACTATTACATACGGAATTTAGCGTTCAGATTCCATCAATGATGCATGTAGTGGATGCCCGTGGCTTCAATGTCAACGTCTATGCTACCGCTATAAAAGTTTCGCCATCTCTTATAAAATCAGCCCGTTTCGCCGCGACCCCACGCCATGGGAAGCCCGCTATTTCAGCGATTTCTCAGTGAGTCAACGGAATGATGGCTAACAGCGAATTATCAAGCACCAGTCCTTCAGCAAAGGCGGTAGCGAATGTGGAAACCACAGGAGAGTCCCCAACCATTATCGCAGAGACAGATCTCGTGACGGCTTTGCAGCAGCTTCTTCAAGACCACGAACTAGATCAAAACTTTCCTCAAGATATCTTGAACCGAATCCGAGACTTTCTCGACAGGCAAAAACGCCATGACCTAGTGACGGACCTTGAATTGGCGCGAACTCTCTTCGACGACTACCACGAGCAGAGAAACTTGGCATTAAACCATTCGGCATATCCAGAAGTACGCGCCGTTGTCGATCCCACCGATGATCCCACATTACCGGTGGCAACTTTTCGAGTCTTCTTGTTAGGCACAGTGTTCACCGTCGCCGGTACTGCAATCCAGCAGTTCTTCTCGTTCCGCATGCCAGCCATCAATATCACGACATACGTCGTTCAGCTGCTGTCCATGCCCCTCGGCTTAGGCATGGCCAAATGGCTACCTTGTCGACAGCTGGCTATTAAGGAATGGACTTTTTCTTTAAACCCTGGCCGTTTTAATGAGAAGGAACACCTGCTCATTGCCGTCATGGCCAATGTCGCCTTTGCTGGATACATGCATGGAGCATACATTGCAAGCCCCATTCAAGTTCTTTCACTGGATCTCTTTTACGGAGAAAAAATGCTCTCTAACAGTGCTACATGGCAAATCACAACGTTTATTGCCACACAGATGCTTGGCTACGGCTGCGCTGGCATCAGCAGGAGATTCCTCGTTTCTCCCCCTTCGATGATCTGGCCACGACCTCTCGCCAACATTGCCCTTACAAAGGCGCTACATAAAGACGATGCTATTAAGGATGCGCAGAATTCGGTTAATGGCTGGAACATCTCGCGCTATCGATTTTTCCTCTTCTGTTTTTGGGCCATGTTTGTGTGGTACTGGATCCCAAACTACATTTTCCAGCCTTTTACTCTCTTCAACTGGCCCACATGGTTTTCGCCCAGTAATGTTAAACTTGCGCTCATCATGGGCAGCACTTGTGGACTCGGACTCAATCCTCTGCCGACACTAGATTGGAATGTTTCAACTTATTTTGGCGATCCCATTGTAACGCCTCTCTTCACACTCGTCAATTATGCCTCTGGTATGGCTTTTATGGGATTCATCATAGCCCCGATTGTATACTTTAAAAATGCGTGGCACTCTGGCTATCTCCCCATCAACACAAACAAGGTCTATGACGACTCGGCAAGCTTATACGATATACGTCGAATACTCAACGCCAACATGACACTCAATGAAGAAAAGTACCTCGCCTATAGCGTCCCCTGGCTATCATCAAACCAAATCCTTAAGCTCGGCGCTTTTATCATGATTTACGTGGCTGTCCCTGTGCAAATGCTTCTGTGGCACCGTAAGCAAATTACACAGAGCCTGAGATCAATATGGGACCGTAAGACGCGAGAAGAAGACTTCAACGATGTGCACAACCGCCTAATGCGAGAATACGACAAATGCCCCGATTGGTGGTATCTGATTGTTCTAGCCATATCTTTTGGACTGGCTTGTCTATCTGTCACAATTTGGCCGACGGGTATGCCTGTTTGGGGCGTTCTTCTGGCTGTATTGTTCACAATCTTTCTTCAGATTCCCATCGGCATGCTCACAGCAATCACCAATATTGAGCTGCCCACGAGCATCCTATCACTCTTGATCGGAGGCTATGCTTTGGAGGGGAAAGCCCTTCCCAACATGATTTTTACGCTTTATAGCTATATGTCTACCTCGCAAGCTATGAATTTCGTGGCCGATCTTAAGATGGCGCACTATGCTAAAATACCACCAAGAATAGTCTTCACAGCGCAAATTTACGCCACTCTCATTGCTGCGTTAGTTGCCTTTGCGGTTAATCGCTGGGTTCTCGCCGGTGTGGAAGATCTATGTACTGAGTTCCAAAAAGAGCGGTTTTTCTGCCCTCATACGCACACGTACTTTATGTCATCCATTCTCTGGGGGCTTGTCGGCCCTCGCAGACTCTTTGGACCAGGGGGTCCCTACCGTGCCATCATATACTGCGTTCCACTTGGCATTCTCCTCCCAGTTGGGGTGTACCTTGCGGCGAAACGCTGGCCTGGATCGTCCTGGCGAAGCGTGAATGTACCCATCTTACTGGCCGGTCCATTGGGGTGGGCGCCTTACAACTGGAGCTACATGCAGGGCACACTGTCACTCGCTTTGTTTTTCAATTTCTTCATCAAGAGGTGGTATAGAGCTTGGTGGGAGAGATATGCATATGTATTGACGAGCTCGTTCACGTCAGCGATTGGGATTTCGGGCCTGGTGATTTTCTTTGCATTGCAGAAGTGGAACATCAGATTGGACTGGATAGGAAATAGAATAGCATGGCAGGGGGTCGATAGAGGAGGATATAGAGATGCCGATGGACATGTTGTTGGGTGTACGAATTTGGTGCTGCAGCCAGGAGACCATTTTGCATAGATATGGAATTGATATATGCATTCGGCAGCTTACATTGCGTCAATATCCAGAATGTCTCTTGATACAAAATTCAGAGGGTAATGGAGGGCAAGGATTCATTATACGTGTAATAGTCAGTATGAATAGCTTAGTAAAAAGTTTTAAATTAAATGTTATTTCTACGGAGAGAATAACATGGGTATCATATCATAGTAATATAAATTGCACGCGCTCCAAATCTAAAATACCCTCTCAGTATATCCACAACGCCAGTATAATCCAAAACTCCACTATAAATCTTTCGTCCACAGAGTTACCTTGTGGCCTCAGCGATGCAACAAAAGTGATTGAAACTCAGTATGTGCTATCCAGAGTCGTACAGATAGTCCCAAATCAAAACGTCCTGACACTCCAGAAGTATTAGACGGTACAAGTCGAACAAAAGACGGAGAATTAATCCCAAGGAATTAGAGAGTAAATTAAAATGATTAAACGGTTAAAATGAAAGTTGGAGAGAAAGTTAAAGATGATGAGAAAGAGCTGGCTGAAAGCTACCAACATGAGCTGGTCTAGCAGCACGGCGGTCTGGCAGACCTCGACATGGCAATCTGAGACTATCCATGTTGCGCGGCAGTATTTTGAAGCGAAGAAGCTGATATATGTAGAATTATTGAATTCGTCAGACATTTTATTGACTGTAAATTTGCTGGTGAAGTAGACGAACCTAGCAGAATTGTATGGAGATGGCGAGAGTTGATGTTGAGTATGATGGAGGATTTTGCGTCACTATAAGCGATGTAGAGTAATAAAGAGATTATGTGAAAGCGAGATTTATTGCAGCAAAGCATGGATATATGTATACATTGATGGTGATAGATTTGACTTTGTGTTTACGCGTACATTTTACTCGCCACAAGTTAAGGTATTTATTTACCTAGGTACTTTCGTAAACACCTACTTAGTAGATACAGGGCGAAAACATGTAGATATTCAGCGCGATATTAGCCGTGGCTGAAGTGCTACATAACGAAAGCAGTGTGTTAGATAGCAATTCCCTAAGATTCGTCATATGCGTTGGGCATGCGATGCAATGCAGAAACCCATTCGCCAATATGGGCGCTTACCACGGTGTGGGCTCGTTCTATTGAAACAAAGGAGGATTGTAGCTGAAAGACTTGGCCGCCGTCTATAGCCTCGCTACCGATGATGCAGAAGTCTGAGCGTTTGAGAGGACCGCTATTGATTCTATATTTAACAGAAAGAGAGGCCTGAACGATGAACAAACGATCATCAACTCCTACAGGATCGCACCGCCACTACTAGTGGAGACGATCAATAAACAGCTACAAGGGGCTCGCTTATCACTGGTTCTTTGACTCTTTGTTCTCCAATTCTATCTATGGTTGTTGGGAGTTGCAATAGGGGTACGGGGTAAGTGAAACGCGAAACAGTTGCCAAACTTACTTGCTCTTCTCATCCAAGTTAAGGCAAGCCAAGGCTATGAAACCTCAAAGCTAGCTCCGGCATGCTGGGACAGGAGACAGGGGGGTAGGAAAACGTATCCCGAACAGATTTGAAACAGCCATTAATGGATTTGTGGAGGCGCGCGTCAAGCCGCGATCTGGAAATAGCCAGGGCGGCATATTCCGCGACGACGGAAACGGTCAAGACACAGCCAGATTCACGGGCATGTTGGATCTGGGGCTGAGACATCAAGTTAATTGTATTGCGGTTGCATTGTTTGATTGTCTTTCTGGCTTTCATGGAATGTTCTCTTCACTTAAAGTCGGCCATTATTCGCTTTTTGTCTTACCCTTCAATTTAATCCGGCATCACCAAAGCAATGGGCACTTTAATGCTGCTGTGGCTAGGCAGCGTGGTTAGCACGTTTTCACTTAAACTCGCATTCCTAACCACTAGTACAAAAAAAAGAAAGACGGGAATAAGCCATTTTCACAAAAGAATTTTTCAATATTGAGAACATGACAAGAAAAACTTTTCTGTGCGGTAGGCTTTCTTTCAAAAGGAGGGCCAAGTGACTCAGTGGAAAGCGTCCGAATGGCTCGCGCTTCGGCAAAAGACACAGCTTTGCGACGACGGGTCAGATGAGAGGCCCCAAGGCGCACAAATATGGCCACCAGGGCTGAATACCCTTTGAACCAGAAAGAAAAAAAAGAGGGTTGCCGAGACAGCAGAAGAAAAAAAAAGACAAGACGGCCGACCGAGCAACTAGTGGTTGTGTGTCTCAGTTTAGGTATGGCATGCAATATAAAATCACCAGAAGACAGGACAAGGGAGGAGGGGCGTGTGAAAAGGATAGCGACGGCCGGATATGGAAATGGGTCGCAGCCTACACGCCCCCCTTTTTGTCGTTGCTCTTGCATGAGGAACGGAGACAATAGGATTGGATGCTTGCTTTGTCTGTAGCGAATTAGTTGCTGGTGCGTGACGGAGCGAGCGAATCAACTGTAGAAGCTCAAGATGTGAGAGTGAGGAGTGGATGAGAAGACGAGTGTAGAAGAATAGTACGAACTAGGGGGGGAAGAGAAAGAAGGGAAAAGACAAGAGGAAAAAAAAGAATTTCAATGCACAGTAGACGTGATATGGAGATTTTCGTTATAATTTTCGTTTCGCGTGTTCCGCTCAGCTCCCATCATTCATCGCCTGTCGCTGCAGAGAGGCCATGCAGGGAGGCCGCCCTTGCTGAGCATTCCAAAAATGGAAGAAGGCTTCAACAAAAAAAAAAAAAAGCGTGATGGGGATTGGGGGCCGTTTTGTGCAGAGCGCCACAGCTGGAGGAAGAGCGAATAGACAGGTCGGTTGAGTGCTGACGATGGGTCCGATGTCCATACAGGCAGTCGCTTATGCCAGACGGCGAAGAGTGCCTGTGCTTACGGAGTGCGAATCGAATAGGTAACAGAGCAAATGTGTCCCGTAGCATGGTAGAAAATAGACTGTGTGTGCGAGCTCTGCTCCGTCCGTATCGCGAGCTTACGACGATGTGTGTTTTGCTTCATCCCGGGTAGGGGGGTGCAGTTGCCAGAAGCAGACAGCGGCGCGACAGACAGGCAACATTTTTGTTGAGCTGACAGGCACCGGAATGTGATGCTGCTCTTCAAGGGAAGCTTCGTAATACCCAACACGTTGCAATAGAGCATAGAACCCTTGGCGGCGCCGTCGCCCATCTTGATAGTCGTTTCCTGATGTAAATCGCAGGTTTGAGCTGGTGGTGATAGCCACAAGCCAATGGAAACCCCGGTCCAGCCCGCACCCTCTCGCCACTGTCAAGAGCAGTTCTGTTCTATCTCTGTCCTACACGAGCGCTGCTAGTTAGCTGGCCTTGGTCATGAGGACTAATGCACAAAAAATAGAGTCCCGGAAGCAGGTTGTGCGTCACCGCGGTGAGACTCGTGAGTGAAGAGGGTCCTGATAGCGCTTGTCGACTAATGATTTCGCTTGGATAAGAGGTTAAGCACTCGTATTGACTGGTACGGAATAGGCAGACGCGCTTGAGCTTGGCAGAGGCGAGTGTGTCATTCGTCATTGCTCGCGATGGTTGTGGGTGGAGGGTTGGATGGTGGATGTGGATGTGGATGTGAATGGGTCCCATGACGCTTTTCGTTCTCAGTTTAGCTCGACAGATTGATAATCGATAGAGTGCGAGAGTGTGCTAGCATTGAAGTTGACTGATGCCAGTTTGGCGATTGCGTCTGGGCTTGCGCGTGTAGGACTTTGGGCGGACTCTGGCGATATCGTCATGATGGCAAATTTCTTTGATGCGAGTATAGCGCGAGCCGAAGCCGAGATGAGGCTCTTCGGGCAACTGTCTGCACGTCAGTGAGGCTGTGGCCGGACGGTTGAACATGCCGCGATCGGGTGTCGCCATAGGTGCATCATCTACGGCGAACCGGTGGCCTCTTTCGCGTGGGCATGACGAGCATCGAGTGAGGCAGTGAAGACGAGCCAAGGTGAGGATGGCGATGGCCTCGCCAGAACCGACAGCCGGCAACCCCCAGCGGGAGGACGCTGGGGCTGTGGCGGACTGGAATAGCGATAGCGATAGGGCCTAGCTCTAGCTTCCCTGTGGCCTAGGGACCCGTTAGCGAGGGAGCCCACAAAAACTGGGCGACGACCCTGGAGACGGGCCCCGGCCAGGCAGCACAGCCCAGGCGGCTGAAAATGAAAGACGAGCGAAGGAGTCTCTGCGTAGGGTTCAATACAGTGACGAGTAGGTATTGCATGGCCGTGGCCTATGACGGCGATGGGCGATGGTGCTGAGGGGATGGATTGCTACTAGGTACCTACCTAGTATGTATTTATTACAGGTACCTGTACTAGCAGTTATCTACTTCTACATGCCAATGCGGCGCCTTTCGCCCTGCAGAATAGGTACCCGGCAGGAACCTCAGCTGCTGCTTGCATCCAATTTCAAAGAGATGCCTCAGGAACAGCGCTCCCATGTTAGTGCTTTGGCAGTGGCTTTGGCGGGTTGCGCTAACATGCAGCGCCCAGGCGCGGACCGCAGCCACTGCCTCGCGGCGTCTCCCGCCACTGGAGCTGCCAGATTCTGACTGGTGCCTGTCGTAGGACTTGGGAATGCTGTGGCCTCTGCTCACCCACAATTTCTGGAGATGGCATCAGTCAATCGCGGTGCTCCGCTTCAATCGTGCCGATCATGGATCATGGATCATGGGCCGTGGGCCAATCCAGTCCGGTCCAGGCAGACTGTGCGGCAGAACTGGTGCTACGGCAAGCAGCATGGCAACCACCAGCCGTGGCTCTCGAGTCCTAGGACAGGTGAGGATGAAGGGCACACAGGCAGTAGCATCTGCTAAATGCTCCATCCATTGCTGGAAGCTAAGACGACTTTGGACTACGGCTGCATGCTGATGTCTACAGTATGACTCCAGTGCTAATGCTGCGGGCTGCCGATGCCAATTGCTAATACGGCGACTGATGCTCGTGCTAATGCTGCTGCTAATGCCGCTGCTACTGTACGAAATGGCAGCAAGACAGAAGACTAATGCCAGGCAGAAAGAATCGAGAAAGCGAGACCACTGGATGAGTCAATCCACCTGCCCTGCCAGGGCCCGCGATCTAAGAGATGTGCGTCAGGCAGTGTGTTCTGCATCCTCGGCCTGGACCGCCGTCTTTCGTTGGTCAGTTGTCGAGGCCTGCGATGATTTGCTGCTGCGGTGGCTTTGGCGCTGGGAGCCAGGAACCGCCGTTGGCATTTTCTTGAAGAGCCAATTGATGCTCCATCGCCAGCTTCATCAGCCGCCCAGATCCATCACCCCAAACCACTGGGTCGTTTTACCACTGCTGGCCGTCTTCATGGGCCAACAATACCAATTACAATGTTTTGAATAAGCGCAGACTCTAGAAGTCGTGGCTGGGATTGGGTATTGGGTATTGGGAGGCCTTTTGTGCTGCTATTTTCAGTACGGCGTCTTTTTGCAGGAGCTGCACAAGCCTGTTTCGAAATTCTGCAGCCTGCAGCTGAGAAAAACAGATGCGGCGGCTACAAGCGAAAGAGCCTCTTCTGGCTCCCTCTTTGATGTGTGTCTGTCAAATGACGGCAGCCTGTAATACAATGCGCCTTTGCTAGTACATCGCTTTCTCACAAACAATCCAATCTTTTCCTCTCTCGCAAATCGTCATTCCTTCTCAATGGCCCATCCCTCTTCTGGCTGGCCGCCCAGGAACTGGCTGATCAGAAAATCACCGGCCGTGGCTGACGGGGCTCAGCTGTGCCGCTATTGGACTGGCTCTTGGTGTTTGCTGCTGCGCAATTCTCCACAACACGGGCGTGGAGACGAACCAGAGGGAGTCATCGGAGAAGCCATTCTGTGCTGCTTAGCGCACAGAAAGACGCCTCACATGCCTCGCCGGAGGGAGACGACGCTCGCTCGCTCCACCCACCCCATGGCAGGCAGAATGCGGAAAGACGGCAGGGGTTGGAGCCGTCCAAGGACTCAGTCAGAGGGGCCCGAGACTCGCTATGGCTGGGCATGTCGAGTGGAGGGGGCGTGTGAGACGGGGCCAAAGTCCAGGACAGGACGGCCAAGAAGCGCTGCAGCAGCTAAATGCCCATGCAAGCTTCTTTTGGCCCTCCCTCCATCGCGTTTGTCTTTATAAGTCTGCGATGCACCCTCACCTCGTTCTCCATCCAGCAGTTCCAGGCAACAATACGCACAGCAACCCCACAAGCTTCTTTATACTATTTCACACATTGCATTCCAGACAAGGATCAAGGACAACGTTCAATAGGAAAGCATCGTTTCTATACAAAAGGCTGCTCATACCCACCTTTTGCGCTTTCTGCTCCTTTCATCCTACATACCACCAACACACAACCAACAACAACAAGGTTTACCAGAATTAGCATCACTCTTGAACAAAAGGAGAGAGAAAGAGGCATAGGATATTAGAATCCTCCATAGCTGCTTAGCAGAGTTACATCTTCTTCTCTCGGACGCCTTGCCATTGCAAGGACACTCATCGTCTCACAATGTGCACCACCAACGTCTACACCTACGTCTACTCAGACGGCCACAAGGAACAGTCTCGCCAGCCCGTCCTCTGCTCCGCATCTCGCAACGGCAAAGTCTGCTCCCAGAACGTCGTCTTCCAGCACCCCAACCAGTATATCCAGCACACCGGCTCAGCTCTGGGAACCTCACCGAGCTCTCCCTACCTCAGCCAGTTCCCGCCAACGCCCACATACAGCCCGCGATCCGGCACACCAAACTACCGATCCGGTGACGAGTCCGACCGATCGCGCCACAGCAGCTCATCAAGCTCACGGCGGCGTCGCTCTTCCAGCCTCTACATCAACGGACAGAATGTTATCGACCTGAACCGCCACGACGGAAGCCCACGGCGCGAGCGCATTGTCTTGGTTGAAGGCCCGCCCACCCCGAGAACCCCTCCTACGGCATTCAGCTTCGCCAACTTTGCGCCTCCGTCTCCCAATGCCAGCGCCAATGCCTCTGCCTCTCCCTCTGTCTACGGCTCTTCTCCCCGGGACTCAAACTCCAGCTTCTCTCGCCGCCCAGTCATTGTCGATGACCGGGCCCGCGCTGAGCGTGTCGAGCGAGTGGAGCGACCTCGCATCGAGATTGAGATAGTCGAGGCCGCTCCTTCTTCACACCGAACATCCAAACACGACCGCCACTCTTCCACCAGCTCGCGCGAGAGCCACGGACGGAACAGCGCCGATGACGAAGAGACTTCACGGCGCCGCCGCGAGCGAGAGGAGCGACGAGTTGAGAAGGAGCGCGAGGAGGAGGAGGAGCGACAGCGTCGCATCCGCCTTCGCATCGCCAAAGCCAATGCTGAGATCAACAAGCGCCCTCCAGTGCCGATGCCGCCTGCACCACTGCGCGCATCTTCCTTCAAGAACGCTAGCGCTGACGACTCGGTGAAGAAGCTGGCGGAGGGTGTCCGGCGCATGAGCTTTGAGGAGGAGCGCCGCGAGGAAAAGGCCCGCCACCTCGCTCGCAAACAGGAGCGTCGCGAGGAGGAGGAGACCCAGCGCCTTGAAGACGAAGCCCAGCGCCAGCGCCTGGCCGATCGCATCAGCATGCCACGGCGCCGCTCCACAGTCGGAGGCAGCCGCCGGCACCGCGTCGTCTACGAGGATGGCGTTGTCTACCGACTTGAGTAGATGATCTTTCTTTTGTAACCAATTTCCTTTGTCTTCACTACCTGCCTCTGCATTTATATACCACTTCCTCTTCATTTCCTTTGTATTGTTACGACACTTTTTTTTTATGACTTGGGCATATTCCCTGTATTACTTTTGAGATGGAAAATGAACTATTTCAGGACAGGGTTTCTTCTTTGCTTTTACAAAACTCTTTGAAAAGTAAAAACCAAAAAAAGGGACTTGGGATGATAACAGAACAACATGTGTTTGGCATTTGGGAATTTTGCAAGCGAACAAAGCGATGATTTATTATTATGGAAAACTTTTCTCATGTATACTATGAATATGATACTACTTATAATACCCAAATAGCGAATATCAGTGGCTTTTTTTTTCTTTGGACATGACGGAGCACATGTAACTGCGCTCTTTTCTCTTACCTTTTCCCATATTTCTCCTGCTTGTCATGTCGACATGCCAGGCCTGGTACTGCAGCACCCCTTACAGTTTGACAGGCAAAAGGGTTGCATGGCGACATGAACGAGGTGGGCTGGACGTAATCAGCTTCCAGATTCTGTCGTCTCCATGCACTTTTTGGCCGCCACATTATCCATGGCATCAGCAGCCACTGAGCATTTAGCTTGCCGGAGTCTCTCCCCCTTGGTCTACTTTTGCTCGCTCTTCTTCTTCTTCTTCTCTTTTATAACTACTATCTTGAGTATGTATGTAGTGATAGTGATCGACAATCATCAGTTCTAAAAAAATGATTTAGCCTGTCTAAACTGGCTCACCTGGTCAGGAGCGCAACCCTCTCGGCTGTCCATTCTCCTGTGTCTGTCCTTCTCATAGCCATTCGTTCCACACACCACCCTTCCGCTGTGACGAAGGATGCATTTTGCATATGCATCCTGCAAGTTCCAAATTACCATTACGCATCATGCAGGCCTTTTCCTGCTTCTTCTCAGGTCTTCGCGTCGCGCGACTTATCGATAGTATGTGTAATGCTTCTGATAGCTGCCAGTTACGAGTTGATTCCAGGCAATGGCGCGCCCTTTTAGCTGCCAGTAGAGAGACGGGCTGGGCCACCATGTCATGGCCGTGACGGCCTTTGCATGGAGTGAGTCTGGGATCGTAATAGGCTGGAGGGGGGAATATGCAGGTGTGAGTGGGTGCAGATACTCTAGGGCAGGGGAAAGGACAGGGATAGAGAGAAGAAGGTGGTGTGAGGACGACAGGATGGATTTTTTTTTTCGGGGGAGAATTTGAAATTTGTGTGTGGATTTTACGTGTGAAATATTTTTGTGGTGTTTTTAATTTATAGGATGGATATATGGATATTATGCTTCCCTTGCTGAGGATGAGCGCCTTTTATGTACGAAACTGGAGTCTGAGTGCGCGATTATCATTCTTGGGTGTCTGTTTCAGCGAGCAATAGAGAGGAAGGAGAAATATTGGAAGCAAATGAGAATCTCAAGAGTAAAAGTCATAACGAGAATAAAAAAAAAGTGCGCGAAAAAGAAAAAAAAAAAAAAAAAGAAAGAAATGTGTGGTTGTGGGCAGGGGAAATATTTTGAGCGTGTGCGATGTTTCAACACACAAAACACGAGTCTACGGGCACCAAACTAGACGAAAAAGTGTTCTCGTGATGGATCGATTTTTTACCCTCCGTGCCTTTTCAGCTTTGACAGAAACCCACACACCATCTCAGTCATCTTTTGTAGCAGACTTTTCTTGTTCCTGTCTGTCTGCCGGCTTTCTCCACCATCTCGTCCAAGCCCACTCGCACTTACACGGACCCCAGACTTGTGAGGACCGAGAATGCACGGAGCACGCACATAATCAGCAGCACTGCATACTGCTAGTAATGCATACTTGTGCAGAACCGCCCGGTGCATCCAAGAAGCAAGGCACGCCAAAGCAAATAGTCAATACTATGCACGGAGCAAGAGAAGAGGAGGAGGAGGAAGAAGAAGAAGAAGCGTGGGAAACGTGCACTGTTATTCCCCATGCACACGCCTCCTCCTCTATCCCTGCCTTTCTTTCAAGTCACCCCGGGAGACCACGCGGGAAACTCGGTGTGGGGTCCCGGCGATGGTCGGCCGGTTTTTGGGCCTGGACGAGAGGGAGCAAAAGATGGAGGATGGCCAAGGGACGTGATTGGATGGACTGGAGGATTTGAGAAAATGGACCGGAAGAAGACAGGATGGAGCTTCGGAAGGGGAAGAGCGGGAGACGGGAGTATGCAGATGAATTAGTTGGTAATTTTTACTACTATTCTGCAGCTTGGTTGACGGTTGAAGGGAAGCCATGGTGGAGCGGTTGGTGAGCTGCAAGCTGGGCGGCCGAGGCATGAGCTGTAAGCTGTAAGAGCTGGGAGCTGACATGTCATCGCGAAATGTGGCTGGCTTAGCGAGCACAAAAGATGGCAGCAGCATACATGATGATTACAACATGTAGTAGAAATGAGAGGGGGGGCGACTTATATCGAACATGGCAGGTGATGGCCACAAAGACAAAAGACAAAAGACTGGAAAAAACGGGATGCCGACTGAGACAGCTTGTAGTTGAAGTTCGGTATGTGAGCGCGGTGGACCGACTGGATAAAAGCAAGGTGCCCGGCTCTCTTTGCTCTACACTAATGGTGTATGCCCGGCTATAGTGGTGGAGGGTGGCGACGGTAGCATCGGCCGAGAGAGAGAGGAACAGAGCTGGTGTGAACGGATTAAGAGGCGGTGTGGGTTGATATGGGCAGCAGTAGATGGGATATGTCGCTATCGGAAATGGCTGTGATGTATTGGGGGTTGGATATCGGATGGAGTGGATGAAGAGGAGGAGAAGGGTCGCGATAGTGCATTTGGAAGTTGCATGTGGCTTGAATGTGCGTGCTGGGAAACACCAAAGGGGAGTGAAGATAGAAGACGTGTGTGTTTTAGTACATGTAGTCTTTGCGATTTATGCATATCGGGCTGGTCACGAGTACGTTACGCGATGCGAAGAAGCAAGGCATACGGCGTTTTTGTTATGCATGTGCTTTGATGTGGCGGTGAGAGATCATGGCTCTGTGTAACATGCGTTGCTTTGATGGCATTTGATAAGTTGTGAACGATGTATGGAAGATGTAGGATCGGAGTTGCTTTGATGTATATGAGAGGACGTTTGTGTATGTCAGCTGTGCATAACTTGTATGCGGTGAACTTGTAAGCCTCTCTGCGGCTAATAATATTGGACAAAGCAAAGTACTTTTGTTAAATATCCCGTTCATGAAGCTGTCTCATATGTTTATTTTAAAAATCCTTTCTCGTAGTATGTAGGATGGTGGTTCTACACTTCAAATCGCTGCTGTATGCCACGCAATGGATTCCGCACGTATATCAGTGGAAGCCAAGTATAGAGAGAAGAGTATCCATTTGTGATAAGAGCGTGGGAATGTTGCGGGTAAAAGCCAAGTATATGCACTTTAATATAAGTATAATTAAGATTTATTTGAGGAAATAGAATCATCGTTATACACCACTACCATTTAAGCTTATACAAATGTAAAAAGAGGATAATTCAGTGATTGCAGATAAATTTTCTTGAAAATTCACCGTGGATCATGCGTATATACACTGCCTATACTAGAGACCATATCATCAAAGGTTCATCCAGGGGATCGAAAATTCTTGTCGCAGTCAGAACATGTATTGCGTCATTGCTCATCTACTTTAGATGCCCCAGCGCTACTATACTTCATTGCTGCTCTACTCTATGTTTCTCTGTAGAATATGAAGAAAAGCTTTAAAAACCCCACCGATTTCACAGCATTTTTAACCTCGCACAACGACTTACAATTATGAGCGGTGACAAGAATCAAGCTCTCTCTTAGCATAGCCTTTTGTGGTGAGTTTCACAGCATTCTTAACCTCGTATAATACATTTCAATTACATGCAAAGTTAAAAATGCTGTGAAGAACCCCGACTTCACAGCATTTTTAACTTCACGCAATGCCTTTCAATTATCACTAGGAGCCAGGCTCAAGCTCTCTATTAGTATAACAGTGTTGCGTATTTATAACAATGCTCTGCTCACACAGCTTCACATCATTTTTATCCTCAGACAATGCCTTTCATGATAAGAGGTAGCAAACAACTAGGTAGGTAAGCTCATCATATCGAAGTGAATTTCGCTTTTTGCGTCCATTCATGTACATTAGAAAGAAATAGTACTCAACAGAAAGACGTTCATTATTGGATTGCATAAATAGTAGATATTTGGATACAATCAACTTCGCGTAACTCCCGCGCCGCAGATCCAGACCACTCAAATGATGCCCACAAAAACGCAACTTATACCATCAAATTCTTAGACAGAGCTCTGATTCGCGGCCCATATTTGTAAAAGAGAATCGGGATTGGAATCATGGCAACGCTCACGAATCCCAAGACACTTGACGCCCATGCAACGCCAAGACCATGATACATGTAACTAGCAAACAGAGGGAAGCCAGCCGCAAAAAAGGAGCGTACGATGGTGTTTGCACCGAGTGCGCTGTTAGCAATGTGCGAATAGACATCCAGAATATATGTCATCGCGGTAACAAAGATACACAACAAACCGGCGCCAATAAAGAGACTGCCAATGATCATCCCAACCACGGGAATGTGGGGAGCAGAAGTCCATCCAAAGATAAAGAGCCCGATAGGGAGTAGCACGCTACCGGCCATCATTAATGGCAAACGCCTCTCAGGTGCTGGTGCCTGAGCAGGATCAGAATTGCCTTCAGCTTTCTTTTTAAGGCTCGCTTGTTGAACCAACACAGTACGTGTTACAATCATAGCAGAGCCGATGAAAACACCAACCATCATACCCAAGAAGGGAAGAGATGACAGACCGAGTTTCCAATGACGTTGTTCGCGGAAAATGATGGGGTATGAAGAGAAGACGATGTAGAGAATGCCATAGACAAATGCCTGGTAGAGGGTCATGAGGACCAAGATGGGTTCGGTTGCGAGTAAGACTATAAGCGATATGTATTAGCACCCGCAGTATAATAGCATCCTGGGCATAAGAGAGAGCGTACCAAAAGGCCGGACTAGATACACGCGGACAAATCTATTCCATCCATCTGTATCCTTTGGTGAATTCTGTGAGGCTGGATCCAATTTTTGCCTCTTCTGTAGGATGATAGGGGGATATGTCTCTGGCAATCCAAGGACACATAGAACTGTACATGACCCTCCCATTATACAGCTCAGCCATCCGGTCCATCGCCAGCCGAGATGACTAGCAGTAATAAAATTGCCCATCACCGGAGCCAGCAAGGGTCCTCCAAGAACTATGCCAATGACGGTCGCCATGGCAATTGCGCGCTGCTCAGGGTGCCAAATATCGACGAGACCGCCTCCAAAGAGAGCAATGGGTGCTACGCCAGAAACTCCACAGAAGAACCGGCCGATAAGAATCGTTTGCAAGTTCTTTCCTACTGCGACAGGGATGCAGAAAAGGGTAAAAAGTGCCATGCCAACAATCATGGGCTTTCTCCTTCCAAATTGTTCGGATATGGGACTCCAAAATGGTGGTCCAACGGAATAGCCCTGAATTACAATGGTGTTAGTCGAAATATCTAGACGAAGGAAAATGCATTTCAAGAGGGGCCCTTAGCTGGTGAACTTACAACGACGAATAGACTGACTCCTAGAGTCACAACTTCCGTACCAACATGAAACTCTTCGCTAATTGCCTGGGCACCACTGCTGAAGATACTCGAAGACACCGAGGCCACCAGATTTCCCGCTATCCAGATGAAAGTAATAAACAACTTTCTAAACAACGACCAGTTCTTGGGATTCGCGGGATCATGAGGGTCCTCGAAAGTTAGTGGGTTAGGGCTGTCAATGCTTGGGGTTTGTGTCTCTTCATCGCTAGTTGAGAGACTCTCCAAGGGAGTTCCGTTCTCGAGTTCGTCTAGGACCGCCATCGCGACAACTACGGCAACAGATGACTCGACAAAACAGAAACCAAGACATAAATGTCCACATGCCAAGGTTCTAACTCTGAAGGAAGAAAATTCATTTAGGGGCACAGAATTATTCAGCAGAGCAACCTGCTGAGGAGAGCTGTAAGCACATGCTTATCAAAAACTGGGGTTATAGACCCGTGGCGCCGCGGAGAAGCTTTGAGCAACGGCAATAACCACTTTCGGCTGTGCGGCTAGCAGAGGAACTGCCCCATTGGCTCTTCAGAGACTTTCAATGACACAAGAGGCGTAGCTTCGGTACTAGGCCTAGGACACTGGTCTACTCCGACGAAGCTCTGGAGCATGTGTGATTGTCCCGGGCAGATCGAGCAGGTCGACTCTAAAGTAGACGGCTGCGCAACGTTTCTAGAGGAGAGACAGAGGGTAAGTTAAGATGCTAGTCTTATACCTAGAACTCGTCATACGGCATATGACGATAGCCATTCTCAAGACATGCGGGGGAATCTCTAGACCGCCAAGATACTGAAGAGGCTCCGGACCAACGCGGATGAAACGGGAAAGACGGACCGCCTTCCGAAGACTTCGGCCCCACTTCCGCTGGCATTTCCTGTTTCCCCAATTTGGGGAATTTGGAGTTTAAAAGCTGTAGATATCTACACATCTCTCAAATAGAAGGTACTCGGGTTTTTTAAAGTAAGTCTATTAGGTGGTCTCAGCCAGTGTCAAATATATAGCGACCAGTTTCCCTCGTGTATCCATCTATCAGGAAGTATGCGAATGTGGGATTTGATGAGGATGGAAGACTCCTCGATTAACGCCACTTGGAGTCGCAAACCAATAATATCAAGCCGTCTTTAACCAAAAGCAAAAAGAAGAAGAAAGTTTGTGAGACCATCATGGTCATGCTGAAATGATATACCGATACCATAGGCCAATAGAAAAGAGATGCAGCTAGCCATGCCTTCAGGCTTATTCAGAAACGCCTCCTCTTTTAGCTTCCTGGTCCAGCCTCTTTTGCTCCTTCTTTGCCTCTTTTGCCATCTGCTTATGCTCTTTCTTGGCTTGTTCGCGCTCTTTCTTTGCGGCCTTTTTAATCTTCTTTTCCGCGCGTGTTGCATCTCGAAGACTGCTGTTGGGCCCCCTGATAAAACGACCCGGGTGGAAGATGGCCAAAATCAGGAGAGCAGCCATCATGGGGAACGCGTCGAGAGAGTAAAAGTAATATTCGTGGAAGGGAAGCGGGTTAACGGAAGGGTCGAGTCCTTTTGTAAATTCGATTAATCGGTAAATGATACGCATCTGAGAAGATAGCAAGACGTTGGTTAGCATATTGTGAGCCTTGAAAATCTCTCCCCTAAAGCCCAAACGGAAGACACGAACCGTAATAAATGCCAAAACAGCATATAAAGCATAGAGTAGCCAGAAGCAGCCTCTAGGGTCTTCGAAATTGTCATAACGACGACCGTCGTTTGCTTCATTCAAATTGACTTCTTCAGGCAGCAAAAGGCGGCCTTCTGTAAGCTTTACGAAGCGAATATGAAATGTAATCATGAGGACCAAGAAGATGGCGATGAAAAATTCCTGAAGTCCGATACCCCCTTCGTAGACATGCAGTCCAGTCTGTTGGATAGAAGCGGAAGAGCTGGGAGAGACCATGACACCACCTACGGCCTGGACGACGAACGAAAAGAAGTCTGCGAAAACAAAGAGTTTCGAAATTTGAGAGGCTTTGATAATCCATACTTTTCTATCCGGCATATAAAAATGGACAATGCGTGCAAAAGTCATGTAGACAAAGGCATTGATCCAAAGTGGCGCCAGCAGAAAGAGAATCTGCCAAATGGTGGCAAACGTGACGTTTTGTTGGTTATGCGCGCCAACAACGTGTAGGATAAACGCTGCTGTTTCCCAAGCGCCGCCCATGATCAAGACCCAGGTGTATCCCTGCCGTCAAGGTAAGAATGCTTTGAAACACAAATCGTGGTGTTGATAACAGGACATCAAGCACTACTCACCTTTTTATATACCACTGCTTCGATAATGTGAATGAGGGTGAGGGTGCCAAAGAGAACAGACACCACCACTGCAGGAATAAACTCTGGGATTGCATTGTATGATGAATTGCATGCGTCTACCGGCACTTCGCCATACTTGCCTGGCACTGCAGTCGTGCAAGCTGGAAAAGCACCGTTCGACGTGCTTGTTGCAGCCACATGAGTTGTTGTAGTCGCCATTGGATTTATTGATGTGAGGTGTATAACCAATGCGAGTAGTCAGAATTGTAGATGAACAATTATTTTTTTTCCAACACCACTGGGTCTATATAAAAGATTACGTTCACGACATACAGAGTTTTTTAACAACGGAGGCGCCTCACAGAATTACGTCGACGCCTAACCGCAGTTAAAAATCACTAGCAACAATCCTCTAGCATATTTACATGGGATCCTTATTTCTATTATTAGTTACTACATAACACTCTGCTAGTACCAGTAGAATGGAGATGATAGCTGGCTCCTATCGTTGAAGCCGTAACCAGGCTAAACCAAGAAGCGGGCGGCTTCTGCCACGCGATTGGCGAGTCGAGACCAGGTCCACGCGGCATATGCCAACTCAGCCTCGTATCGTCCAATTGACCATGACGCACGCTATCTGTGCTAGGAAATCGCCGTTGCTGACTGAGATATAGTATCTTGCAGCCACCACTGCCGGTAGCCAAAGGCTTAGCCTTTAGATGCTGCCGCAACCTCGCTAATAAACATATCTAACTAAGGCACAGCAGCCGTTTGATGCAGTTGCCCTTTAGGCAGGGCAAGGAAGAAGAGAGCGAAATACTGAAAATACGCAATGCATTCATGTTGTGTAAATAAAATCGCGATGGAGTATTAATTGGGCGGAATATCCCGTAAAACAAGCTTCATGACGCGCAACCAGTTCTAACTTCGAGGCCTATTCCGGCAGTGCGTCTTCCTAGAATGCTAGAATGTCGACCTCAGACAACTGGACCCGCATCTCTTATAGGTAGGCTAATGGTAGATAAATGGGCCCAGCCGGGAGGGCATCCCGAGTGCACGTAGGGCGCAGCGTAGGATTCGCAACCGCGTTTGAAAGGAGTCGTAGTGCTGATTAATGTGACGTTTAGGATTGGGTGCATATTTTAGCGAAGGCAGATTTCAAAAGGATGCTGTGAATATAGAGTAGCGCCAGGCTTTAGTCTTGCACAATCAAAGCTTGTGTGCATTGTATTTGATACTATACGATCCTTACTTGAACTAATATATGCCCGTAGAGATGGTAGGTCGTCTAAGCGAAGAAGAAGGAATACAGCTTCATGATCACGCAATAGACAATCGAGCGCTTAGCCTCCAATAGAAACATCAAGTGATATGTCTAGCTGGCAGTAGGATTTGGCGCCTGAGCCACGTCGGTTGAGCATTAGCGTTGCTTTGGGTTTACCTTTGAGCCAATATCTATCATAGCCGAGATTAAATAGGATTCGTAGTGCTACTTACACATCAATAGGTAAGGGCATTTATTTTCGTAAACTTGGTCGATACTCCCCGTGACACTATGGCTGTGTAAAACACACTCTGTTCTGCATGCAATGGATGAGATGACTTGAAACAAAGATATCAAAAAGCAATTCAGTATAACTTGGTTCATTCAAGGAGGTAAACTCAAACAGTTTCAAAGTAGCTGCTAAGCCATATTATAATGGGAGGCCTCGTCGACTACTACCCAACTTTGCTCGTTGCTTTGTCACCGGAATTAATGTCCTTATCCCCGATATATACATACATCTGCTGTTGCAATGGCTTGCTTATACCAGCCGAGTCTCCTTGAAATACAATAATACGTATCTCAAAATTGAAGGCAAGATAACTAGGAATCATATTGTAATAGAGCATAGCGACAACAGCAATACAATCTTTACGATGCTTCATAATGCTATTTACTTATTAATGCTCAACTTATTAACTATTCTAATGCCGCTAAAATATTAAATGCTAATTATCGTAAGTAAGCGTGATTGTGATTCCACCCTTTGTATGAACAATATCCGTTGCAAATTTCACAACCGTTGCTCGAATCCGCTCCAAATGCTGAACTGACATGGGCCCAAGCGAGCCCCCAACAACAATGTCATTACTATACGCTGATTCTTTATGCCAGAAAACCACCTTGTATTCGCCGCCGACGATTTGTTCGTATTTCTCGTAGCCATTTCGTATGGCTTCAATTGTGAGCACTCGAGTGCACTTCTCTTCTGTATTAATCATGGTGACCTAGTCGATGTCAATACGTAAGAGAATTTTCATTGTGAGCATGACTGTATCTATTACTCACTTGCTTAATGCGAACTTCGCAGTACTTATCCGCATTAGGCGTTGGGTCATTTGTTAGATTTGGGATTTTGGACAGCGGCTCGCTATCCGTTGATATGCCATCATCAATGTACATTGTATAGATCTATCAATGTTTCAGCACAAACTTCCTTTCATTCATGAAATTGAGAATTCTCACATTGTCTTTTCCCGGATAGACATGGAAAGTGATTGGGTTTGCCTCTGGCGCCTTCATCTCTATCCCCGCATGTGGATAGCCATTTGGGTACCAGTCGGGCGTACTCGCTCTTGTCTCGATTTTGGGAATTATGGCGCCTGGTTGTACTTAGTATAGCTCTCCACGCTATGGACAGCGGGAAACTGACCTTCGCGAATGTACATTGGAGTAATTCTAGGAATATGGTCGTCTTCGAGGCTAATATTGCATTTGCAGAAGATGCGGCTTCCGCCCTCAATAGCTGGGTTTAAAGCTGTACCCAAAGGCTCATCGGGGTAAAGATTTATAGGAAACCATTCATCAGGATATGGTAGATAAACTTCATGGCGGTCAAAAAACGCTTCGGCGCGTAGAGGTGGTGCCACGAGGATATCATTTCCGACCAGGTACTGGTCGTTTGTGAACCATTTATTCTACATAATTTCATTTAGCTTGGTCAATGAAACCCTTGGTAAGGGCAGCTCACCTCAAAGAATAATGTTGCATCTTGGTCATCAGTTATGATCTAGATACGAGCCATGTTAGCTGAGTAAATTATAACGCCACCAGTGTATCCTACCATGGATCTAGCGACTGGCATTCCAGTTATGGCATTTTCAAACATAGCATCATATAACAGCTGCATAAGACTGTAACGAAGACGAACGTAATATCTGCACACCGGAAGCACAGCACGAAAGAGAAAGGCTTCTCTTGGATCGTGGAAGTGATGCATGTTGTCTCGGTAATGTTGGTCGTAGGCATACGGCTCTTGGAACTGTTTCCCATCTTTCCTCATTTCGCCCTTGTGGGGACCATCAAGAAAGGTTCGATACTTTGTATAATGATTACTAGACGAGGCATACTCAGTCAACATTGTTGTCGTATGAAGCATCAGAGAAGCAGTTATTCAACTTACCGAAACCAGGGTAGCAGAGAGTACGCGCCGTACCAACGGATCAGAAGCTCCGGATTCGCCCAGTTATGATCTGGCTCAATGAATTCAAAACCTCCGACATCTTGTCCTGAGATTGCGTTACCGGATAGTCCAAGGCCCAAGACTTGTACGACCGAGGTCGAGAGGAAGTCCCAAGTGGAAGCATTGTCTCCCGTCCAAAGACCAGCGAATTTATGGCTTCCGATATAACTGCCTCTTCCAATGATGAAGTTACGTCGGCCTTTTCTCCATGACAATTCATTTGCCTCTGTTAATGCTTGGTTGGTAGTTATTAACTCATCATTATTTCCTGCCAATGTGCCATTGAGATGGAGATTCTGTAAACCATTAAAGGTAGCCTCGTATAGATTGTAGCTGTAGAGCGCCCATATCTCAATAGCTTTTCTTTTTAATGCAACTTCTTCATAGGGTTCATTAAGTCGAACATCACTGTCGAGAAGAAGTCTAAAGGGGAATCTGAACTAGGTCAGTGGCGGTAATACAGTAAATTGTGCTGCTTTACTTACGATTTCATGTCTCCATACTCTGGAGCGATGCAAGGAGACGTCATGTCCTGCCAGATGAATTCGACACCGCATTCAAAGAGATATTTGAACTGCTTCCCCCACCACTCCCTGACTTCATGGTTGTTAAGATTGGGGTAGTATCCAGGAGCACCATTGCCCCATCCGTAATAGACTCCGCCGTGGAATGGCTTTCCAGAGTTATAAGTCACAGATAAATCCGTCTTATCTGGTATTCTGTAGTCGGGCCTTGTTTCGGACGGATTTGTTACAACGCGTCTACCATAGTCCCAGTAATGATATCTGTCTTGCCACGGGCGTAAATCTGACTTTGCAAGATCTCGCCTATCTTCAATGTAGTAATTTTTATCCAAGAGCTCGTTGAGGGTCGTATACTCGGGGTCTTCGGCAGAATTAATATGAGGCGTGATATTTGTACAGCATTTTACACCTTGTTTTCTAAGTGTATCAAACATCTCTTTAGGTTTGGGGAAATGCCCAGGCCGGTCGTCAATGGTGAAAGTTTTATGTTCTCTCTGAATATCCACATCTATGTGGATTGCATCAAGCGGAAATTGAGCATCGCGGTAATTCTGAGCGCATTGCATAACCGCCTCTTTCGTATCATACCCATAGCATCCTTGATGATACCCAAGAACATATCTTGGTTTCAGGCTGGGCTTACCAACGATTGATGTATATACATTGAGAAGCTCAGAAATCTTATCCGCGGCTACAATCATGCAATTAAACTCGTTAAACCTCGTGGCAATTCGAATTGTTCTTTGGTGTGTTTTTCGGACGTCAAGGCAAGTATGAGAGTAATTGTCAATCATTGTTGCGAGAACAGATTGGAATCCAATGTGGCTAGCAACTTCCATCCAAAAAGGTTCTGTGTGGTAGAGCGGCTCTCGTTCATCTAAAGGACCATTGCCGTAGACATTTTGGTATTTCATGTTGTCAAAATCTTGTGGAAAATAGTCAGCATAGTTTTACTATAGCTTTGCTCTATCAACTCACTGAAATAATTCATGTATGTATTTGATTTGAACAAGTTTCGTCCTCCCTGTTCTCCAAATCCCATATAATGCGCCGTAGCAGGAGTTTCTACAGACAGGATAGTCGCACTACCACGAGATACGTACTTGAGCGGCTTGGGCTTGGTCTTCCAGATGACAGCCTTTTCAACGCCTTGAAGTGGCTGAAAGTCAACCTGCGGCCGAATAGCCTCGTCAATGGTACTAGGTATGGAAAACTTTTCGACGATACGGCTATTTTTTACAGGTCTGATAGCAGTGATCTGAAATGGCCGTTTCTGAATCCAAAGCTGAACCTCTGGTTTCTCAGCACCAGTCTTCACGGATTGTAAAATGTAGTATGACGGAACATTGGATATCAGCTCAACTCTCCAGTCAAGCCCTTCAAAATCATCCAATTTCGTAATAAGTTCGGACATGCTAGGGCATGCAATAGCACGACTATTGGCAGTGGGAGATTGAGTCAACAAATTTCTATAACAGATTGATCGAATGCTGCCTTACCTGTTCTCATCTTTAAAGCAACATTTACTTGCGGCAGCAGGATTGAAGCGAATTCTCCAAACTTGAGGTCGTATAAATTCTATCAATAGCAGAGATTCTTCATCTGGCTCATCTTCCAGTGGTTCATGTAGCCGAAAAATTTTGCCATGCTGAAACACATTTCTCGCTTCGCCGTTGATCTGTATTTTTGGCTGGTCAGCCTCATCAAATGAAGCTCTCTCGGGCTGTCTAATACATGAATCAAACAAGTCGTTGTCGATATGATTGAAGAATTCATCAGCCGGAATAAACGTATAAGGATCTCGATCCTTGATTTCATCGAATTCGGCCATGGTGCTGGAAATTGGAAGTCGGTAGCAGAGCGCCGTCCATAAAGGGGAAGAGGCGACAGCCTAGTTTCAAGTTGGTTATAGAAGGAATTTTTAGGGGGAGTTTCGCGCGCGCAGATGCAGCGTAATTATAGTACATGCGTCTTGCGAGTCGACATGGAACAAGTAAAAATTTGTTCTATGCGTTCCATAGATATACGAGATGAGCGAGCCGATTCGGCATTGAAACAACGACAGAAAAATAAATTCGTGTCCGTTTATTATTCGGCGGTTCACGATATAGCTAGTGGACACCCCCCCTACTCCGTACTTTGCCCCAATTATACTAAAGCGCGAATATTGACATAATAGCGGTGAACCGAGGATGGGATTCTCAAATGGCGATGCAAACGTGACAGATGAACGGCTTATGCTTGATTGGAACAAGTGCTATTGCATCGATCGACCAGCAATTAGGCTTGGTTGACAGTAAGCACATCACTGGAGCGTCTACTGTTGATCCTTACCTATAGCCAAATCGAGCCTTGCGTTGCTGCAATGTCACAACTTACCATGTGGGAGCCGCCTATCAAAGACTCTCCTACTGCTTGCAGCAACTCGGTCTAAAACTCCTTTAGTGGAACATTCCATCGGGAACAGGGGTCCTCGAAACTGCAAACTGAGGCTCAATGCCGGTATAGACGAAAGGGCCGCCATGCCGAACATTGTTACATGTACCCATGGCTTCTCTCACGTTCCAGAAACCAGTTCATCTGGCAAGCCGGCAGATCAGCAGATCAGGCAGCAATGCATATTTCACCATGGACAGCATGAAGGCAACGAATGATCCATATCCCTTTGACAGACATTCTAGAATTCCATACGCACGACTCGGTGGCTGCGGTGAACCAATCAAGGTCAAATGGGCAAAACACGGCAGCAGTTTCTTGCTGTCGGTGAAAGAAAAAGAGGGGTAGCATGCTGTAGGCAAGGTACCGGCGGAAACTAAATGGAGTAGGACCCTTTGCAGCAAGACTCCACATGGCAGATATTAAGGCATGCGGCGTTTAGGTCTAAAACGACAAAGGCTGCCCCCTACGTCTTCAGTACAGTAAGCGCAGAGGAAGAGAAGAATCAATCGCTGCGGTTCTTTGTGCAGTACAAATCAATTCACCTCCTTGGACTCCACGGGTTAGTCGGAATGGCTTGCGGAGTGTATGTGGCAGTGCTCGGTCTCAAACCCACTTCTGTTGGCCTTTCTGTTGAGCAGGCAGTGGTCGCGGCTTGGCAAACAGCTATTTATTCCCTTGGTCCGCTGGGAATACTTGATAAACTGCCTGAATACCTAGATAGGGAGGGATATACCAAACCTAGAAGCAGCGTCAGCACCATGCTTGGCCACAAATTCATGCCGGGCACCCAAACGACTTACATGGCTATATTCACTACCCCTGGCTTGTGGTAGTCAAAGTAATCTGTGGCAGCCAGTTTTGACAAACGCCAAAACATTAGTATTCCTAGCGTGCAAAGTAGTCTCGTCGGCTTGCATACACACTCCCAAAGCCGGCCTATCAAACTGGCAGGTCAGTAGCTGATCGGCGGTACATACTTCTAGAGAGCATCTTCTCCGCATTCTTCATCGTGTTAGCATTAACAAGAGCGTCCCGCTAGCGTGCATGAACTTCTACAGCCGCGGCTTTACATGCAGTCAACATGAGCCTAAGATATCTTAGGACAGAGTACTAATGGAAGGGGAGCATACAAGTTCTCGCGGCACTCGCGGTAAGTCGAGCTTTTCAGCCATCAGTATGAAAAACCCCCACCAAAGTTTGACTCTAGCCTTTTCATGCGCGATTCGATGAGACAGATTCAAAGAGAAAAAGAAGAGAGAAAAGAGAGAGAGAGAGAGAGAGCACAGCGAGGGTGATTGAATGTGATCTAAGAACACTCAGAGGCAGTGCCTCTTTGGGCGAAATGCCACAACTTCCAAGCCAGTCTGTAAGCTCCTCTCCTTTTTCATGAAAAGAATGAAAGTATCAAGGTTAAGCAACGTTTATTATATGCACGCTCAAATCCAAATCCTGCGCAGCGAATGCCAAATGCATGCGCCAGGCTAGCAAATATAATTGGTCTAATACAGTATCACATTCAATCTGCCTCATCTTACACAGAGCCAGTGAGAGGCGCCAAATATTGCCTCAAGTAGACAAAACCAAGTATATGCGCTGCATGCCAAAACCCAAGCCCGGGAACAAAAAAAAAGGAGAACGGCCGTAAATGGAGAGTCATGATTTCTGTTAACTTTATTACACACCACCGCTGCCGTGGCGAGGTCGTTTGCGAACGCTGCTAGTGGAAGGGTGCAACTTCTCGTTGCGCTCTCTCTTGAGCTTGTCATCCAACACACGCGCTGCACAATGTTAGTTTTGTCTACTCTCTCAACATGTCCATGCGGCGGCATCGAGGACTTACTCAAGATATCGAAACCAAACTGCGGGAATTCCAGACAAAGCGCCTTGAATTCGTCCTCGGCCTCGGACCGTAGCGTATGTGATCTTGTAGCCCAGAAATTGGCCACCGGTGCACGAATCGTGGTATCGTCGGCCGCAGTGTGCGCATAAATATACCGCGCATACTCGATCTCGCCTTTAACCGTGGAATTAATACAGTAGATTTTCGATGAAGAGAGCGTCTGCAGAGCGGCGACGCCCCATTTCTGGGCCAGGGTATATATCCTCGCGTGCTTGAGCAGCTGAATGCCGGAGTCGTCGACGGCGGGGACAGAGGGATCGTTTTCGAGACTTCGCTGGCCGGGAAGCTTGCGGGGGAAATATTCATCTGTATATAGGAATTCGAGAAAGCAGCCGACGGCGTCGACATCTTCGTCTGGGAGCTCGATTTGGCGAGGCTAGAGATAAGTTTTGTTAAAACATTCCATGGTTCCCCAGGCAGCGCATAGCAGAAGAGGGAAGCCGTACGCTGCCGTCTTCGGTGAAGGCGTTGCAAATGTCTTCAAAGTACGGGCTTCGCACGAGGAAGGCTTGGTGTGCTTTAAGGACCGCGGGCTCGTTTTTGCCAACTATTAGGGTGACGATGGGACTCTTCAGGTGGTTGGCAAACGTCTTGCGCTCTTCCTCCGCTGGATCTGCCTCTGCGTCGACGTCCTCCGCTGTGGTCATTTGCGCTGGTGGAGCGCGCTCGGTGCTCTCGTCGGGGTTTGTCGACTCTACGATCTGGACGGGATTGTCGGTTTCTTCCATCTCGACGTCGCCTTGCGTGCTGGGAACATCCTCGTGGGTCTTTTCGATCTCTTCGGACGGCATGTTGGAGGTAGTCGTGGCGGTGCCACAGTTCGAATTGAGGCTCAAGAAGTCGGATCCAGCTTCGATAATGCAGGCTCGAGCTATTCGAAGCGCCAAAAATTCGTCTAGAAAGCAGCAACGTGGTCGTAACAAGGCCGCGATTCGATACAGCGATCTTTGGCAGCAGCTCTGTCGCGTCGCGTTGGAAGCTTGTAGGCTGAGTTAGTACCAAGTACTTTGTGCCACATACCTTGGGTACGAGCGTAAGCAGGCGTAAACATTGGCCTAATGCTTGTAGCTCGTACTGTATCTAGTAATCATTTGCACACTGTATAGATGGCATCACTTCCACTGCAAAGTTCGATTGTCAACGTCCAGAAGAAGTGAATGCTGATTCCCAAAATAAGTGAAGCGTAGCTCTTTGTATTCAATCCCATATTGTAAAATACCCATTAACTAGGGTCTTAGCCATATAGTTGCTTTTGAAACGTTCTATGCCTACCTACCTACCCAGGCGGGAATACCTACTCCAGTCCTAGTCAGATATTCTGAAGTGAAATGACAAGCTCAGCTGGCACCTTTTATTCCTCAAACTTCACCACAATGTTCGGCAGCAGCTCAAGGAATGACGGGCTTCCAACGCTCCCCTTGACAGCCAGCTTGATCTTTGGCCCGCTTTCAGAGGCCACTCCCAGCGTATGCCGCGCCTGTGCCGAACCATTTGGAGTGCTGAACCGCCACTCCTTTTCGCCTGCTGCTGTATTTTCAACGTTGTGAATCGCAGCATACACCTTCTGTAGTTGCGATAGCTGCTCTGCAGGCAGGTTGAGGCGCAGCCGAGAAATACCGTGCGCTCCCGAGGGATGCTGCGTCTGGGCCTTGTCCTCCTCATAGGGCACTCTATTGCGGCGCGGCGTTCTGTCCAGGCACCAGAAAGGCAAATGACCAGGTTCTACTCCGTTGCCATTTGCATCTTGAGCAACGCCAAGAGCCCACTTCAGAACAACTCCGTCTGGCCTCGTCCTGCCTCCGGGCACCGGGTCGTTGTACGTCAGCCCGGCGTTTGCATCCTTGACTCTCTGCTGAACAGCTCCAAAGTCACTTTCGTGAGGCAAAGTGTATGCCCAGTCAACAATGGTGTTCTCCAGCTGGCCACCCCATCGATGCTTTGCGCGCACTTCGGGGCTGATGCCCTCGACGAATGCGATGAGTTCAATGTAGACGCCGTCTTCAAAGAGTATCAGCTTGTTGAATGTGTCGCCACCTGCATGAGTCCCTCCAGGGCTAACAACGAATGAGTCTTTGAGGCGCTCAGGAAGCTCCAACAGGTCGCTAGCTGAGACGAGGATCACGATATGATCCAATGTAGGCTGCGGGGCATTGTGCTGCTCAGACATGTTGGCGGGTGTAGTTCAAGATGTTCGATGTGATACCAATTCAACTATGCCTCGGTTGAGGAGCTTGAATTCCTTGATATAGCTGTTGTTCGGCTTTGTGCCGGAAGAACTCTTAGTAACTGGTGTAGTGATGTATAAGCTGTTATGACGCCATGCGGGGCAATTGACTCTTACTCTTCACTATTCTGGTGTCGTCTTTTCACGTAAATGTGAGATCAATACCCCGTGGAGCCGATACGGCGTGTATTTCTTCCAAATTAGGTAGAAAGATTTGATCAATTGTATGAGCTTACTCGTTGGGGAGCTTATGCATGTACGACAATACATTGGTTCGGCCGGCAGCTATATCGAACGGATCTCACTTTCTTCGGCAACTTTAGCTACCCTGCAGTGACGAGGAGTTCATGTGGGAGATGCGTTTCACTTTTTCTGTCTAGACAATGCAAAGGTTGATCATGTTTCTGGATAATTGTACTTGATGCTAATTAAGAAATATCTTGGATTTCAAAGTGCGCTTAGATCATTTGAGTACCTGATGAAGTAACGTTATGTTAGGTGCCTTAAATGATTGCCCCAATCCAGCACATGCTGGTATAAGTGATAGTAGTTCGCAAATTCCATCTGCTATAGCGACACCTTTCTATAAATACCATCTAGTAAAAGACATTGTGGCAGAGAGAATTGCCAAGCACAATTACTTCTTTCCTAGCCGTGTTTAAGTATATCCTGCTCTCAGCAGCGGGTTAGGACGCAGCTTGAAGTGGATACATGTATCCTGAGCTGGAATCACCAGCCCTTGTGGCTATTTGGATTCCAGAATCAAGACTGATCTCCCTATAATATCCAATGTTCACGTCTGTCTAGCACTGAATAACCAATAGATACTGCCTTTAGATCCCACTTGGGTACCGAGTCATGTATCATGAGATGGGCAGTGTGATAAGGAGTGGAGTTGCCACGAGCGTGGCTGAGATAGCGGGAGATCGACAATAGTGCATCAAGCACGGACGTTGCATGCGCTTGGGATGAGATAACGTCGTTCTTTACTTGCCTGTTTATATGTTTATATGCTCAGACATCTCTGTGCTTCCTTCAGAGTGAGCTGCCCGCTTAGCTATGATATTGATTAGGCGAGCGTCATTAGTCAGGTCGGTCATGCAGAGGATATGGAGCTCGTATTCTGGAATCCTGCCGACAGCTGCCTCTACCAGCTTGGCAAAAGTGCTGCCGGAATCATTCAAATCGCCAAGAAGAAATATCTCCGGTATGAATTACATATTTTTCCTCACGCACAATCAACGGCCTTAAGTAAATCAGAATTCTTCTTTTTATTTCCAATAACTGACCTCGTAATTGCTGCATTCTCGCCGTCGCAGGTCTGGAGGTACAGACTCAAAGTACCTCGACATACCTCCGTCCATCTCCGGATCAATGTTAATCAGGCCATGCGCGACAAAAGGACGTTGACCCAACTCATCATGGAATCCATTTCACCAACGCGAACTAGATTGAACCCCTTTGCAGTGCCAGGGGCCTGAAATTACCAGCTACACATTCCTTCCTTCGCCCGATGATGCCCTGATGTCGCTTACGCGGGACGCGCTACAAAACGTGAAGTCGTACCTATTCTAGGCACCCGCACAAGATGGCCGTGGTCTAACAACTTCATACAGTAGCATCATTGGCTTATTTTGTCAAATTGCAGTCTCATCATCACATGTGGCTCGGCCTGTTCCCTATTCAACGGTTGGATACTATTACTCACGGCTCGGGCGTGTGAGATATTGATTCGTCGGGCTAAATCAACGAGCATGGATTCCCCGCGCGGCCCTTCCACGTTGGTTGATGAGGCTAACCACATCCATGCTTCGGATGCAACGTCCTGTCAAACGCACCACTGGCCTTCCTCTTACAGGCCTAGCTCGATGCCATTGTCAGGATTCTGGTCGTTACGGGCAGCCAGTGAATCTGCGGCTGGCATCCAACCAACTTGGTCAGAATTGGAGAGGCTTGCGGGCTTTGGCGATGCTAGCTGCCCAATAGCTCCTCTGTTCCTGGCAGCGAGCTTACCGGCCGAGGCTCAGTCGAGAAAAATCGTGGGTGATTCGATCTGGCATATGATTCTAGCAGCCACATCGGAAGTCCCCCCGTCCCCCAGATACGTCGACGTTGGCCGCTGTCATATGAAGAGCTTATTCGAGGCCGTTTCTCAAAGAGAAGGTGCTTCGTTTCGCCTCTCGGCAGTATCCGAGCTTCCATGTATGCTGATCTCTCCGTAATAAGAACCAGGTACCTTTAAATATTCTGTTCATCGACGATCGGCCCATGTTACATGCATGAATAGCATCTACGGAGAATCATCTCTTGGGGGACATAGAAAGCAATCCAACCAGGGGTTTAGAGACACTATGCCAATGCGGAGTCATACTACATGGTCATATCCGCAGTGGTTATTGCCAGCCGAGCAAGGGCTAGTCGAATGCAAATTGGGAACAATATCCGCCCAAATGGACTTCAAAGGCATGTGGGTATACGAAGAGATTTTTTCCGAAGCGCAGTGAGAACTAAGCCAGTCTATCATGCTTCTCCTCCAGCCAACGACAAAAATCTGGGGCAACTACAGAAGCTCCCATCATGCGGGTTCCAACTTGCAGGTCTTCTCTAAAATCAAGCTTGAAGCTGCATTCGTATACGAGATATTTGGTCATACTCTGGTGCAAGTGTCTGCCCAATTGACGCTCATTGACGTCTTCGTACTATCTTCTCGGGCCATCGGTTGGCTCGCTCCCCGCATTATCATGCCTGGATCACAGCTGAGTACGACGGCCAAGAAATCCCAAAGACAGTCGAGGCGTCATAACAAAGTGTGGATGGCAAGGATTCGCTCTTCGGCGACCACCCCTTCCATCGACTGAGCTCCACCTCACCGTCTTGCTCGATGCTACATTCGGACCATCGCCGTCCGAGGTGGACCAATAATGCGCGTGCGTAGCCCATCCTTCGTCGCTTTAGCTGGCCATCATGCAGAAGAGCTGTACCAACCGCAGGATTTTTAAAATTAAATACGAGGCTGCTAATGTTGGCATGCTCAGGTCATGAGATTTTACTACGAATATCTCGTTGGAGAGTGGTATTGGGCTCTCCTGCCCTGCATCTCTCAGCGGGACGATGACGGTGCCAGCGGGATAGCAAGTGAACATGGGCATCATGCATCGATCGCTCTGGATCTCCATGCCGAGCCCGCGCCTATATATCCATCTCCTCGCCATCTGTTCTCCCCACGATGGCTGATCGCCTTTCCCAAGTGCTTCCAGGCTAGTCTTGGGTTCACCCGCTGAGCCTGATACTCCGGATTTCTCTTGGGCTTGTCCTGAAGCCCGCTGAGATCCAATTGGTCTTTTTCTCCAATATCCACTACTCAGCATCCGACAATGAGACAAAACGTCGGTGCCGTGGGCCTCGTAGCCCTCGCTCGAGTCGTCGCCGGCTGGAGCTGCGATACCACCTCGCCTTGCCAGGCCAGCGTTGATGCTGTCGAGGCTTGTGCTACAGCATGCATTCAGTCTGCTGCTGTCACCCAAGCAGCTTGTGCTACAGGAGACTATCAATGCCAGTGTGACAAGACAGATGTCATCCAGGGTGCGGCCGTCAATTGCGTTTTGGGTGCCTGTGGTTCATCAGCGTTCGTATAAGCCCATATCTAGCTTCTCTATTTATACATGTCTGGATAAGGGGTGCTAACAACTATGGTACTATAGGCTGGCTGTTCTGAACGAAGTTTCTTCATTGTGTGCTTGTGTTACTGCTCATCCTACCACACCTTGCTCTACAAGCACAACATTCGTCACCACAACTCAGCCGCCGTCTTCTGCTACTCCCTGCACGACAGACGTGCCACCCACAACTGCTCCACCAACTACAACACCGCCGACTACAGCACCACCCCCAACCACGACTTCTGGTTGTGATGCGTCTTCGCCCTGCCAGGCTAGTGCCGACGCTGTATCTGCTTGTGCAAAGCCATGCATTGAGTCTGCTGCCGTGACTCAAGCTAGCTGCGCTCTCTCCGACTACGAGTGCCAATGCAGCAAGAACAGCGTTATTCAGGCTGCAGCTATCAA